TCTTCTAAATACAATGATTTCAATATAAAACAGCGAAGTGATGAAGGCTAACCGGCAGTGACAGTATAATTTAGGGGCGGGCCTGCTTTGCATATAATTGAGGCTTACTTTTACATTACAACAAAGGCGAACTAGCTGACAAACCCACTCTCAGAAAATAGTTACTAGCTTGTACATAAATATGTTAACATTGATACAAAATATTTTGATTTAAACGGATTGATGAATTTACCTATAATTTAATTATTTCTTGTATATTTTGTATTAAGGATTTTTGTAGTTTTTATTTCCTGATGGAATTATATTTTATGGATGGAAGCGAATCAGCGCCGCCCCCATGGGCGTTGCGATACTCCATTCGCCCGCAACAGCAGAGGAGTTACGAGTGCGTTGCCGATCTTTTGGAGATTTAGGGATTCTATCCAATCCCTAAATCTCCTAATCCCAATTGGATTGGGGGAAAGGAAGGATTGGGACTCCGATAATATCACTCATACGGAGAAACGCAACGCTGTGGTTGTTTCACGACGGTTTTCTGTGAGGCTGTGGTATCAATCCGGTCGAACCGACCCATTTGTGCATGAACATTTGGTAAAAGGTAAAACAAAAACAACACCTCAGTCAACATGAAAATGTGTTCAAGTTTATATAGTACAAAACTACTTTAGAATTTGGTTTCAAAGTTAATTTAATGAAAATTATGATAGGTATGGAATTCAATGGAATCCTATGGAATTTTATCGCAATCGTAATGATACTTATAGATACACACCTAGAACCTACATAAAAACCGACAATCCCATATTTACACATTAAATGTCAAGTACGATAAGTCAGAACTCAGTCATTTCCTGTTATCAGATGCCCTATAGAATCTGATTCAAGACAGTTTCTTCGAAGGAATTGAGGAAATTTTCTTTTATACGGGGCCCCTATTAATCTATACTGTGTATATTTAATCATAATCATGAAGGGTTTGTTTTAACGCGCTAATCTCCGGAATTACTGGATCGAATTGAAAAATGTATTTTTGTGTTTAATAGATCACTTATTGAGGAAGGCTATCCAAACTAATATTATAAATGCGAAAATAACTCTGTCAGTCAGTATTTTCTTCACGCCTAAACCTATTTGTGTGAAATTTGGTATAGTAAGTCTATATGTCTATGTTTGGAAGTCGAGAAAGGACGTAGGGTAGTTTTTAAACCAAAAATCTGGCGGAAGTCACTATTCCACGCGAACTAGTAAGGCTATAAAAGATCACGCTAATCATCTATAGGAGCCGAGCAGCGGATGAAACCGCGCGAGAGTAGCTAGTCACATACTATCAAGGTCCCGTACTATCAAGATCCCGAGAAAAATGTATAAAATTTTATGAATATGAAGGCTTCGGAGTCGGGCCGTTCGTCATACATTGCTGCAGCGGGCCGCCTTATCGCCCGCACAAACACAAGCATACCAGCAATGTACGCCAAACCGCACGATACGCCGCGTTTTCACTAATGAGGCCATCTGGCATGGGATATTGATGGAAATAATTTTCAACATAATCAATAAATGGTTGAAACAAAGCAATAAAGTAACTGATTATAAAACAATAAAAGTGAGTTTTATAATAAAAGGAAAATGTTTATTTATACATTATAATATAATTATGTCTCCTATTAATATTTTATAAGGTCAGTGAACTAGGTACAATAGATACTTAGCATTATGAATATAGGTATTAGGTGCTCACGTCAGTCAACGTCAGTCTGGGCCGAGTTTGCGGATAAACTGTTCGAAATTGACATTAATTAGTTATGTGGTTTTCAAATTCAACGTTCTTACTTTATTGTATTTATGTAGGAACATTCAATTATAATATTAATTACAGACGTATAACAACAGAACAGATGAATTGTTAAAAACTAAATGGTCCCTAAATTATATGTCATTTTTTTAAATACTTGTTTCTTAGCAGACAATACAAATATATAAAAACATAAAAATAAATAGGTACTAGGAGCAACTGAGAAGAAATGTAAATAATAAAATATGGACGCGACTTATCCATTTCACTACAATTTCATTCATGCTTTAGGTACCTATTATTTAGCACACGACATCTGAATAAATTCATGAATTATTATGCATTATACCATCTATTATGTATGAAGTGTGGGAGAGCCATGCTTCGGCACGAATGGGTCGGTTCGACCGGAGTGATACCACGGCCTCACAGAAAACCGGCGTGAAACAACCATTGCGTTGTGTTTCGCCGTGTGTGAAGTCACCGGAGGCCCAATCCTTCCAAAAATTATACCTAATAATCGTCTGCGAGTAAATGCTCCAAGCCTACCTGATATTACATCGTCATCATTATCATTACAATAAAATACATCACACCACACCACCACATCATCAACTGTTTGTTTTAAAGAACTCACGAGTTACGGTTATCGAGTAAAGAAACTAACAAATAACTAATTCTGTTGCTCCTGATAACGAGATCCGAGATAACGGTTATTGCTTGACGTTCTCGCAGGAACTATTAACTGTTTTTACAACGTTTAACGTAAGTTTTTTTGTGAGGGGAAATACATCATCAAATGACTTCTCCCCCCCAGGGTCGAGCGGGTGGAAGTGTCAGAGTCAGACTCTTATTGACTAAAAACTCCCCATTCCTTCTCCTGCTCTGGGCCGAGGTTGCTGTGCCTCATTGAACTTACCCCGGCCCACAACCCCGGCTGAATGTATGTAGTTTTTAAACAAAATTCAAAAAAGTATGTAGTTTTTCAATTTCGTTTACCTACTCAATGATTGAACTGAACTGTCCGGCCCAGAAGGTGGAGACAGGATCGTAGCAAGACGTTGGATGCAGTTTGCTTCCAACCGCCCCATTTACAAATCACAATCACCAAAGGATCCTATCCCACCAGGGCATCCTATAATGATGATGATCATGATAATTAAACTCAAGTTAGAACTGAACGCCACATTAACTATGAACGAAGTTTAAACACAGAAGTAATTTTAAAAAAAAGACCATCGGACGCCCCTGGTTTCGATGTCGGAATGATTTCAGAATTTAAAAAAATATTCTTTTCTATTTCTTATTTCCTGTGACATAGTAAATTAATTAATCAAGTGTGTTTTGTTAGCGTCGTCCATAGTTGTATAGTAGTTATGTGTTTATACGTATATATATGTATGTAGTTATAAACATGACTGCACGGTAGGCGCGGTGGGCAACTGGCTGCCGCGCAGCGTGTCGCGGGTTCGATTTCCGCACGGGGCAACTCTTTGTGTGATCCACAAATTGTTGTTCTGTATCTGGGTGGTTTGTGTATGTGAAATTGTATGTTTGTAAACGCACCTACGACACACGAGAAAATCCTAGAGGTGGGCAAAGTTTTTTTTTAAAAAGTAAAGAAGTATGGGCTCCTAGCGTAGCTAAAAACTAGCGTGGCTCTATTTATTTCAACAAAAAATTGCGTATGTAAGTTGATAAACATATTTAATTAATCATTTCAATGATTGGAAAACCACAATACGCGATCCACCGCGATATAACAACAATGATACAAAAACATACATATAATTACCTATTAATATTGTCTAGATATAATTAATATATAGATTAAATACGTCCCTTTAGGTAATGTCAATGTTTTAATATAGTTATTAATAATTTAATCCGACCTCTTTAATTATTTCATTGGTGGTTAAAACAGATAAAATAAAACAATTGAAATACATAAAGAGTATTTTCTACCTTATTGGTAAAGTGGTCACACTGTGTCGGTATGTATCATAAATTACTAATTTAAAATACATGCGCAAATCATTATTTATAGCTAGGTATTTAAGTTGCCAATTTTCCTTTATGTAAATTCATAGGTAGAGAGAATTAACTGATACTACTTATATTATGCAGTATCACACTGAAGTCTACATGCAAATGCTTTTACTATCACAATGATTACGCTTACTCATATACAATGATCGTTCTCTAGTTAATGGCCAATAAAATAAGCAATAAGCACACGATCTGATTATGCAAGAGCCTAAACAATACGGTGGTAAGGATGTCCATAAAATATCATAAATGTGTCAAATGTTACTCCTAGAGTCGGAATTAATGTAATTCCAAATAGTCAAATTCAAAATCATTTATTTAAAAAAGACCACAATAGGTACTTTTGAACAACAAGCAAAAAAAAGAAAAAATATTTCAAAAGGTTTAACTTTATGCTTATCAGACTGTCAGTCTGTCCTCTAGTGAAGCTATTTGCTCGTTCCAAAGTGTAGATTCCTATGGAGAAGAACGAGCAAGAAACTCCATGGTATTACATACTAGGTAAATACTGTGACTCCTCCGAATAACATTTATAATATATCTTATCTATGAAATCTAATCGTGCCTACATGGTGATAAAATAATACAGTACTTAAGTACTTAAAAGACTGACCGACAAAAATCGACGGATTTTTACTTATTTTTATTAGTGTTCTAGTTACTTATTTCTTTTTTACAATTTATTAATGTTATGAATGTTTCAGTTTTTACGTCAATGGCTGGAAAAAGAAAGAAAACCTTATCTACGAATACGTTATTAAAAACAATGAAACGATTAAATAGTAATGAATGCCAATCTACCGATATTTTATTTTTTAATCAGACAATTAATTACCTTTTAGCGATCATGATTATAAAAATAGAGATAGTGTTTTGACAAAACTTTAAAATACAAAAATAATTGTAATCATTTTGCAATTCGAATGCGAAATTAGTTTAAATTTAAATATGGAATTTTGAAAATTAAGAAATATATGCACTAGGCCCTTTTTCTTTCAACTTTTCTACACAATGAGTTTATTTAGAGAGCAACCCGACTTATTAGGTACAATTACTTTCTACTGTAAACACGCAAAGAACTGATAAAATTGATTATTATGATAATACCGAATAATTTGATTAGCACAAAAACAAAATGAAGTATATGAACAAAAAATACCTGTAATCTGTGTCCAGTTAATATTAAAAGAATAAAAAAATCCCAGGATTTCACTGAACTTTCGTAAATTTTCATAAAAAGCACTTATATTACACAGATATTTATTAGTAAACAGACACCCGCGAAAATAAATTATTATTGATTAAAATTACGAATAGCTAATCAATTTTCGCGCCACGCGCTTGCGGTACAGCGTGCGTTCAACAACAACACTTTCCATAGACTAATTTATTTTTCTCGCCGACTGTATACAATCCGGCCAAGACAAATACCTGTGAGCCGCGAACAAACTTTGTTACATTTATTTACTTTTACCAATCGTTGCGTAACTATGCGTGTGATTACTTGATTTGTTAGCGTAGGCATTGTATTTTTTTCTCTTAATTAGAATCTTTTCTTTTGTTAATAGAAACCTTAGATAACAAACTTTTTTGAGCGTAGTCTTAAGAATTAAGATTGATAGACGAGTAACTGGAACCTTATTTATTAGCTAGTAAGTAGATATCTTAATATTAAAAATCATTATAATTTCTAAGCATAATTGTAGAACGAGATTTAGTCAGTAAAAATAAAAAAAGCATAAAACACTTAACAAAACAATTTAAAAAAATAGTCTTGCGATAACTTTATTATTTAGGCACTATTTTTTTATTCCAATATATAATTATTATAGCTCCATTAAAATAAAATATCATAACGAAACTTTTGGACTTCTATGAGGAGTTAAACGGAACATAATAAGGTGTGTGGGGACTTTGACAACAATTATTGTGGGTTATAGTGCAATTTACGAAAGAGAAAATGAGAAAAGAAAAAAACAAATTTTGTAATTATGGAAAGATGGGTGGATGTATATATTTTACGTAAAAACTACTTACCTAAAATTGGCAATGTCTCTATTTTATATTGTCTCGAATAACACATTCACATATACATTGTATAAATTAACATTAACAGTAGCGATAAAGTATATTAATATCAATTTTATATTAATAAATAATATAGTTCGTTTTTGAAGTCGGTTTTATTAGTATTGGCTGTCTGTAAAAAATTTAGGACCAAAATCACAGTTAACATACCCATTGTACGAATAAATTGATTGAAACGTATGTATTGCCTTTTCTTTTCGTGTGGCCATCAAATTTTTATTTAAGACCTCAGTATCATGTGCAGTTGTGAGTATTTTTCTAAACGCCGTCACGACACAAGAGCAATTTCTTACAGATAATGGCCAAAATTTAAACAAACTAGCTTCCGCCCGCGGCTTCGTTTACGTGGTATGTTGATAAAAAGTAGCCTATGTCCTATTCCGGAGTGTATTATGCCAGCGCCAAATTTCATCCAGATCCGTCTAGCCGTTTTGGCGTGATGAGTAACAAACATCCAAACAACGTTACTTACGCATTTATAGTTAGATGTAAAAATTCTCAAATTGGTCATTCAGTTGGAGCACTTGCTATCCGTATGATGTTCGAAATCGGAAAGCATTCGGATAATTCTTGAAATAAATAGGATTATGGAATTTGTAAATGCGCAAAGTAGGTACCCATCGATTGTTGTAGGTACGACAACGGCCAACAGTTTTTTTCTGGATACTCTCTATAGCGGTTAAGTCTACACTTCATATGATATATAGGTTTTTTTTTTTTGTGAGGGGAAAATCATCAAATGACTTCTCCCGCCCAGGGCCGGGCAGGAGGGAGTGTCAGACTCTTACTGACTAAAAACCCCCCTGTTCCTTCTCCTGCTCTGTGCCGAGGTCGCGGTACCTCATTGCGCTTACCCCGCAACCCCGGCTGAACATCAGCCCTTTAGGGCCCCGTCTGTGGTGGTCGAATGGCTCTTTGAGGCGCGCGCGGAACGCTTCGTGCCGTACGCTCGGGCAAATATAGGTAGGTATACATATATGATTTGATTAAAGAATTTCGAAACACCATTAATAGGCAAAATCATGTTTCTGTCCTTCCTCGTTAAAAGTTCACCACCTACTTTCATATGAAGCTGAATTTCCAAGATTTGGTATTTTGATGTGAAACATCAGATGATCCTTCCTTCTCCTGCTCCAGGCTGGAACCGCGATTAATTTATTATGCTTGTACCCGCACTTCCGATTGATTCTTTATGCACCTCGTGTCATGTTCATGGTTGCAATTTTTGGTATAAAGTTTTAATTGAGCCGACAATAAATTGGAGAGAGGTAATCTGAATTTCAGCGATAGACCTAAATATTTTTTATTTGAGTTTTAACTAATAAGTATATTTAACTTTTTTTGGTACTTTTGATGAATTAATACACGTCGAAGAGCCATGCTTCGGCACGAATGGGCCGACGCAACCGGATCAATAATATCCCGGTTTCACAGAAAACTTTCGTAAAACAGCGTTGCGTTTCGCGGTTGAGTGAGGTTACCGGAGGTCTTATCCTTTCCCTACTCTAATACCTAAATCTCCAAAACCCTAATTCTCAAAAGGTCGTCAACGTTCTCTTAATTCCTCCGTTGTTGTGGGTGTCCATTGGTGGCGCTGATTACTTACCACCACGTAATCAGACTACTTACTCGTTGCCCACCTATCACAAAAAAAAATTTTACTGCGCATAGACTATAAAACTGACCTGTTTAGCTTCTTAATATTATTATATTATATTGATTGTCAATATCGTCACCATTAGTAGGTATGACTACCGTTACCGAGGTTTACATTTAAGCCTCAGGATTGCACACTTACTACAGTCCAAGCTATAAACATTAATTTTAATTTTGAAATCCTATATTAGAACTTTCTTCTCGATATGGACGTTGAGCGTGCAAGAAACGGGAGACAAACTTCACCAACTGCCATATTCAATTTCGTCCAGTTTTACGCACACACTTATACATTTCTCCGCTAAAGTAACAAAACTCTGTAACAGAATTAATAAGCCATAATATACGACTGCGATCACTATCATTTAGACACACACGTCACCCAGTTGATAGGCGAACAGAATTTCAATGAAAATAGGGCTTGAAATTCGTCTCACGTTGAAATAGAAAAGGGCATTACGCCATTTTACGTCGATCATCATCATCATTTTGCAACAAAGAAATCGTTGTTATCGCAAAACTTGAATCATGGAGCAACAAATACTTTTATCTTAGAGATAAAGTTATGTTTCTCGACATCTGTAAGAGGAGCTGTCAGATAAATAAGAAACGAGATTTTCACTTTACTCATCTAGAACCTACTTCCTAAGAATGGTTGCAAAACATTTTGGAAAATATGTCGTGAGTTTCCGTCATGCTTTGTTGCCAAGATGACGAAAGAATGTATTTTATAAATTGATAAATATTTTTTCTATTTTCAAATCATTTGATTGAGATGTGTGGTGATAATACATAACACACAATTTATCAGGACAGCACCCCTACTGCTTTCGCGGGGTCCTCAAAAGCGACCATTAGACGATTTAATTATTTATTCGGCACGAATGGGTGTCTGCTCGACCGGAGTGATACCACGGCCTCATAGGAAACCGGCGTAAAAAACCACTTACTTTATGTTTCGCCGTATGAGTCAGTTTACCGGAGGCCCAATTCTTTCCCCTCTCCTATCCCTTCCCAATCCTTAAATATCCGAAACTCTTATCCCCAAAAGATGTTGCGAGTGTCCATGGTCATTTTTTTAAGATCTAGTTCTGTGATCAATACCCGTCAAACATCGTTCATCCAGCTTTACAATGCTGTTGAAAAATACCTGAATTGTTTGTATTTAATACCTAAATCGACATATTTTCAACTGATGTGACTATTACCTACATCTTACTCGTTAAAAAATAGCAAGACTATAATAAAAACAGAGAGTTATTAAATGATGTTTAATATTTCATGTTTATTTCCTGCCAAGTTGTGGACTAGACGTTATCAAATTAACGCAATTACTCATTGCTTTAGTGTGTTGAAGTCACATGTAGTCGCCAACTAGACAGATAGATTTGCCGCAGTGGCCTAATGACTGGCTCCTTCACTAATAAAGACGTCACGACATTATAATCTCTGTCGGGCCTTATTTAGGAAGAAACGGACTGCGACCTACAATGGAACACGCCTCCTCATGAGAAACCTTTTACTCGGGCCTTGAAGACACTCTTCAGGGAATACACAATTCCACTCCTTACCGGTTCTGATGATAAAACTGGAGCTGAATCGCTGCGCTGCATAACAAAATTGTATTTGTTAATTGCTCTTACGTCTTCCTTTTCCTATTATTAGAATTTCCAGGGATACACAGATAGCTTTTCCTGTGAATTTCGAAAATTAAAAATCAAAATAATTCAAGCGAACTTAAGGCCATATTAGCTGTCTTGTTTGCGGGCATTTTCTAACGATGCAATAATAGGTACCTATTTATTTTTCTTAGTTATATACCTACCATAATTATTTATTTTGGAGCGAGAGTGTCATAAGTACCTACCTTCATTTGTAAAACTTCTTGTTAAAAAATAGAATAAAAACAGACCATGCATGTGCTTCAACTAGGTACCCAGGTGCCATTAGGTACAGTTTAGAGCTCCCTTTTTTATTTTTTTAAGGGGCAAATGATCTTATCTTCTCTCACCCCGCACGGGGCAAGAAGGAGTGTCAGGATCTTACTGAATCCTTCCGTCAGAAAAACCACACCGCTCTTTCTTCTGTTTCAGGCCGGGGCCAAAGAGTACACGATCCATATAAAACACTACGATTGCCGGGGTCACGTACCTAACCCCAGCGGAATTAAGAGCACCTAGGTTCCACCTATCTCTCGGTTCCGATTAGATATTTAGTAAGTAAAGTTTGCTCCCTAGAAATGCGTGTTTGTAACCATCTATTGTCGAGTTAAGATAACAGCGTAATTTTACAATTCCAAGTAATCGCGTGCGTCAAATCATAGTTACAAAGAGGTACAATATATCCGCTAGTATTGTGACGTCAAAGGCGACCATCCTAGCTCCTAGCAGTAATTATAAACAAGGTGTAATGTGGTTCTTCTAATTGGCCACCCACGGGTGGGTCGTGAGTTTTTAGGGTCTTGAGCTGAAACAATCAACTAGCATTGTTTGTAATGACACTATGCAAATTGGTTTTCTTTATCTGTTAATAATAAACATCAAAATTACTTCCCAAAAAATATGAAAATTCAGTATTAAGCTTTGTTGTTTTATTGAACTGATTTCGTGGCAATGTTTGGACATCAACTTTCTTGTCTATTGTTTTTAGTGGCGCCCTTTTGTGTCCACCGGGCACTGGGCTAAATTCCAAAAAGCCCCTAGGTAGACCCATCCGATCAGGCTCACGAATATTTTTGTCTAATGAATTAAAGGCCTGTTGTTTTATTTAATGACAACCGAGTAAATGACATTCACATATTTGGTTCCAAATTTATTGATAGTTAGACTCTAATCTACCTAGGAATGTGTAGGTGTATCTCACTTCAAAGTAGGTACAGTACGGCCGCCGTATCTTGGCGAGTCTGAAGTTAGCCGTTTGTGTTGAAACAAAATTGTTTACTGCGCAGCTAATCGGTTAACTTAAGACTCGCCAAGATACATCGGCGGTATTGTAGGTATAACTAGCGACCCGCCCCGGCTTCGCACGAGTGCAATGCTGGCTGAATGCTGATAGTAAATGTCTCCACTAATAAATGTATGTTAATTTAAAAAATATAAAAATTCCTCTTCAATCACTCTTTAAATTAAAAACCGCATCTAAGTCTGTTGCGTAATTTTAAACATTTAAGCATTATGTAGGTAACATAGATGTATAAGGACAGAAAAAGATAGCGACTTTGTTTTATAAGTACTTAGGTACTAGGTATGTAGTGATAATAACTTTTAACTTTCGCGTTTCATATTCACAACATAATTACGCGGAAAAAATTAAATTATCACTACCAGTTCAGCAGTGCATAGCCAGGTTTAGCTGCCCCTGATTATTTTGAAATTGTTGTCCTTTTTTTCTGACAGCTTAAGTTGACCAAATTCTAGAAAATATTAATTTTGTCAGATAATATTTTAAAGAATTATACGTTGTAGTATTTACTTGAAAAAAGATAAAAATCGAAAATCGGTACAGGGATTTAATCGATTAAATAGATAGGTTTGATATGACAACTTTTAAATTATCTGACCTTTGCTAGCTTTTTTGTTTTTATAGTTAATTTTTAATATATTATTGAATTAAAAAATACGTAACTAAGGCAGTTATTGCATACTATTATGAATTCGTTTCACCAATTACCGTAAAATAATCAGAATGATTACAATGAAAGCAGCTTTATTGACATTCGTTATCCGATTTTGTAGCCTCTAGATGAAAGTTTATTTTAGTACTAATATATCATTTAATTTCTAATTAATTATCCAAAAAAACTGTTTTTCGGATTAGTCAAATTATTTATTTCTTTCCACATTATTTTATGTTTTAGTAAGAAGTAGGGAAATCACAGTTACAACTAAATAATTATTACTACTAAATTGTTTGTTGAATCAACTGAATAGAATATAAGACTTCTATAAAATAATAAAAATCTGAATACTACCATACCACCCACCATGTTTTGGTCAATAATAGAAAGGTTGGTAGATTTTTTCTACCAATACGCGTCGATAAACTAGCCGAGAATATCAACCGCATCAGCTGGTTCTATAGATCTATATATACATGTACTCTATGGTGTGACATCATGGTGCTGTCATGTCATTTGTGAGTTTTGTTCGATTGGCCGTCATTGGGTTTTACGACGAATTTTGTCCTTTTGTGATGAACTAGAACATTCGCACTAAATTGATTTTTTTATTTTCACAAACTCAACGGCGTAAACATGTATTAAATTGTGAAAATTCTAAAGTAATACGGATTGGTTCAATCGCCCTGAATAGCACTTGAAAATATCTCACTGTAATCAAGTCGTATGCACTAAATAACATTGGCCTCAAGAACTGTGATGGAAACTAACTTCACCGCGACCTCTAGGCGGAAAGAATCAGCTGAGGAAGGCTACAAATGATATATCCAGATACGAAACTTTTGTGAATCACGACGAAGAGGTAAGCTGATCGTCGACAGACGGGTTTTATGTGCGCGTGACGGTGACATGAGCACAAACAACAAACGGCGTGGAGCTAGCAGTTCCAGTTGTTCTGTCCCTGGGGTGCCTGCATTGGTGAACGCGCCAACCGCCATGTCTGCCGACCTTGCGTCGCTATTTGAGTGTCCCGTGTGTTTCGATTATGTGTTGCCGCCGATCCTGCAGTGCCAGAGCGGGCACCTGGTGTGCTCCAGTTGCCGTCCCAAGTTGTCCTGCTGCCCGACTTGCCGCGGCCCCCTCGGCAACATACGCAACCTTGCTATGGAGAAAGTGGCCAGCAATGTTATGTTCCCCTGTAAACACTCCAACACCGGCTGCACTGTCACCCTGGTGCACACAGAGAAGGCAGAGCATGAAGAAGCCTGCGAGTTCAGGCCATACTCATGTCCCTGTCCTGGTGCATCATGCAAGTGGCAAGGAGGCCTTGACCAAGTTATGCCACACCTTATGATGTCACACAAAAGTATTACTACACTCCAAGGAGAAGACATTGTATTCCTGGCCACTGACATCAACCTCCCTGGAGCAGTAGACTGGGTAATGATGCAGTCATGTTTCAATCATCATTTTATGTTAGTCCTTGAAAAACAAGAGAAGTTTGATGGACATCAACAATTCTTTGCCATTGTGCAACTCATAGGATCTCGGAAGGAAGCAGAAAACTTTGCGTATAGATTAGAGCTCAATGGGCATCGTAGACGACTCACTTGGGAAGCCATGCCACGCTCCATCCATGAAGGAGTGTCATCTGCTATTATGAATTCGGATTGTCTAGTATTTGACACATCTCTTGCACAATTGTTTGCGGATAATGGAAACCTCGGAATAAATGTCACAATATCCATTGCCTAATCATTACCACACTTATTATTTATAGCACAGTAACCTGAGTGACTTTCATTGGCTGTTAACAATAATGTAATTATGTTCCCAAGTCAATGGAATTTAAACTTTTAACCACAAAATATAGTAGTTATTAAATATAATTATACTAAAGAACATATACATATGCAATTAAAGTGAAACCATATTTTTGTTACAGTTTGTGGTGTTTGAGATGTAATTTTGACTTGACATGTTTTGTATTGAATTTATGAAATAATCAACATCAAAGTAAGCCAAAAATAATGTTTTTTTTATTCATTACTTTGTAAATGTGTGTTCAACTTTAGAGTTAAGTAGTGGAAAGTTTAAATTCTCAGAGTGAATGAAAAAATATTCACTTTAGAATTGTCAAGCCTTGTCAAGATAGTTTGTATAGGAATTGTGACCTCTCACATGAGAAAGTGATTATTTTATTCCAAACATTGAACAAATTTGTACTAACGTTATTTAATAATCATTTGTATATATGAGCATAGACATTTGTGTTGCGAATGAGTGATGTTGCTTTGTGGAAAGGCTTCACCAGATATAAAGGTCACAACAAGTTGACTTACACCCAAGGCACTTATCAGATTTCCAGTGTTATCATTAATTGTGGCAGATAACAAAAGATGTTATTCACATGAAGTTGTTAAGTAGGTCTGCAGCATTTTGATGCATTTGCGCAAGCTATATTTCGCAGTGCTAGTGCTAAGTAGCTTTTTGAAGCCAACTTAGCAAATATGTACAAATATTTTACAAGAATATTTCTAGACAACTGTGTTAATATGACCTTTTGAATGTACACAGTGCCGTGGTACAATATGCATCTTATATTTAAATGAAAACATTGTATAAGTCTGAAATAACAAGCAATGTGTTTGAAACATTAAAAATGTTCAATTATTTTTCTGCCAGTACCTGACTGCCAATCTTATGAAGTATATTTATACAATATATTAGTGCACTTGGGGTTGCAATGTTTCATTATCTGTCGAAACAATCATCACACCATTTGAGTTTATTTCTAAGTTGTGTTTAGGGTTGTATTTTAGTAAACTTAACCAGAACTTACAGCGGTGAGCAAAGAAACATTGGTGACGCAAGTTTTTTATTCTAAGTATCTATTTTTATTAGGTCCTGGAATAAGTTCAGAGGAATTGCAATAATTTATCAAGTAATTTTTCTAAATCAGTTTGCCCAAATATCACTGGACTGGTCTGGTTGTAGATTTCTTATGAATGAAGCAGTGCAGACATTTTAAAAATGTAAATAATAGTTGCTAGTGATGCTGTAGGTGATAACTGTATATCATACATAAAAAAATAAAATTTTAAAGAGAATTACAATTTCAAATTTCATGTTTGGAGTGTGCATGTATGTTGGTAATAGCTGTTGTCTTGTAAGTAACAGTCGGAACTTATTCAAGGATCTATCATATATGCAGTGTTTTATTTTTTTTCTAAGGTCATGTTTGTATTTGTAATAGGTTTGTGTCATTCAGTACTTTTTGCTGAATAAGGAGTACATTCCAAAACTATGATATGGGATAATCTTGCCAGGTATCACCCAGCAATTTGAACTGTTTCATTGCTCCCCACTGTATGTAGCACTGTCTAAGTTCGTTTTCTGAGAACAATAGCTCAAGATTACCAGAAAAATATTGTTTTGTATGTCGTGACTGTTATATTTAATAAATATTTTAGGAACCTTGTAATTTGTTAGCATTAGCTTCATTTATTTATACCAACCGTTACTTAATTGTGTAGTTTTAATTGCCTCATCTTATATCACTTCGCAAGTGTTACGGTGAGCGAAAAGCCGTAACTTTTTATTATTTAAATTAAATCTCTTCTATATCTAAGAATAAACTGATTAAAGTTTTATGAGAAATTCTAGTTGAAATAAATTTTGTAATGTATATTGTAGTTTTCATTGTGCACCTTACATAGCATTCGTATGTCGTTAGACTGCATTATTCTCTTCATGTCACACATTACAACCCAGATGCTTATTTAAAAAAAAACTACAGAAATTTCTGCCATGCCATTTATTACTTTGACGGGAAACAATGTAAACTATGATTTAAATAAATAATAAACATGAACAAAATCAATAATCGACTTTCAAATGTAGCACCAACCAATTTGGTTAATAATAATAATAGATCTTTAATAGACAACTTAAATTCCAACTAAGTTGGTTTTTTGCTGCTTTGTGGTTGTATTGGCGATGGCAGCAAGCAGGCAGTGGCGGGCGTCTCATTGTCGTCGAGGATGGAGGTCGACTGCTTATCTGGGGTGAAGAAAGAGTCCTTCGATAACTCTACTGGACTGAAAGGGTCCTGGCCTCTGTGTACCACCTCAAATGGATCATTCTCCTGCTTCCTTTGATCAACGAAGCTAAATTCATCAAACGAATCCAAAGCTGTTTCGAATCCCTTAGAGGTTTGTGGGGCGAAAGGGTCGAAGGTAGTTATTTTTTTGAGAGCTTCTGGGCTGAATGGATCCTTAGGTTCAGATTTAGGAGCTTCCTCGGCTATGCTGTTGTCGCCACTGAAATCTGATAGATCAATGTCGTAGTTTATGTTGCTCAAACCTGGAGGCAGCTGGTCCGTCCCAAATTCGTCTGGAGTCATCAGTTCGTCGATAGATCGTGAGTCGAATGGCGTGAAGCCTAGAGGCGATGGTGTGAGCAGTTCTAATGAACTGGTCTGCTTCAAGTCCCACGTTTGATCAAGGTTCTGTGGTGACTTAGAAGGAGATTGTCTTTCAATTACTTCGAAACCCAGGATGTTAAGTTTTGGCTCTGTTTCTGGCTGGATAGTGATGTTTGGTTCTTTGGACCCCGTGGGGATTACGGTAGCCGCCAGAGGTTCTGGTGGTACATCTGGCTTTGTCTGTGGTTCTTCCTGAACGGTACTGGTACTCAAGTCGATGAGTGGCGCTGTATTGATTTCCTTAAGCTTCCCGAGGCGCGGCAGCTCGCGCCGTGGTTTTATTTCTAACGGCGTCTTTGCGAGGACGTCTTGTACTTTTTTGGCGATTTGCTCCTGTAAATTCAAATTCAGTTTTATACACAATGATATATATTTTTTCTTTGTTGCAGATATTTTCTACTAATCTTTTTGCAAAATTATAATTTTTAATAGCCAGGAAATTTATTAAACTAATTTGGTTCTGGTTACCTCAAAGCTCAGAGCGTTGGCAGCGAGTTGGTCAGCCCGCGTGTGTATGTTGTGTGTATGTGTGAGCAACTTTTGCGCGTGCGCACGTTGCTCGTCTGCCTCGCGCACCGCACCGCACAGCGACAGTGCTGCCGCCTGGACGGACATAAAATTACTGTTGTATTAAAACTGTAACAATAACTTCAGTTCCGTAATGTTCAGAATAGTTTACTCTATCAGAACCTAATTCATATTATGTATCATAATTTTCAAAATCCTGATCATTTCCCTACACCACTGGGAGTTCATATTTTACATTTATATACAAGTATTTACCCAAGCGCTGCCTCCGATGGATGCTGGCATGGCCATGTAACAGTCGAACTCTTTCTTGTCCATGTTCAGCGACTCAGCCGTCAGATTTTCAATGAAGGAAACTGCACAACACTGAAATCAAACAATCATATAGCTATTTTCTACGTATCATTATTATATTATTAGCTATTTTCAAAGTAAAAAACACTACTACCTACGCCCGATATTAATGATTTGACGAGAATCATACCGGATGTGAAACTTATTATACAAAGAGATCTTTTGTTATTATTTATTTGAACTCTCGAACAAAATATATTTTCTTGGCGTTGTGCCATTTCAAACTCCCATTAGGGGAAAGATCAAATTTACATTGTATTGTGTATATAGTCAGGAACTAGTCAACTTTAATACTTTTATCCGAATGCCAAAACTGTGAAATATAACGTTACGACGTCATATTTTTAACGTCAAAGGGGATACTGATTTCCCTTAAATCAAATCAAATTCTTTAATTCAAGTAGACCACAAAAGACACTTTTGAACGTTAAGCAAAAAAGATATCATAAGGTTCAACTTTATATGTGTCAGTCTGTCCGTCTGTCCTCTAGTGAAGCTAATTTGCTCGTTCCAAAATGTAGATTCCTATAGAGAAGAACGAGCAAGAAACTCCGTGGTTACTCTTTTTCAATCACTTTTTAGAATGCATTGTTACATAATTTAGATAGTTCTGTTCTTAAACTGATAAAAAAATTAAGTATGAATAAACGTCATTCACTCTCCGTCGATCACTCTAAGTATTTTTATGTTGAAATATAATCTTTCTGGCGGTTAAAATACACCCAATCTACATATTATATTATTATAAAGAGGAAAAATTTGTAAGTTTGTATGTAGGGATCTTTGGAACCGATGGTCGGATGTTTTTACCAAAATTGGGTAGTTTCCTACGTCAAAAATAAATTAATCAGACGTTTTAATACAATAAAATATTGAAAAATAACTATACTTTCATTCATCGATCGATCGATAGGTACACTACATTTTAGATTTTATTTAGCTAATTTTTTAAAAATAAGTAATCTTTTTGACGGAAAAATACTATGACGTCATAACTCAGTGTTTCATACAAATTTCATAGAAAAGTATCGTTTCTGACATTTGGATAAAACTATTGAATTTGACTAGTTGGAAACTACCGTATTCTTTCACTGATAGTTACAATATTCCTGAGTGTTATGGGCTGTAAATTATATCTTTAGCGTCGAACTATCGCTTTAACCGTTGCTGGTTTTAAAAATCCCGCGATACCAATACATTACTTGTATGCGCGGGCGGGTTTTGTTTTATTTAAATATAAGTTGGACTCACAAGGTTAGTGAAGTAGTACCCTCCCTCGCCGGTCATCAGCCGCTGCGCGTTACAGAATCGCGTCACGAAGTTAATGTTGCTCACTAGGCGAGGCGGGTTCGCTTTCAGCACCTGGGAATAACAATTATTTATTAAACGCGGATTAAATGGCCAAGACAAAGTAAAACTTTTCACTGTGTCTTCATAAAATCCCAAGCGAATGCCAGCGTTTGGAAGGCTTAAACTAATTTAAGCAAATTGTTGTCTAAAGATATACTAATTTACTATCTTTTAGTAAATTAGAACAATACAAGCTCATAGTCCAAAACCAATAATCAAGTATTATGACGTAAACAACAAGTGTGGAAGAGCCTTAGGCACGAATGGGTCGGTTTGACTGGAGCAATACTACACGGCATTACATCAAACTGGCGCGAAATAACCACAGTAGTGTTTTACCACAAAAGCGAGGTAACCGAAGGCTCAATCCTTATCAATACTGTGTGTAATACCTACAATACTCTTGTAGGATGTATCTATTTTCCTTTTTCAACAGAGGGAAATCCTCATGGACTTCCTCAGTCCGAGGAAAGGCGGAGAGGCATGCCGGACTTTTACCGGCTAAAACCACCTGGGTCTCTCCTCGCACGTATACATGGAGTCACGTGTCCCTAGTGCTGGCCTACGGGTCTCGTCTCGCATCTACCCCCCTATATGTAGTTAAGAAAGCACTGAGCATGGTCACCGTGAATATGAGTGCAGGCAGGAGGTCGTCAGCGGAGGCGGGCGCGGCGGAGCACAGGCGCAGCACGTGGCGGCAGCAGCGCCGCACGCGCGACAACTTGTCGCCCGGCGACAGCGCGCTGTCCATGCCCAGCAACTCTACCGGACATAGCCACATGGGGTACAATTATTACTAAGGAAAATATGGCTCAACTGAAGCAGTATCGACGGCCTATCAGGCAACCAGCGTAGAACAATGCTTGCGTTGGCTTACCCTGTAAGCGAGGTAAGGGAAAACTTACCCCACTCCCCAAACCCCCATCTCTAATCTCCAAATCCCCCGATCTACATGTTCCTAACCACTAAAAAGCGCGTTTTGAAGCGAGGTTAAGAGAACACATATCCCCCCCCTCATCTCCAATCTCCAAATCCCTAACCCCAGAAATGTAGCAACGCAAGCGTAATTTAATTAACATCCGTCCCATCTATCTATCGTAAAAAAAAAATTAAATATTAAAAGAGATAAAAAATACTGTTATTATATAGGAGATCATCTCTAAAACCGCTGGTCGGATTTCCAAAATTCTGCGTTGTGTAAGAATGTAGAAGCTAACTCACCGCTAATAGCCTTGTACAGCAGCTGCCTGCATTCGGGGTTGTTTCTATCGAGCTTGCACTCAAGATGGCGCTCCCCGACCCAGCTGAGTTGTTGGATGCGCTCCGACATGGCGCGGTCCAAGCGCTCGTCGTCCGTGCCGCTCGGGGAGAATACTACTGACGGTAATCTGCCAAGTAATACAGTTATATTAATCCATATAATAAAGGTGATCTACACACAAATATTTATTTTTTAAGGGAAAATCCGTCCGAGCCTTACTGTCTAAAAACCACTTCATTTCGTGGTACATCATTGCCTTTGCTCTTGATGCAATCCCGGCTGGCGAATATCAGTGTTTTAACATCTAGTATTCATAAACTTTGTTTAACTTTGGGGATCTTAGAGCTTTGTAAGTATAAGTGCAAAAAAAATGTGCTGTGCTGAAATAAATGAATTGTTTTTGATACAAAAAGATGACTTGTGAATTAGTTCCCTACAAAAAGTGTTATTGCAAAAAGTTTATGTATTTACTTTTATAATGATTTTGACTGCACGGTTGGCGTGGTGGCTGGGCAACTGGCTGCCGCGCAACGTGTCGCGGGTTCGATTCCCGCACGGAACAACTCTTTGTGTGATCCACAGATTGTTGTTCCGGGTCTGGGTGTGATGTGTATGTGATATTGTATGTTTGTAAACGCACCCACGACACAGGAGAAAATCCTAAAGTGCGGCAACGTTTTTCCAAAAAAAAAAGACATGAACCAGCACCTGAGTTTTTCATTGTTATACAATTTAATAAAGTGTTAATAAATTTCAACTTATAAAAATACTTAAAAGTAACACCTTTTCACTAACTTAATTTCGAATTGTAAAATATATTCGTATTTTACACAATTCAAGACAAATAGGTCAAATAACTATGCTACTTGACGTAATAATTGTAACGGTAGATCGTCCGTCGTAGAGTTTGAGCACATTGTAACTACGTAGTGTAAAAATGTCTGTATGCTACTCACTCATGCAAGTATGTCATGGCGTGTTTCTCCACGAAGTCCATGAGCAGCTCCTTGGTGTCGGCCTCCACGTTCGCGAAGTGCGACGATGTGTCCATGTGCTTCATGAAGCGCTGCGTACACAACAAACATGTTAAATACCTTTTTAAACGCAAACTATAACCGTAATGCTGGATTCATACGGTTATAATTTGTACTGGAACTGAAACCAGTAGAATTTTTATTCAGTGTAATTACGCAATTTAGTCATTATTCATCATAGGTATATTATATCAGTAAACTTTTATAATTGTTTAAAACTATAAAACTTTCCTTGAAAGTAGATAGGTAAGATAGTAGAGTTCTCCATTTTAGTGGGAAAATCAGCAATAAACCTCTTTTTGTCAGGGGGGAATCATCAAACTACTCTTCTCCCGCCCAGGATGAGAGAGAGAGAGAGAGAGAGAGAGAGAGAGAGAGAGAGAGAGAGAGAGTGTCAGACTGACTGACTAAAAACCCCCCGTTCTTTCTCTTACTCTGGGCCGAGGCCTCGACTCATTGCGTTTAACCCGCAACCCCGACTGATCATCAATAAACCTGAGAGTCACACTTTTAGTGACTAACAACCACCCCGTCCTTCTCCTACTCCAGTCCTAGGCCGCGGCGCTTGACCTACAATCCCGGCATTAGACCCCTAAAATTGATAGCTTTTGTTTAGGTATACTTTTTTAATCCAACTACAAATGTACAAAAAATACCTAACTATCTACTCTATATGCCCCTGTATCCTTTTTTTGTGAGGGGAAAATCATCAAATGACTTCTCCCACCAGGGTCGGGCTAGGGGGAGTGTCAGACGCTTACTGACTAAAACACCCCCGTCCTTTTTCTGCTCTGGGCCGAGGCCGCGGTGCCTCATTGCGCTTACCCCGCAAACCTGGCTGGTACGTCTATCCTCAGAATTAAGAACAGAACCCTCCTTTCTGGAGTCACCGTGGTCAATAATTACCTGATACTGTCGCTGAACTCTTTCGGACAGCTCGTCCACGCTGAGCACGTTGGCGCACTTGATGACATCCATGATGAAGCTATGCACGAACAGACGCGAGTCCCGGTCTACCGCGGGACCGAGCTGCGGGAACCGGGCGCGGAACTCCCGTTTCATACCCTCGTTCACAATGGCCGGGATCTTGAATTCCGGAGGACGCTTCTCTGCTGAATGGTCGTGGTCATCTGCAGGGATTGAAGTCATGTTAGTTCTATGCTAAATCATTTTTTCTCAGAAAGGATAGGCAGATATGAACAATGTGAATTTAATTATAGAAAACAAAAAAAAAATATATTGGAAAAATAAAATTTGTATATATTTGGTTTAGTACATCACAATTCACATTCCATTTTGAACCTAAATCGAAGTATAAAACATGATCTAATTCATCAAACTCAGCGTTTGAAGTCAGCGTTCGCGCACCTATTTTCCTACTATTGTGTCTAGAATAACCACGATTGAAAGTTTAACTAAAAACATCTCCTTTAGGGCTGATTTTTCAATGGTCAGATAAAAGTTACCTGGGGAATGATTTCGATGCTGTCGCGTCAGAATATTTGTATAAGACAGTGACAGCAACAATTATATTCCTCAGATAACATTTATCCGACTATTGAAAAATCAGCCCTTAATGGAACATATTTTTTCTTGGACCAGTTTTTATTTATTGTTATTATAATTACATAGTAGATATTTAATATCAAGTCTCTTATTTCATAAATACATTAATACATTTTTATCATAAAGGCAAATTATTGAATAAATTAAATGGTTTTTACACACGGTTTCTGAAAGGCTTGTCAACGCTAAAATTAACTAATCTCCTGTTAAATCTCTTGTCAAGTCATCTGATGACTTGACAAGAGATTAAATTGATTTTAACATATCAATGTTAATTGCTAACGGCTTTTCGGAAACCGGTTGTAAGTGTTTAATAACTTTTTATTGTTAAGTCAACAAAGAGCATGCGTTTACTGAATAGCTTTACTATGTAACTGACCTGTACTACTCTTCTTGAAGACACTGAACTTCAACAGGTTCGCCTTCTTCAGTGTCTCACTCTGCCGGAGACGCTTCTCCTCAAACTTGGAGAACGAGGAGTGGGAGGGAATCCTCAACCCTCGATCCGGTTTCTTCTGTTCTGGTTTCGGTAATGTTGCTGATGACTCTTTTTCTGTTTAAACAGAAAGATCATTGGATTTAAAACAAGTAAAAAAAGATTATCAGGTCACGCAAAGTGATATTTGAAAATAATTTAAAGCTTTTCCTCAATAATACTGTCTCGTGATTGATAAAGATGTACTCAATCTACACTTATATATTATTAAGTTGGAGAGTTTGTTTGTTTGAACGCGCTAATCTCCAGAACTATTGGTTCGAATTGAATAACTCTTTTTGTGTTTGTTGTGTGTAGGAGCCGAGCAGCGAGTGAAACCGCGCGGGAGAAACTAGTCAATGATAAGAAGAAAATTTTTAAATGTTTTTTTAAGAAATATTAAAATTACATGTGTATATAATGAATAAAGAGAATAAAGATATAAACAAATATAAAGATATAGTTTAAACAAATATAAAACTGAACAAATAAATTCCGACCATATTCATGTTCAACGAAAAAAAGCGTTACTTAGATGAGATCAAAATACTTTACAGCCAAGCTTTCTCCAGTAAAAAGGCGTAATTATATACCTAAGATATATGAACCAACATTATGAACAGACAAACATGATCATAAACGGCTTACTATGTACACGAGCTTTGCTTCCCGGTCAATGCACGAAGACACGTGTTGACGCGATAGTTTACAAGGTTTGTTCAAGTTTCTACGCAGTACGTATGTACTAGTTAGCGCATTTCTAGAAACATGTATACTAATACGTACGTACTTACATCTATAGGTACTTCAATGTTAATATTATAAAGCTGTAAAGTTTCTTTGTTTAACGCACCAATCTTAATAAGTACTGTTTTTAATTTGAAATTGTGCTGGTTAGGTATTCCATTTATCGAGCAAAGCTATAAATCAAGCTACGATTAAAAGAAGCCGAGTAGAAGAACATACCGTGCGGGAGTCACTAGTCTATTGTGTATTGTTCTTTGGATGTGGCAATTTTTCGAATTTCATCTATTCTGAAGGGTGTGTAGACCTCCTAACGGTGCGTACACACTCTAAAGGCGTTTTAATGTCTTTCTGTCGCAAATATACCCAATTTGATACATTTTTTATAAATAATATTACATTTATTTCCCGTCAGGATAAGCGGAAATTAAATGCACACCAGTTATATTAAAAACCATACGTAACACTAGGGGGCAACCGACGAACGCGACGGGAATAACCGTGTTAACTCGAATATTCGCATTGCGGTTTTAATAGCCGTTATTATTTTATTAGTTAACATACGTACCTATCTATACGTATTACCTATATTATATTCATCACTTTATAGTATAAAACAGAGTCACTACATAATACTATGAAATGTGCCTAAAACAAAATCGCGTCCCCAGGAATGCTTAAATCTTGAAAACTACATAATAGATTTTGATGCGGATTTTTCAATAGATAGAATGATTCAATAGCAAGTTACTTATATCATTTATTAAGGTTTGCGGACAAAATCGCGGACAGGGATCTAGCAACTTATAATATAATCATCTTAATTTATTTATATTGATTTGTTATGTTTATCAAATAGTACATAACACCACATAATAGAGACACGCCTTGCGATTCACCTTGTGATTCAATCAGTATTTATCTAGCGTGTTGTGTGAAAACCATGTTTATCACAATGATAATAATATATAATAACTGGGAAGGTGAAGTTCACATTATCTGTTCCACAGTTAATTTACTAATACCGCTAATTAATATTATGTACTAACTCCTTGATCAATTCCTTTGATTAACTCACACATATCAAATGTTTGAGTTAAGCCCTAATATCACTGAGGCGCGACGTGTCGTGTCATCATACATATTAGGGAAAAAATAGTAAGAGACAAACTTACATAAAGTATCGCTGTCGAATGCACAGATTCTCTGTGGATTCTATCGCGATACAACACGCCTACGGAAGAGTGTTCACCATAGAATGATTACACAATTTTCATGTTAGAACCTATTTTATGGTTCCGTAAAGGTTAAATCGGGGACTTTAGTTTAAAATTCCGCGCTGTTCTAATTTAAGCTCTCTGCTGTCCCTGTACCAATAATACTGGAACAAAATAAATTATAAATAAAAGTTGCTCATTTTCAAAAAACGTGAATTTGGTTGAGTGCGTAAGTACCTATAAAATAGGGTAAACTAAAAAAAAATAAGAATAGGAAAACTAATAAAGAATTTGAATAATAAAGATGCAATTCAAGACTGCATACAAACACAGCTTTGAGCCTAGAATTGGGTAGTTTCCTAGGTCAAAAATAAATTAATTCGAAAAATAAATATACCTTTATTCATTGATCGATTGGTACACAAAATTTTAGATATTTTCAAGCTAGTTTTTAAGAAATAAGTACGCTATTGGACGCAAAAATACTATGACGTCATAACTCAGTTTTTCACACAAATTTCATAGAAAAGTATCGTTTTTGACATTTGGATAAAAGTATTGAATTTGACTATTTGGGAACTACCGTATTGTATCTGTATTTTAATTCTAAAGAACTTTAATACATCCTAACAATACTTTGCCCCGTATTTTACAGTTATTCTGCGACCTCTCAGCTATCTCAGCAAAGAGTTATTACTAATGTTATTTTAATAGCAAAGCACTATTTACACAAAGACTTACACTGTTTACTTATACATTATTACCAAGTATTGCTTGTCTAGACATTATCTTGCAATTTTAAGTAATTAAGAGAATTATAATTACATAAAAATATACAAATAAAACCAGAAATAATAATTAAAGAAACATTACTCATTCTTTTTAATACTCATTTAAGACTAATTTAAACTATAGTTTTATAGTAATGAGATGCATTCCACAGTTGCATATTATTATGGTTGGTTGCAAAATTAAGATTAAATAATGTAAATAAAGCATTGAATTCCTGTTTGTAATGAGATCAAGTATTTGCTACAGAAATGATGTCAGAGAAACCATTTCATGTTCCATTGTTTCAGAATGAATAAATTCTTTTTATTTATTTTTACATATTTTATATACAACTGTATATCAGAATATTAACAGTATTTTCTGCCAGTCATCCTTTAGTTCTAAGAATGAATGCACAATATATGTACATATTTTATGAAGTTATGGGATGTAGTGATTTATAGGAATTCCTTATTTCAGTGTTGTTTTCGTATTTCGCAAATAAAAAAGAAGAAAATCTGATAAATAGAAGTCCAATTATGGGAAGCATTAGGCATATTAGTGGGCACAGTGCCATACATATATAGGCTTTGGTGAATTCTTTTAATCAGGCTACCTCTATCTCTAATATTAGAAGAGAGAGAGAGAGTCTGAGAATGGAGAACAGACATGCAAATATAAAATGTATAGAAAGAAAGAAAAAGCATTTATCCAACACAACTTGATCAAAAGCTTATTCAATGTCAAAACTAAATTTACAAAATGTTGATTATTTAAGTATGTAATGTAACAACATTCACAAACTGTCTGATGGACACATTGGGGATATCATAAATCAGGTACAATTCCTGACTTTTTTGTTACTATTGATAAGTTAAATAATAAAACTCATAAAATCCTAAACATACTCGCCCAACCTGTAAATAGAATCCAGGATCTTTCTCAGCAGTGACACTCGCAACAACTCAACTAATGAGGTATGAAAAAAAAACATGCAATACTATGTCATTGCTCTTTAGCTCCCAATGTAACTTATCATAATATGTGGGTATTTCCAACAAAGCATATTATAATAAATTAGATTTTGAATAAATTGATAAGGAACAACATGACTCACCAGCCTTCCTCTGACGTTGCATCTGTTCACGGTGACATTTAGAGCAGTACCCCTGCCACTGGGGGTTCCCGAAGTAGTCACAGCCATTCTTGCACTTCAAGTCACTCTGGTCTATCCGCAGAGACGGCATCTTGGATGCAAACATCATATACTTGTAAGACCTCTGCAGATTCGGACCAAACCACATAGTCACAGTTATAATTTGCACAATAATTTTGAATTTAACTTGACTGATGCCCAACTATTTGGGCCAAATTGATCAACCATTTATTTTTGAGCCTTGCTGCTACAGTGCGACACTTGCAGCGACGACCGAACAGTATTACAACTACAATTTAGTCAATTTTTAATGCTCTGCACTCGAATAATCGCCCATTAATTGCAATGACGATATTTTCAGCCCATGTTTGGTAATTTACGATTACTAGGAGCGGTTTAGCGCGGAAGGCAGTATTCATTTCAATGTGCAGCGTTAACGGTGGTCGTTCAACGATTTCCTCCGTTATATAGCCCTTCTCTTATCGTAAAATGTACATACTCGAGTATCTGATAACCAAATGAATACATGTAACTAGTGTAGATGTAGTTTTATGCCTATGTAGATAGTGTGCAGCTATATGAACAGTAATTGTTAATATACACTCACCTCAGGTATTGTAATAATAACAACTGCCTTTTGTAGAATTATTTAATATTAATAATATGAATTAACAGAACAACAAATCATTTTAACACTTCGATTGACAAAAGCAAATTATTTTTGACAATTGACTGACAGTTGCTTTTTACGTCATCCATGTCATTGACAAAGGAACAATGGCATACAGCTCGGAAAAAAATTATAAATTGCTTATGTGCATTAACGTTTAAGACGCATCTTTCTGAATGTTAAATTGATTCTTGGAGCCATTAATTTCTTTCTTGTTGGTAAAGAGTGGTACCATATTTCATTCGTGGGCGGGTTCATAAGTAGAACGCTGCCATGTTCCAATTCTATCTTCACTGCAAAAAAGTAATAATTATTAATATTACTTTTACGATAGTTTTGTGTTTGTGACGCATAATTATATTCACGAATATATAACAATTATTTTCAAGAGGTATTTTTTTTTCGAGCTAATCCTCCTTTTTGCCACCGCCACTGTGGTTGTCAATGGCTTAATGAATGTGGTTGCTATGGTGAATTTAAAACGTAAACATTAACTGAATCGTTTTCATATAATTTATTTTAAATATAAAAAATGGATATGGCAATGCAAATAAAAGATGGACAGTACACAAAAACTATTTATACTATGGTAAGATTGTTGATTCTTTTTGGAAGTACGTTTTAGACGTAGGTATTTATTGAACCTAGATCTTTGAATAAACACAATGCTATAAAATTTATCTGTATCGCATTGTAGCCGCAGTACCTAAGTTTACCTATTACAACAGCGGATAGGATATAGCAGACACTCAAATCCACATAGCCAAAGAGCATAAGTAGTCCAACCTGGGCCAGATAGAGAGCACGAAGGTTCTCCTTTTAGAGACCTAATATTTAAGTATTCCTATCTATATTTAGACACGTGTCTCGAGAATAGATCGTGGCATACATTGTAACGGAGAAACTCGACTAACACAATTTCATTATCAGTTAAGTAGGTATCCACCCAGTCGTTAATAGTTAAGCTTACAGGGATCAATTTCGGAATACGATGACTTGATATAATTGTGAGGAGAAATTGACGCATTTGAAATAAAAACATTTGATTCCCTAACAGGTCCAAATCAAGTTACCTACCTACAAATGAGATATTTATAGGACGAACCCTATGTTAGGTAGTTCTCGCTTATATAAGTAGGTATAGCCTGTCCTATATAAGTAAATAAGTATAACTGTCTGGGTTTCTAGCCAATAAACGTATTCATGAAAAACTTTTTCGCATCGAAAGAGAAGGAACGTAAGCAACTGACTCTTTGCATCAACCCCAAGTAAATTGTGATAAGCCCCTTAGCAGAAGCTTTGATATTAGACCAGACAGAAGGTTCTCTCGCCCAGGGTATGGCAAGGCGGAGTGCCAATCTCTTACTGACTAAAGATCCCCGCGTTCCTTTGCCTTCTCTAGGCCGAGGCTGCGGTACCTTGCCTGTCATTTCGTTACAAAATGATTCATATACATATATGCACCTACTTAGGTAAAGCATGTAGCCTTAAAACACTTAAGTGGTGACCATTTGAGTCAAGTGGTCAAATAAACAGACGTAAGCACCCACCTAGCTGCATGTTTCGAGTGCCATCACGTGATCTGCATGTCGGAAAGCATGAAACTGATATTATAAGTACCTGTCTGTTGTCTAAAAGCACTGCCTCGCAGTTCCATCCTCTTTAACAAACTATCAAGATCCTAAAAACCTTGTAGAAAAAAAATGCAATTCTATATTAACTTTTTTCAACCAAGCAACGGTAGATAAGTGCTAAAACACTTGAAGTTATCACTCCCTCAAAGTGTCATCATTGACCTTTCAAAATAACGGAAGCGAACGTTTCCCACAAACAACGATAACACCATGCCGTGACATAATCGAAAGATATCTAGAAAATGCCAAACCCATAGATATAAACTAGGAAATAAAATTCCAAGGCTGCATATTCGCAAAATAACAAAAAAGAAAACGAAAATAATCTGCAACGACAGTCGTTAAAAAGATAAACAATTAAGTAGGTAGATAAATATTGGAATTAGGTAGTGCAGAAACACGCATTCTTATAACGTCGTTGAGATTAGATTAACGACAATCCAAAGATAATTTTAATGCTTTCAACCTAAATTCATTGACTTTCATCGTCACCTTTTGATACCAACACAACGACAACGGACAAATGTTTTTTATTGCACTGTGTGTGCAATCCTCCTTTTAGTCAAACTGTGTGTGCAATAAAAAACATTTGGGGTTCATTGCGTTAAAAACATAGCTATTTAGGTAGATATCTACTACCTACCTCTAACTTTTTAATTGTGCCAATTTCGTTATACCTAGTGATAACGCTGATATTCTTTTTATCTTTGAAATTAAATTACGTGTAAAGACGACAATATCTGGTTAATCTACAGACTTAACAAAGAAAATTATTATTAGACGCTTTGTTCCTAGCCCGTGCCTAAAACAACGCAATTATGTCAGTTGCATTGATAAAAAATGCACACTGATTATGATAAATTATTTTTAAGCTACTGTTTTCAGCGTTTCATAATATTAAAACTCCTTGGATAATAAAATAATAAAAACAACAACTCTGCTCAATTTCGTAATGTGCTTCACATTTTTAAGTCGTTCTCAACATCCTCCATAAAGGGAGCCTTGAATTGTTTACATATTCCACAATAGATTCAATCAGTTCATAATCTTTGATAACTCAAGTTCTAGACAAAGGCTAGCGTATGACTGTTGTCGATGGGACATAGGTACGTTGGTACCTACTGGCGAACAATTGAGTTGCGGAAACATTAAGATAACCTATTTTCAGCATTCTAAGGCCATTCACGTGGAGAACTTCAAGGCTTGTGAAAGGTATTAACCAAAACGCAAGGCGAAAAGGGACTTTAGGCTACGTTTTAGGCTTTAATGTGCTACACCCGTCCCCACACGTTTCACTTGTAATTTAAATAATCTAATTAGATAATCGCTAAAAGAGTCGTTGTTATGTTAGACCCTAATATATTATCGAACTGATAATCTATTTTGTAATCAGTACCTTTGAACTATTCCAGATTAAGGAAGCGAGATATGACGAAGCAATCAAGGCTCTCAACGACGCTATCAACTTCAGTCCGAACAGAGCAGGACTGTCTCTCCTTGGGTACTGCTACTTCAGGACACAATCTTTCCTTGAAGCTGCCAATTGTTACGAGCAGCTGTCAGCAATGCATCCCGATATACCTGAGTACAAGCTCTATTTTGCCCAAGCACTGCACGAAGCTTCAATGTACGAAGAATCTTATAAAGTCACAATGCAAATCACAGCCCCATTACTTGAAAGAAAGGTCATAAAATTACAATCTGCCATCAAATACGGCGAAGAAGACACAATTACAGCAAAAGGACTCGTAGACTCATATCCTCAAGAGGATCCAGATAAAGACATCAATCTAGGATGTTTGTTGTTCAAAGAAAACCAATACGAGGAGGCTTTGCAGAAATTTTCGCGAAGCCTGAACGTTGTTGGATTCAATGCACATCTTCATTACAACATAGCGCTTTGCTACTTTAAACTCAAAGAATATCCACAAGCATTGAAACATATAACTCTAGTGATTGAAAAAGGAATTCGGGACCATCCCGAACTTGCAGTTGGAATGCAAGCAGAGACTTCAGAGGTAAAATCTGTTGGAAATACACTGACTCTGCATGAGACAGCGCTCACTGAAGTGTTTAATCTTAAAGCTGCCATTGAATTTCAATTGAAGAACATAGAAGCGGCACGTGAAGCACTTAACGATATGCCACCTAGGCATGAGCACGAGCTAGATGCCGTAACCTTACATAACATAGCACTGACTTCTATAGATATAAAGCCAACAGACGGCTTCGAAAAATTGCATTTCTTGCTGCAACAAGATCCTTTTCCTGCAGAAACATTTGCCAACCTTTTACTTCTTTATTGCAAATTTGAATACTTCGATCTAGCAGCTGATGTGCTCGCTGAAAACGCACAGTTTACTTATAAATATTTAACACCATATTTGTACGATTTCTTAGACGCTATAATAACTAGTCAAACGTCACCAGAGGAAGCATTTCAAAAATACGAAGATATTGCCTCAAAACATGCAGAACAACTCAGAAAACTCACAAAAGTGGTGCAAGAGAGTCGTTCTCAGGGGGATAACGATCAAGTAAAGAAGGCTGTTGTCGAATATGAAGAAGCGTTGGAAAGATATATTCCAGTGGTCATGGCACAGGCCAAAATATATTGGGACATGGAAAACTACGGACAAGTTGAAAAGATTTTTCGAAAGTCTGTGGAATTCTGCAATGAGTCAGATGTCTGGCGACTAAACGTAGCGCATGTGCTGTTCATGCAAGAAAATAAATATAAGGAAGCTGCCAGTTTCTATGAGCCTATTGTTAAGAAACAATACGATAATATATTAGACGTAAGTGCAGTTGTTTTAGCTAATCTATGTGTGTCTTACATAATGACGTCACAAAATGAAGAAGCCGAGGATATCATGCGTAAAATAGAAAAAGAAGAAGAGCAACAAATATTTGAGGACCCTCAAAAGAAATTCTACCATTTGTGCATCGTGAACTTAGTTATTGGCACTTTATATTGTGCGAAGGGAAACTATGAATTTGGAATATCAAGGGTAATAAAGTCCCTTGAACCTTTTAACAAACGTCTGGGTACAGACACTTGGTTTTACGCAAAGCGTTGCTTTTTATCCTTCCTGGAAAACTTGGCTAAACACTTGATTGTTGTTAAAGATAACACTATTAAGGACTGCCTGCAGTTTCTCGAAGGTTGCGAGACTTATGGGCGACGAGTGAGTACTGTTATCGAGAACCCTTTTCAAGAAGAAGATGCGCACACTAAGGCTAAGCAAACGGTGACATACGAGGCGCGGCTCTTGCGGTACATGTTCTATAAGCTAAGAAACATTGATGATTCTGTTACTATAAATAAGTATGAGGATTTGAAATAAACGCTTACCTGGAGGTATTGGTCTTTTATCGTTGCCTGTCTTTCTTGCATCTCTGTGTTTGAGCACAAAAGTCCGTTGCTGTCCAAATGATATAGATGCTATAGGAGCTGTGGGATCCAACTCTGGTTCATTGTCTCTGTGCTCGCCCATGTGATCGTTACCATTTCTATATCTAAATACGGAATGTATGCATAAATTATTCAATACCATCAACTACACATATGATCTTTTTGTAAAAAAACTATTGTTCTTTTGTTGCATCCTCTCATAAAGTTTATTACACGAATTAATTCAATAAATTGAAAACTAGATAACTAATCTTATGACGACTCAATCATATCTTTGTTCTAGTCGTTATTTTATGTAATCATTAGATAAATTTATACAAGAACGTAGATAAATAGAGACGCGACGTCTCATAGATTTCAACGACTCGTCACCTACAATCTGTAGTAGGATTTCAAAATCTCTTATTTTTATGACAAAAAATTGCCAACTTCTGCCTGCTTTAGGGCCTGGCCAAACGAGAACCTTATTCATTCAGACAAACAAAAGACCCTGGTCTGTGTAGTAGGCCCGCTTGTGTCAAGTAAATTATATAGATATTTAAATATGTAACCTGTTTATGTAACTTACTTGTTTACCAAAACAAAGTCGTATTTAATCCCTTTTAGAGCTACAAGAAAGTCTCGTAGAGCCAGAACAGGCGCCGGCCAGGGTAGAGCGGGTACTGTAGTGCCAGAATAAGTGTACGTGATACCCGGATCGCCATAGGCTACTTGCTGCCGTGGCAAAGGGTAAATTTTGCCGAACACCCTAAAATTAAATTAAATAACAATAAAAATTACCTACAAGTTTCGCAATTATTTTAAAACAAAATGCCTTATGAGGTCGGTTTGCATGTTGAGCTCAAAAACTATCGAATATTTTCCTACTACTTTCACCAAAAGGTAGATCTACATATTTAAGTATAAATATTTACATCCGATCCGTCTTATTACAAAATTAAGTTTAAAGAGTAGGCACTAAAGTTTATTTTTACCTTGATTCTACTTTCTAGGTTTATTCATTTACAGTTTTGGTCTTAAACTGGTGAAAAATAAATTTGCAAAATTTCTATCTAAAGTCAATAGGTACCTACCACGGTACCTATCTAGTTAGGTCCTAAGTAGCGGAACATGTTCAACAGTGGATCACGGATAAACGTGAATTATTTGCTAAAACTCTACCTACACTACCCACACGCGTCGGTTTTGCGAATGCTATCTGGTGATTAAGCCCTAACCCTACAGATGTAGTTTCATGCTCGTTCTTCTGCATCCGAATCTACAATTTAGAACAAGCACCTTTTTGTTTTTTTCATAAAGCCAAAATCTAATGATTGAGCGCGGAACGGGTCTGGTAACGAGCACCTAGCTTCACTGACGAATAGACTACTGTTTTGACGATTCAAAAATATCAACTTTGATATCGTTTAACTTTGAGAGATGATCTCCGGCCACCGTAAGCGCGGGTTTGCGGGCAGCGAGTAAGAGTAGCTCGCCGCCTGACCAGAACCAGACCCAAGCGTACGGCGTGTAGCGTTCCGCGCGCCTCAAAGAGCCAGTAGAGCACCACAGACGGGGCAATGAATTACCGCGGCCTCGGCCCAGAGCAGGAGTCAGTAAGAGAAGAGTCGGACACTCTCTCTCGCGTCACCCTGGTCGGGTGAAGTCATTTGATGATTTTCCCATGACAAAAAAGGTATAGTTTATTTGGAATACCTAAATGATTTTGACTTTTGACCCCGTGGCCCCCGACCAAATAGTCACTGAATAACAACGGAAGAATGCATGACGGCCTCTCTCGTTCAGTAGGTAACAGGTACTGAACTTAGTTTTGTTTTGCGTTTACAATCTTACTTTATTTTAGACAAGTCTCCAGTAAAATATTCCAAACTCAATTCAAGTTCTTTAAATAATTCACTTGCAATAGCTCTAGGTATAGGTACAGCATATTCCAGATCAAGGCCTTCTTCTGTAATAGATTTCCAATTAACTTCCTCCACAGCAATTTCCCTTAACTTTTCCATTCCTAAAACGAATGGTAATTTTAAATTAGCGTGTGGTAACATTTTTGTTGTTTATAACCATAGACTAATTCATGTTGAGATTTATACAAAACATGATTTATTTTATGAGTTTCCGATATTTTTTGCGTGTATGATTAAAACATACAATATATACACACGCATAAAATACTTTTACAAAATATTTTTGACGTACTTACCTGATATGTTATATTTTTTAGATATAGACAGGTTTGTTTGTTATTTCAAGTGCGGATCAATAATTATGTACAAAAATTATAGCTTTTGAGGTTAGTTAGAGCCAATGTTGCCATACAAAATGTAAAAAATTACTGCTATAGATCTTTCAAAAACAAATGAAAGGTAATTTATGTGTAAATAATATATTCTCAAAAAACTTCATCCGAACGTAAATCTTGTAAAAATTCAACCGTATTGCAAAGGTGGTCCGGGTAACCGTAGTGTAGCGTTCGTTACAATAATATTATTTTGCAGAAATTTTTGAAATGCCTCGGAACCAGTAAGAAAGCCTTGAGTTGTTATAGGGTAGTCTACACCGACGCATCGAGACTGTCTTCCTGGTGTTTCATTAATAACAGTTGCTGAACTGAAAGCGATAGAAGATTGTTAAAGTAAATAAAATATATGCACGTAGTTTTATTAATGAATCTACGTAAACTAATAACTTGTTTGAATGACACATACCTCATGAAATCCAATAAACAATCCTTGTCATAATAAACAGAGTACTGCCGAATTCTTTTAATTGTTTCTCCTTCATTTAAATCGGTCTCGTAATCATATTCGTACAACTTTTCTATAAGACCGTTTTTGTCTTTGACTGTCCAAACATATTCACCGGGAAGCCCCTTCATTTTGGGAGCGTCAGATATGAAAGGTACTAAAACATCATCCTGAACTATTTCTGCAAAACGCGTATTTACACTTATGGGCCAACTACTTGAGGAATTACTTGACTGTTCAGTTAGCTGCCAATTCGAAGAGGAAGCTGAGGTGGATCGTGATTTGTCCAAAAACTTTTGTATCTCGGCGCCCACATCCGCATTTAGTAAATTGTCGTTAGTCCTTACTATAAATTTACTGCAGAAAGCTTTTAACTGATTGTTCGTTGACTTGTACACTTCCTTTACTAGTTCCAACAAATTTTTTTCGGCTTCCTCTTTTTCTTTTGCGAGTTTTTTGACCCGGCTTTTCAAAAATGAGTTTTCTTGATGTGTAACTAAATATAACTGTTGGAAACTAACATATTTAGATCTATTTTCTTTTAGCACCTTCTGTGTATTCTCTATATGCCTGGCAAGTCTATTTTTTGCCATTGTTTCTAACTCATACTGCATTCTAATGTTTTTGTTTTCGTGGATGGCGGCTATCAGGAGTTGGCCTAAGTTTTTTCTCTCTTCGCCAACCTCCTGCAATTTCTTGAGTAATAATAGATTTATTCTTGGATTTTTCCTCGTCGCTAAGGCCCACAATCTGATCCACAACTTTAGTATTTTATTACTAATTTGCAACCATATTATTTTGATTATAGTTATTTTTAAATTACATATTTTATACAGGATTACTTTAAAGTATTCTTGCACTCTTTCGATTATTGCTCCAGTGTTTATTTCAGAAAATGTTCGTTCAATAAGGAGAATTATTTCTTCCTTCCTATTGTACAAGGATACTACAAGAGTTCCGGCGAGTAACATAACGCATTGAATTATAGCGGCTCTTGGGAGCTTGGTGGTCACTTGCTTACAATATTGTTCGCTTTGGAACTGCACGTCATCTTCTAATGGAATCGTTGTATTTCTAGCAATCTGTGATACCTCTGTATTTCGACCTGAAACATATATTTTATTTGACGAATAAATTGGTAGTTATCTTGTTCGGTTAGGTTACCTAGGTACCTACCTAGTCTATAAGCTTTCTTCCAACTATTTAGTAACACAAGTACCTACGTATTTATGTTATAGCTTTTATTAAACAGAGATGTTACTTTCCGTACTTTCTTTCGTTGTATAAGGTACTTGGACATACAATAAACTCACCCTCATGTTTAATTTCAACGTTTTTTTTGACAATTATATCAATAGTGCACATAGATAGCCACATAGCGAGAGTCAAACCAATCAGCCACTTGAACGCGATGTACATTTTACGTTATTTAAGAAAATAACGGATTTTATTAAACATTTAATTTGCTAGATTTGTTATTACACTGATACCGAACCGTAAATTTATTGAAATAACCTATCGAAAACATATTTTGCAAATTACAAAACTTGTGACGTTTGTTATTGACTTATTAATTAAAAGTGCATTGACAGTTCTATTTTTATTTATTATGGAATAGTAGCTAAGTATGTGATAATAGAAAAAAGGTTTATTACCTAGTTAGTGTGGGTAATCAAATAGGTAAGTACTTGCAACACATTCAAGTGTTGCAATACTAGCCATATTTTGACAGGGGACCTATGTAAGACTACCTAGAACTCTACCTTCTTTCTTTTACGCTTACATGAATAGAACTTGTACCTAAATACTATCTATATTTAGTTGTCAGCGGAGGGATACACCGCTGAAATGGCCTCGCTCATGTTAAAAATACACATTTTATCCTATAAAAATGCGCTATGAAACATTGTAATATAATTTCATCATATTAATGTCTGGTGTGAATAAACGTCACAGTATCAAATGGGTAAATAGTCTTCAAATGTTTTAACACATAAATTAAGTAGCTCCCTAGGTTTTGTTTTATGGTAACTGATAACCAGCTGTTTATTTATAGCTAAAAACGTACCTACCTAAGATTTAAATCTCGTAGGCTACCATAAAGTAACAGTAGCGCCACCTATTAGCTTTCGGAAGTAATTAATTGATCACAGTACCTACTTTGAATATTCAAAGAACTTTTATTATATGTAATGTTCGCTGATTATTGTTCATTTTTATTTTGCAGACTTTATTTAAATACATTTTCCAGTTTGACAAAGTTGTATGACTGATAAATCCAACTCCCTTTACCTTTTATCACTTCGGAAGTTAGGATACCAAATCAGGTAAAATAAATAAAACTTATCTATGTTTTTAATTACGAAACTTTTAATTACAGTTCTGATGTGAGCATGAGCCACTGGAAAGAGAAGTAGAATATGAAACTAGCTTCTTATAATTATAAAAAAACATTATCAATTATTATTGTCTAACTAGGCTAATACCTTTTTGGATAATAAAGGACGCATGTTGATGTTTCCATCAATACAATGTTGTCGCAAATGTTCGTATTTTCACCAGAACTAAATATCAATACATTGCTCGACACTGGAATCGAACCCACTCACGAAACACAGCAATACCGTCAGCACGTAAACAGAAATTAAAACGCATATTGAACACATTTTATTTATTAAAAATAAACATCATTATTTACCAAACAACAAATTGTTCTAAGTAAAAAATTAATCTCTGATATTGTACTAATAGGTCCTAGTCTTTAAATCTAAATAGTTTACTTAATTTTACTCTTATTGCTAGTCTTAGTAGGCTGAAGTTTTTTTTGTACCATTCCTTGTTATAATTTAAATGTAACTTCCAATTTTTATCAAGAAATGCTTTGTAGAAAACACTCATTTCATCTGCTGTCAAGTTCTGTTTGTCTACCGGCATATTCTTCTTTAAGTATTCCTCCCTTTCCTGTAAATAAAAAATATAGTTAATACTTAAATAAATAACGAAATAACTCAATATGTAAATTTTTATTTTTTTTTTTTTTTTAATTGTATCCTTGTTTTCTAAAACTGATATGTTTGTTTGATCATTTTAATCTTAGGAATTACTGAAGCCTGATTTAACTCATTATCATGAACGCAATAGGCATATAAAACATGCTATATTAAATAGTAGCTACGCTGGAGATAAATATTTGCTCACGAAATTATATTACAGTATTCAGTTGTCTTTAGAGAATGGCTAGACCATAGCTTGGCTTGGCCATGGCTTCATAGTCTTTATTTTCATTTAAAAAAATAGGATTTTGCTCTAGGCCAAAGGTTTTTGGTTTTTTACTTCATTTTTAAAAGGTACTTATGTTATTTTAAAAAGTAGCAGATTTATATAAAGATGATGATCACTACGATTATCTCTTGTGTCATGGGTGCACTGACAAACATACAATTTCACATACACATTACACCCAGACCCAGAACGACAATTTGTGGATCACACAAAGAGTTATTCCTTGCAGCAATCAAACACGTGCAGTAGCACAGCCACTGTGCCAATCATTCAATCAAATTTACCTACCTGTTTATAATTTTTTTTAACACATCTAACTCATTGCGAATTAGGCTAAAAATTTGTTTTATATTGATTTTTTATATTTTTATTGAGTCTATTGAGGACTCGTAAATATTTTCAAAAATGATGTAATTCACTATCTTACATATTTTGAAAATAAATGATAAGGTTGACCCGTGAACTCAAAAAAGTGACATGTGTATTACAGATAGCAAGGTAAAAAGATAGTACTTACAGAGTGATGGGTCAAATATTATGATAAGGGGGTCAAAATTTATCTCATACAAACTCATACTAATCTCAACCAAATCATCTAATTAATTTAACTGGCTTTCAAAAACATTTAGGTAATTTTCATTATTAAAAGTTAATTGGATCAGCTAGAATATTGGAAATATGGGCTTACTAAGAATATTATTAATATTATAATATGTCCAAATTACACATACAACCTTTTTCAGGATATCTAAATAGTTGAGATGTAGCAGATAAATTTGAATATAGAATGTTATTTACAAGATATGTTTAATATTGGGAGATTATATGAAGATGCCATTACCAATAACATTTGCTACCACATTTAATCAATCATTATTTCATCCAAACTAATAATTATAAATTTGAAAGTAACACTGTCTGTCTTTTCTTCATGCCTAAACTACTGAATTGATTTCTGTGAAATTTAGTACAGACATAGTTGGAACTGGAGAAAGGACATAAAATTTATTATATGAAAAACCTAAACCTAAATAGTAGGATAGAATTAACAAGCATATTGAGTAGTCATTCTCTAGGTATCTAAGTAAACACATGTTTAACTATGAATACTTATAAAATTACACCATTTTCAGCCAAAATAGAAAACAATAACCATACTATTGTTAAATAAAAAGTAAAATATTACCTGGTAAAATCTAGAGTTATGTTTCTCCCAAAATTTTTGGTTCCATTCTTGAACTTCAGCTCTCATTTCTCTGTACCTTTTTTCTAGCTCTGTTTCATTGGGTGGAATTCTAAAAATTACTTTTCGAAGATTAGAGACAGGATCTGGCGGGCCTACCATATCTGTGCTAATTCTCCTCGGGTTAGGAGGCTGGATAGACTTCGATTCCTGTGTAGCACTTGCATTTCTTACAAAGAGTAAATATGATTTATGTCTGTGAAACTTTACAATTCTATTCGAAATCATCTTTTTTTGTTGTATATTAAGTACCTAATTAAATTTTTATCTACACATTTTCAAAGACTAGTACACTCGAGGCCTCCTAGAGCGAAACAATTATTGAATTTAAATAATTTTACAACAATAATTCGATGTAAAACTTTTCTGTCAAAATCAGCTGTGGACTAGTGAATTGTCAATTGTGTCACAGATTATTTAGTAAAGTGCGCAGCTGTAATCTCTGTAAATTTGTACTACGTTGTACTATCATTGCCTGAGAAATGTATAATATATAATTTAAAAAATGTATCAAAACTATAAGCGACTCCCCCCTTTTTTGCACGGGTGCAATGCTGTTACTAAAGTTTTCCACTATTTAATGGATGTTGTTACGCATCCTTCCTCTTCAATAAATTTTACTCAAAAATGGCATCAAAATCCGTTGTGGATTTTAAAATATTATACAATGAAGAAACAGAAAAAGTGACTGCGTAATGTAGTAATTTACTTAGCAATTTACCGTTAAGAATTTGTAAAAATACATTAAAAAATAAAAAAACTACCTTTCGAAACAGTTTACTCCGATTATACAACGTGATATCCCGCATTTTTAGGGTTCCGTAATCAACTAGCGCTCATTATAGTTTCGCCATGTCTGTCTTTTCTGTCGGTCCATCCGTCCGTGGCTAATCTCAGTGACCGATGACCGTTAGCACAAGAAAGCTGAAATTTGGCACCGATACTTATTTAACAATCATGCTGACAAAGTAATAAAATATTTTACGTGGTATACCACCTCTACACCTATAGGGACTAGGGAGTGTCTTTATTTTTATTTTATATTGTTGGATAGCTATTTAAAAAAGAATAGAGGTTTACTGAGATCTTTTTTGACAATCCTAGTATTTTAGCTTCACTGACGAACAGACTGACAGACTAACACGTTTCAAAAGTACCTATTTATGGTTTTGACTTTGGTTTTTTTTACGTGTTTTAAATTACGTTACTTACAAAGAGTGTACTTACATTATTTTAGTTAGACTTTCAAGGCGTCAGTGCACGACCTCTTACTCATTGCATTACATACTGGTTAACTATAGACTAATTCCTATGCATAAAAATCGTATACAGAGAATAAATAACCTACTATGTTTTTATTTTTTATAACCTGTACCGTGATTTGACGTAAATGTTGCGCGGAAATACAAATCACAAAATGTGTTGATATGTAGGTATTTGAAACACCAAAATGATTTTAAATATATAACTATTACTTAAAACCATCTAATTTCAACTTCATGATCAGATTTACTGCAAAGCTAAACATAAAGAAATTTTCACAAAGGAGATGGATACAAAAAAGCCCAGGTCTATTTCGGCTACAGTGCAGTTATGCTTGAGTGATGCTCTATTAAAAGCAGGTACGGTTTAATAATAGGCTACATAGGTACTTTTAATTCTTAGTAATAGCACCACACCTATAAACATTACTAAGCGATGCTACTTACAAAACAATACTAACAAAAAGTATATAAACATAGGTACTACTTGATTAGCTTCCTACCAACACGTTTTTTACAGGAGCGGGAACTCTAATTGGAACAGTGTTGTCTATGTTATTTACGCAAGGCAGGCGCTTTCCCATTGTCATGGGACTAGGAATGGGCTTGGGTTTCTCGTGGGCCAATTGCCAGTAAGCTATTTAATATTTTTATGTAAAGAGACTTAGCTGAGTATTAGAGATTTAGAATAATTAATGTAAGTAGTTAATTAACCTATATGAAAATTTGTTCGAAGTTAAGTACCTATATCAGTTCGTAGAGACCATATTATTTCAGTTTTCACTTTTTATAAAAAAAAATTATAACTTAATTCAACAAAGGTTCTTTAAGAAATCGAATATAAATAGGTATTACGTTACGAGTTTGTACTCTCTACACTATCGGAAGCACTGAAGAACCACCAGCTTTTGATGCAGGCTTATTGTAGCTATAACGTGAACACCTAGGCACCAATGAGCAATACCGGTCACAAACGGTAGGCGAAGGCACGTTGGACTGATTCGAAATAGAAAACCAGACAGAGAACTAAAGTTACTGATAAAACTCAAATAATTAACGAGCTAAATTGGCAACAGTGAGTCGAACAAAGAACAAATATGTTGTTATTTATGGTGTTATCCTTCTATGCATGTACTTTACTGTTTGATATGTGTAGGTTTGTACAAATTATATCGGTGTCTAGACACAGGTTTAACTGACACCGAGAAGCAATCTGGATCAATTGCTAGCAGCAGTAAACAATGTGCGAATCAACTTCGGGTATCCTCGTGTCTCTCTCTATCAGCTGGGTCCTTTTCTATGATAAGTGCACTGGTATGGGAACAGAGCTACTGCCGGTGATGGGCCACAACAGTCCCTCAGAGTAAGTAGCTGGGCCGCAGAATTGGTTGCTGAGTAGCTCCCACCGCCTCACTGAAGTTTGCTTTAACCTAGTCGTCTCAAAATCACTGCCATAGAAATGTGGCGACGCACATACAAGAAGAAGACAATAATCAACGGATGACGTCACAAATCCTATTTCGCGCTAGTGAAGTATGCGCGCTATTTAACGCAGCAGATAGAAAATTTTAACGAACAACTGTTGGGCCGTAGCCCGCCAGCTTGATTACTTCGTCGTAACAAATTATATCTGAACGCACGTCAAAAATGTGCGCAAGAAAATCTCATGCTCAGTACAAATTCGGAGTAGGTATCGGGATGAGCCGAATTTTCGAGGATAACAAACATTCTGCATATTTGTATTTTTACACGCAGCGGCTTCTTAATAAATTGAAAAAAAAACCATTTCATTTGGTTTTTGTAATACCCATTTCCTATAATTTTTAACAAAAAAAAAATTATTTTCTGGTAATATTTTAAGTGACACTAATGACTTTGACAAAATGACAGTGACATTTTTTATGACAGTGTCACTGAATTACCGACCATTTTCCCGTGTCGTCTAATTTTTCACACCGAATTATGTAAAAGCCACGAAAATCCTAATAATTTTGTTTCTCGGTGAATGTTTTAACCATCAAATACAGTAAAACCTGTAAAAAATTGTATTTTTCAATTTGTGGTGAAAATAAACAAATTTCATAATGGTTAAAGAAAAAGATCCCGAAGATATATACCGAAAAAAACTGGACATGTGCATTACAGACGGCATCGTAAAAGGAGGTAAATATTGGCTCATTTTTCCTCACCCTGACATGACATAAATCTATCGTAAGTTCAGCTGACGATGAAACCAGGGTAATCAGTGGTGAATTAGGTCTAAGACATCAAGCTGTTATCTGGATTGATTAGCTGCTCCCTATGCTTTGTATACTTTAGTGTTGCTTCTATATACATATGTTAATAAAATACCAAATTAACTTTATCAAGTACTAGAGTTGATCAACTTTTATGAATTTGTTAATATTTAATGATAATGTTTCAGGTGGGGGCTTATTGCTAGGTACCTTAGCGTCGGTGCTTATTTTCAAGAGGAGGTGGCCCATCACAACTGGTTTAGGCATAGGCATGGGTATTTCTTTCGCCAACTGCCAGTACGCTCTAAATAATAGAACTAATTCTCTTTAAGTATAATTAGTCATAGCGTCAGTATAGTTGTCAGGTAGGCATCATTTTAGTGTACACTAGTGTAAGTTAGAAATGCTGTAATATTACATTATTATATATAATTAAGTTGTATTTTTTGTAGTAAAATCACAGTTATTTATTGGAACAAAGTAGCTACATGTAATTGTTTGTTTCTTTTATTTCATACAGAAAATAAGACAAAAAGATTACAAGTTAAAGTTCTTAACAAAATACAGATTTACCAATAATAATATAGATATAATATGCAATCATGAGAATATAAATATACAACATAACATAATAAAATAATAATAATCACAGAACATATTTTTCATTGATATTTTACATTTTAATCATGGTAATTCGAAGAAAGTGACTAGTTTTGTTTTGATGTGGAAATAAAAAACACTGCTTAATATCAATAAAGACAACAATCCATCAATGAGAAGTTTTTCTTAACAAAATGTCTTGTTGTAATCTTATTTATGATGTAATCTTGTAAATGACTGGTTGCAGGTGGTTATGGAGTACCAGACACAAGGTTCATAAATAGATGCAATACAGGTTTGTAACTGTTTTATATGCATATTTATTGTAATTGTAACAAAAATTTTCAATGAAGATTTAAAATTCCACTAAGTTGCTGTTTATTTACCTAAAAGATAATGCCGAAGACCCTTTCATAAAATAACCTATTTCACTTTGATTAAGTCTTTATTCATAAAATTGCCATTTTTTATAAAATATAAAATGAAAAGATCAGTAAGGCAGAATGACAACTTTATAGATAAACACCTATTCTTAATGGATAATAAAATGAGTGCATGGTTGAAGAAGTGTCCGAGCAACCGGCTACATGTGTCGCGGTTTCGATTCCAGCATAGAACAGCTCTTTGTGTTCGACAAATAGTTGTTTCTGATCAGTGTGTCCTTTAGGACACAGGAAAAACGCTAGGGAAGAACAACCATATAAAATTACAAGAAATGTTTCTTTTATATTTTTAGCCACACATTTTAGTAACTAAGCAATTTTTTCTTGTTTCAGCCTTAAAATGAAAAACTCTAAGGCTATCAATAAAATAAAAGACAATCTTGTAAACCGGAAACCATTAGCTTTGTATCACGAGACCAGGACCAGCTGACCGCTACAAAGATCAATAATTGTTATGAAATAGATGCAGTTAATTTAATTAGAACTTCTTGTTTTATTTTTTTCTGGAACAATCTATTTCTCTTCTGGAATTACATCTCTTGGAGTATGCATTGCGGAGATTAGTTTTGTTCCTGTGCTAGGTACATCGTGCTTCGTATGCTGTGACGTAAGACATAGAATACTCCAACATTCCTCTCAAATACAAAAGGAAAATAAAAACCATAAATAAAGAACATTATTTATTCATTTATTGTACAAATCGATACTGGAATTAAGATAAAGGATAGATTTAGTGTATCTTAACAATAAAAATAATTTAAATACAACAATAATAATTATATTTTAGTAAGAATAGACAAGCTTTACCAACAACCCATATACAGACACCAACATGGTGATAACTTTACTATAAAACATGGCAACACAGGTTAAACAGCACATTTATACAGTTCCGTACCGGGGGAGCCACTGTCGTTTACGCGCGGACCTTTCTTGGACAACACATAAATACTGCAATGTGACATCTAAAAAGTATACATTCAAAAAGTGCTATCATAGCAGCAAATATGTATAATACAAACATCAACTGTAAAGTTAGAATTACTCAGAAAATTATTCGTTCACATCTATTGTCTAGAATGGGTCCAACAGAATGCGCATGCAACAAACATGTCTGAACAAACAAGTCCCACCAAGAAACATCATGGAACAGTTACATTGATAACAATCACATAGTTACACATTTTGTTAGATCTATAAAAATTTGTCTTTTTATTCATCAAACAATTTCATTTTGTAGAAAAAATGCACTTTATTGTTACCGCACAAAGGGTTCGAAATCGAAAACAGAATACTTAAATTAATTGTCATGCGTAAACACTTAGAAAAACATGAAAAAATAATACATTTTATATAGAAGACGCAAGTGATTTTACGAAATACTATCCCACTGTACATTCATAGTCGCAATGAATTAAATAATATTTACTGGCAAGAAATATTCACAGAGAAAATAAAACTTCACTATAGCGACTACGACCGATGTACAGACAATAATATGGCAATAACTATAATTAACTAAATTATTATAAAACATTTGGTAATACATTTGACTAGTAAATCGTTCGGGACAACCGAATACACTCAGGAACAATAATAAACAAGACTTTATGAACAAAGTTAATACTACAATAACTATTAAAATACTAATACAATAGCGATTTGTCTAGCAATCCGAAAAATAAATGATCGTTACTTTGACTAAGTTTTGTAAGAATCTTCAAGTTAATTAAGGTACATATTTTTAAACAAAGTAAACAAGCTGTATTTTTTTATGTGGTAGATCGGCAAACGAGCATCCGCATTACCTGATGGTAAGCAATAAGGACCGCCCATGGACACCCGCAACAAAGGAGGAGTTACGAGTGTGTTGCCGATCTTTTGGGGATTAGGTATTTTGAAATTGGATAGGGGAGAGATTGGGCCTCCGGTAACTTCACACGAAACACGCGAAACAACACTGTGGTTGCTTCACGCCGGTATTCTGTCAGGACGTGGTATCACTCCGGTCGAGCCAACCCATTCGTGCCGAAGCATGGCTCTCCCACACTTACTTTGAAGTCTTACCGTAAACGATCCACAAATTTCCAGGTACCAAAAAGATTTTTTGCAATTTGTTCTAGTAAGTATCTATAGCATTGCATCAAAACCCGTCAAAGTAACGAGCCTACGCAGTTACCACGTAGTTTGCTTGCTTTACAATAATTTGTTCTCTAGCTTTCAACAGGCAATATTACGAAGCTCAATCAATTTTACTAGAAGGTAGAATGTATAAAGATTTAAAAAGGTGTAAAGTTACTATTACATATCGTGATGGATATCGATTTCTATTGCTATGCTAGTCTATAGGAATCGTGGCACTTGTTTATTGGTCAGTCTGGTCAAAGTTGAATTAATGGAAAATGAATAGAATATAAATATTATTTTTCCACGTCATTATTAGTCTGGACTTCTAAAAGAGACCGCTAACTTTTTTCGGTATGATCTCAGAAGAAATCTAGGATCTAGTCACGATAGGAAATAGGGCCTCGAATAATTTTATCATTTTGACGCGTGAAGGTCCTGCTTTTTTATAGCCTAAACTTTATTACGTATACATTCAGAGATATAATAAAGTATCTGTTGTATACGTATCTCGACTCAGTTTTATATAGAAAAAACTTAAATGTAACATCAACAAAATCAATTATAAGTCGCAGAAAACTGTGGTAAATAGCAATAGAAGTCGAAGTCCACGTGGACATGTAATAACGTATTTACGTTAAATGAGGTGCAGTGCTGAAATACTGTCCTTACTTCATTGTACTCTCTATAAAACTAGTTATTGTGATATTGTGAAGACAAATTGCTAATTTACAGCTAATATTAATTTATTTATATAAAAGTGTGAATATTTGTTTCATTTCTCTTAATTTCTTATTTGAACGAGGACCGGTGTGAATGAGCGTTTTTTTGTTACCGCTAGAGGGCGCTAATGAAGTTTATGGCATACTGTAGCTGTCAAAAGCTGGTCAGTATCTAACGAAAATGTTTTTTTTATGAGGCCATATTCTCCATTAACGCTTGAAGCAGTAAATATAGCCGCATTATGCCCATTATTATAAAATTACGAAATATACATGCGAGGCAAATACAAAAACATATACATGAACACAGATATAGAAACCTTGTAAACGAATACGATGAAATGAACTAAACTTATATAAATAATTTGTATATTATTATTATAGTCATTAGCTAAATAGACGTGGTTATGCAAAAGTGGTTCATCACGGTAAGTTTATATGGCTTTCTCTGAGTGACACAAACTTGAAAATTGCTTAAATGTAGTATTTAAAAGTTAAACTAATGACATATAAATACTAGTCAGGACTTGATAGATGTCTTGATGAACCAACAGAAAACACAGAGTCATAGACAAGGTAATAAATACTTACAAATACTAAACTGCCTTATTTCAATGTACGATGAATCACTTTTGCATAACCTTCCTATTACATTCCTCAATATGAATTGAGTTCTAACACCGGCCTCCGAACGTTATAAACTCCGAGCTAGAATAAAGCTAATACCTATACAGTAGGAGAATCAGTTCGCCTACTTATTCAACATAGGCACTAATACAATTTGGCCTAGCACTTTGGACACATTTCTTTTTAAACATACGTTTTATGACGTCTCTGAAATTCCTTTAAATATTGATTGTTTGATTTGCAAGAATATCGCAATCAACAAAATATTGACTTTCTTCTAAGGAATTGTTTAAAATGGTTAGAGGTAAAACCTTGGGTTTACTTCGACACTTTAATAAATCTTTTCACTTCACTTTAATTAATTCATCATTATAGCAGCTATAAAATCTACTGGTGAATTAATATCTCCCCCCCTCACCCCAGTGACTTCAAGGTCAACCTATTGGAGGCGACTTGCTACCGTCAGCTGCCTGCATATATTACTGGATTACAAATAACTCCATGAACTGACTTTTTAATTCGTTTATCGACTTGTCTTAGGATGGAGTTGCCATTTACGCATTGTCAATAGAAATGTGTCCAAAGCAAATTGATAAGTATTATACTTGTTTAATCGACTGTACCGTGCCGCACAGTCACACAAAGTACCACGCAACGCGAGCTCGTGATAACCTGACACCGTATTATTATATTATGTCGGATACGCAACTTTCCGAATCGTAATCTAAAAGCTGTCTTATTTCCTTTACATAAGGCTCTCATTTAGAAAATAGATACCTGAGCCGCTGACACACATAACTGCTTTTACTAATTATAAAAAGTTTTCCTGGAAGCTAATTATTTTGTCTTAAAAAAGTCTTAAGTAAGGATATAGGCGGGACTGAATTCTTCAAAATTTTGTTTATTTAAATTCAACTTTGTGTCTCCAAACGTAAGGTCGTATTTCCGTTGATCTTGTAACATATTACAGATTTCAAACAACGATTCGGACCAGCAATCTCAACTCTCAACTCCTTACTCGGTCATCAGCTCTAAGGCAAACCGTTACGATTAATTATCACACTTATTTATAATCTATGGTCAAAAACGGCAATAACCGGGCAGTATATTTCCTTAACAACGACGAAAAAATACAAGAAATTAATTAAATTAAAAACTGTTTTGAACCATGCTCCGTTTTGGCGTAACTAGGCATACACTGGCCTTTTAATAGGAATAACCATTTTAAAGGAAGCTCCAACGGATTATATCGAAGATATATAGAATAACAACCATTTTAAAAGAAAATATAATTCTATATACTACTTAAAAAAAACAATACTTATTATTATTGAAACATTACTGCCATTGGAGCTATTAAATCAATTATGTTTAACGGATTACTCCCTTAACTGCTTGGTTAGTGGTAGTTAGCTGCGCTTCGTTCGCTCATGAATATGAGTCCCTAGCTTGACTTGAAACTAATCTAGTTATCTCGTAAAACAGTAACGAGAGTAAGTCGTTAAACATACTCAAACAACACTTTATTTCAACAATAACTATAGTTCACTATTAAAAAAATCTATTTTTAACAGATCTTTACATTACAATAAGATTCAAATAACACAAGATTCATATAAAACTAACAACCCTAGTTACGTCACAACGTGTCACGAGTGTGTGTGAACAGAGTATATGTGTGTGTTTGTGTGTGTACGCTCACTTGGTGGTCATGTCGGGCCAGTAGTTGATGTAGTAGCGGTGGGTGCTGCCCTCGAACAAACGGTCCAGCCAGTTCTCCAGCCCGTCCAACAGATTCTCTGTTGAAAGTACAGGATAAACATAAAGTGTAACCATGCAGTTTCTTGCTCGCTCTTCTACACTTTAGAACGAGCAAATAGCTTCACTAGAGGACAGTAACAGACTGACACATAAAGTTAAACTTTTTGATATTTATTTTTGTTTGACATTCAAAAGTACCAGCTAGTTTAGTGCTCTATGTATTTAAAATAAATGATTTGGCTTTGAATTTGGTGACAGAAAGTCCAGGATTAAAGAATTAGTACCTGGTACCAAGCTTTGCTTCCGAGATTAACCTCTACATACAAACTAATAAACAAATGTTTAACTCTAAGAAAGAGAAAGAGTTTAACTCTTTGTGAAATGAGTATAGCTACAAAAATAATATTTTTAAGGCATTTTAAGAACCTACAATCAGCATACAGCCAGCATCAACATACTACAAATTTGTTTTCATTATCTATTATTATTATCAGCATTTACTTTTTAACGTTCAACTCTATTAGTAGCCCTTTTAGAGTTCATTTTTAGCAATGACCAAGCCAGCTGGTTACCCAGACACTAAATTTGTGGGTAAAATATCAAGTTATGATCTCTATGACGTGTGGTATCAACAGTACGTACCTTGCATGAGTACGGGCGGGTCGGTGGCCTCGTCAGCGGAGGAGGAGTCGGGCGAGGTATGGAACCCGATGAAGGCCCCCGCTTCTGGGTCGAACGTACCCGTCTCACCCAGCGATCGCGTCATTCGACTCATACGCTGTAATTAAATGTGAACCATAAAAATCCAAGTTTCATCTTTGTTGGCAGGTTTTTGCTAGTCCGGTGGGTACAGTCTACTATAGTTATTATTGGTACTTAAGAAATACTGTAAAGGTTCTTTTTTTGAGCTGAAAAGCCCTCATTTCTTTTCAATTACTGGGTGGGGTATTAAATCCGCTCCGTTTCCTTTTTCTGATTCGAGCCGGACCATAGTGAAGTAATAAGTTATATTATTTTTAGTATTTTCACAGATGTAATCAATCGAATCGATCGTAATGATTTGTAAGTACGTAATTTGAGAACTACCTATGCAAATAAATGTTGACGTCGTAATTTAAACACTATTAATTCATCATCATCATCAGCCTATAAATGCCCACTGCTGAGAAAAGGCCTCTTCTCACACGGAGAAGGTTTGAGCATTAATCACCACGCTTGCTCAATGCGGGTTGGCGATTTCAAACTTACAATTAGAAATTATAAGTCCAGGTTTCCTCACGATGTTTGCCTTCACCGTATGTCAGTGGTGTCTAAATAATCATAGAAAGTACATATAACTCGGAAAAAGTCACATTGGTACTTGCCAGGTTTCGAACCCACACCCTCATGCACGAGAAGCGGGCTCCTTAACTTTCGGGCCACCATGACATAAACACTATTAATTACTTGACAATAAAAGTAATGAATTTGACTGGTTAACAACTGTAAAACAGTATCTGAGAGTGGGAAATGTAGTAACCTTGTGTGGCTTGGTGCACTCGGGATGCTTGGCGTGGTAGATGCAGAAGTACTTGCGGTGTGGGTTGAGCGCGAGCACGGTGCCGACGCAGTTCCTGCAGTTGAGGCGCAGCTCCGCGCCGCCCAGCGACAGCTGCAGCACGCGCGCGAACCATGACGCGTGACGCTCCACGCACAGGTACGCGAACACCAGCGTCTTGTTCCTGCGGGGACCATGTCACACATATAGCTTCAATGTAGCTACACATCATCGAAACAGCGAATCCGTGAAAATACGGCTATTTCTTGGAAGTAATCGGATAGTGCGTAAACTACCTACTACCTACGGCTATAAAAAACCGTCATTTTCACGGAATCGGATCGGACGCAGTGTTCAGCACTTGTGTCTTACGTTCCAAAGTGTTTATAATGATTTATTTGAAATAAATGATTTGACCTTCAACCACTTTAACCGTCATAAAAATATTACGGATATTGTAATTGAAACTGAAGGACAATCCGACGAAATAATATTAACATAACCGTATCCCAAACGAATAACATTTTATTACTATCATATCATACATCACATCTTCTGATCTGGAGACCCGAAACATCAGAACATCTAGTCTTTGAGAAGGACTATGTTTTGTAACATAAATGAATAATTATTATATTATTTAAATATCACTCACTTGCGGTAGGGCCACACGATCTTATGGAACTTGGAGAGCAGCTGCACGCGACTCTGCATGTCTACCAGCAGCACGATCGTTCGACATCCAGGCTTTAGCAGTCTGTAGAAACAACATAATCATTACTAAACGTTGGTGGCGTGGCCTTCCCACAAGTATGAAGCAATTCGCCTCCTTGTCGGAGCCTGTATTTCCCAAAAGGTATAAACCGGGTATCAAGGCCTGACTGAATAAGTTGCTAAGGGAGGCGTGCTCTATCGCGGGTCATTGTGTTGTCGTTATTATTGCATTATCGCAAGGGAGGCTGCTACAGCAACCAACTTTTAGTAAAAAAAATATTGAAGGGGATTTATTTTCCATAAAAGTGCATACACACCTAACGAGTCCGTTATACTTCTCAGCCCTCAACTCGTGTAGCCTCAGTTCCGAGCTGGGCTCATTATTGTTCTTCTTGTTGGCACCATTCTGTTTCTTCCTCTCTTCCTTCTGCCGCTGCACTGACTCTTCTTCTACACGTCTGTTTGTGACAAATTAGAAGAAGCTTTTGAAATTTTCTATATAATTATATTTTAAAAAACTTTTCCTATCTGTTGATGATAAGGTTATTTATTTTAACACAATTAATTTGATATCAAATCAATTTGTTTAAATAAAATATTGTCGAAGAGCGTATTGTTATAACAGATGAATAAAAATCGTTTATTTTTTTTTACATGTTTGTCAAATTGGTATTTAAGTTGTATAACATTTTGAACAGAGACATTGAGAGTAATGTAAAATTTTGTGTCAGTTTGTGTACATATATAGTGTAGTGGGGCGGTTACATGAGGTATGCCATGAGGTAGCCGGCGGCGAGCACGGCGGCGACGGTGGCGAGCACGGAGAGCGCGGCCAGCGCGCGCTGCGAGCGCAGCCCGTGCCGTGTAATGTAAAGTTTTGTGTCAGTTTGTGTACATATATAGTGTAGTGGGGCGGTTACATGAGGTATGCCATGAGGTAGCCGGCGGCGAGCACGGCGGCGACGGTGGCGAGCACGGAGAGCGCGGCCAGCGCGCGCTGCGAGCGCAGCCCGTGCCGTGTAATGTAAAGTTTTGTGTCAGTTTGTGTACATATATAGTGTAGTGGGGCGGTTACATGAGGTATGCCATGAGGTAGCCGGCGGCGAGCACGGCGGCGACGGTGGCGAGCACGGAGAGCGCGGCCAGCGCGCGCTGCGAGCGCAGCCCGTGCCGTGTAATGTAAAGTTTTGTGTCAGTTTGTGTACATATATAGTGTAGTGGGGCGGTTACATGAGGTATGCCATGAGGTAGCCGGCGGCGAGCACGGCGGCGACGGTGGCGAGCACGGAGAGCGCGGCCAGCGCGCGCTGCGAGCGCAGCCCGTGCCGTGTAATGTAAAGTTTTGTGTCAGTTTGTGTACATATATAGTGTAGTGGGGCGGTTACATGAGGTATGCCATGAGGTAGCCGGCGGCGAGCACGGCGGCGACGGTGGCGAGCACGGAGAGCGCGGCCAGCGCGCGCTGCGAGCGCAGCCCGTGCCGTGTAATGTAAAGTTTTGTGTCAGTTTGTGTACATATATAGTGTAGTGGGGCGGTTACATGAGGTATGCCATGAGGTAGCCGGCGGCGAGCACGGCGGCGACGGTGGCGAGCACGGAGAGCGCGGCCAGCGCGCGCTGCGAGCGCAGGCCGTGCGCGGCGCGCTCCGCCCACTCGCAGAGCGCCAGCGCCGCGCGCCACACCGCGCCCAGCGCCGCCTCGTCCAGCAACTCCTGCACCCACACAACACCATCATCATCATCAGCCTATAAGTGCTCACTGCTAAACAAAGGCCTCTTCTCACACGGAGAAGGTTTGAGCATTAATCACCACGCTTGATGATTGACGCTAGATTAGAAATTATAAGTCCAGGTTTTCTCACGATGTTTACCTTCGCCGTATGTCAGTGGTGTCTAAATAATCTTAAGAATTACACATAACTCGGAAAAATTCACATTGGTAACTGTCCGGTTTCGAACCTACACCCTCATGCATGAGAAGCGGGCGCCTTAACCTCGGGGCCACCACGACTTTAACCACACCTGGACCATCAATCATCAACATCAATTTCAATAACACGCCTGTAAGGGTCTTTTAAAGTTAAAATCAACTCACTGCCCTGCTACTACATTACTTCTGTTAATTGATACATAGATATCGTCGCTTAAGTTGTAACACCGCGGTACTCAAAATAATGAACTTATCAGAAGACTAAAAAGAACTGTCTTATTTTGTAACTTACACAAGACACTTAAAAATAACGCGCCGTCATTGGTTTAATCGATTGTTTGCCATTGGTCAATTGACGCGTCTTTCGATTCTCTATCCAATGACGAGCATAACAGTTGAGATCCGCGGCGTTATAAACAGTAGAATTTACAAAAATCCAACATACTAATTTTACACTTGACGATCCAAATTTAAAACTTCTATATTCCTATAACATCCAGTGATCCAAATTCTGTCTCATTGTCTGTAATAAATTCCTTGAGCAATAAGACCGCTCGTTGTATACTCAATATTTGTTACTTATAATATGTTCTTATCTTATAACTTGTACAATAAAGTATTCATGAATAAATAAAACAAATCGAGTAGAACAGAAAGGATCGACGCCGCCCTATATGCATTGAATATTTTATGTATCACCTAAATAAAATACCCAGTACGCTTTCTGAAAGCATATCGGTCCTTTCAATCACATCTTTTTATATTACTGTAATATATCTTTGCAATTTTCTATCTAATCTTTATATATCTTAATCCCACCATAACACCGAACACGGGCGTTTTCCTTGTTATTTAAATAGAATCATCGAAACAAACTTCGACTGCACGGTTGGCGCAGTGGCTGGGCAACTGGCTGCCGTGCAACGTGTCGCGGGTTCGATTCCCGCATGGAACAACACTTTGTGTGATCCACAAATTGTTGTTTCGGGTCTGGGTGTCATGTGTATGTGACATTGTATGTTTGTAAACGCACCCACAACACAGGAGAAATCCTAAGGTGGGGCAACGTTTTTTTAAACCAATGGGTACCAATATTCTATACTAACATTATAATACTGAAGAGTTTGTTTCAGAACTACTGGTTCGCATTGAATAATTATTTTTGTGTTTGTTAGCACCTTTGTCGAAGAAGGCTGGAGGCTATAGAACATCACGCTACGATTTGTAGGAGCCCATCTTGACGACTTCTTCTACGATATACATAGTCTGGCCATAAATACTGTTACAATTAAAAATAAACAAAATATTACATTTGAATTTGGAATCTGTCATTTTTATATAATTTTTAACCGACTTCCAAAAAAAGGAGGTTCTCAATTCGACCGTATATATGCTTTTTTATGTTTGTTCGCCGATATCTCCGTTATTTATGAACCGATTTTGATAATTCTTTTTTATTGGAATGGAGATAGTCCCAGAATGGTCCCATAAAAAGGAAATCAGGATCTGATGATGGAAGACCAGAGAAATCGAGGGGAACTTTCAAAAATTGTAGGGGCTAGTGGTGCTTTTGCATATGATTTCAGTAGGCTTTTGACAAATTTACAACTTGCCGATGTTCGAACCCGACCTGATGATGGAGCCGGAAGACAGTCGAGGGATCTCCTTGACTATTTGGAGTAGTTGCCTCGTGTTTGGGCTTGAATGATTCGTATTGGTGAGTACTTTGCACCAAGATTGGTCGTGACTGTCATTAAGGGTCTGATGATGAGAACGATGGACAGCTCAGGGAACTCTTGAACGGTTTACAGTAACTACCTCGTGTTTGGAATTCGTTCATTTATATCGATGAAAACTTTGCACCTTTATGGGTTACAATGAAGTTATGCAGTAAATTGTGATGATGGAGCCGGAAGGTAGTCGAGGGATCTCCTTGATTATTTGGAGTAGTTGCCTTGTGTTTAGGATTGAATGATTCGTATTGGTGAACACTTTGCACCAAGATTGGTCGTGACTGTCATTAAGGGTCTGATGATGAGAACGATGGACAGCTCAGGGAACTCCTGAATAATATTTAATAACTATTTTATAATTTTGAAGTCGGTGCCAAGTAAATACTACATGCCAAACAATAAGAGTACTTTTTTTATTATAACTTTTGTGAGACATTCTAAATTATTTATTATGTTTTCGGCTTACTCACGTAATAATTTGACGAGATACTCGACTAGTTTCAAGCAGAGCAAGTTTCAAGTTTCAAGAGTAGCAGCGCGACGGTCGCCGAGTCGCGTGTCGCGGAATGCTGCTCATGAATATGGGCCTCTAGCATGGCTTGAAACTAGTCGAGTATCTCGTCAAATTATTACGTGAGTAAGCCGAAAACATAATAAATAATAAGAGTACTTATTAGAAAAATATATTGAATACTACTAATCATCAAACTAGCAAGAGGTATGTAGGTAATATCTTTACACTATTATTCTTTTACTTGGCACCGACTTTAAGATTATAAAATAGTTATTAAATATTATTTTATATTTAAGTAAATGAAAATATGTATTATTTTAAACAAAGTAAATTTATTTTTTGCTTTTTAGTTTACGTTTTGAAGTCAGTTTTTTTTTTGTTAAAAATTATTTTATTCACTGTGTTTTCTTATTTTGGCGCCAATGAATTGTTCAATATTTTGCGATATTAAAATGGAGTGGGGTGATAAAGAGAACCAAATCGCTGTGATTGCATTACACAAAGTGGGTATGGAGTCAAATGCAATTTTTAAAACTCTTAACACGCTTGGCATTAGTCAAATGTTTGTGTACCGGGCTATTAATAGGTACAATGAGACCTCCTCTGTTTGTGACAGAAAAAAAACTGGCCGTCCACGTAGTGTTCATACGAAAAAGGTGGTCAAAGCAGTAAGCGTCGCGTATTTTAAAAGACGACTTAGGACTTGCAGCCTATAAGAGACGCACTGGACATTTTTTAAATGATAATTTAAAAAAGAATAGGTTGATAAAATCTAAACAACTACTGAAGCGGTACGCAAAGGGAGGTCACAGAAAAAGTTTGTTTACGGATGAGAAAATTTTTACAATTGAGCAACATTTTAACAAACAAAATGACCGTATTTATGCTCAAAGCTCTAAGGAAGCTTCTCAATTAGTCGACAGAGTGCAACGTGGGCCTTATCCGACTTCAGTGATGGTTTGGTGGGGTGTTAGCTATGAAGGAGTGACTGAGCCATACTTTTGCAAAAAAGGTATCAAAACATCTGCACAAGTGTATCAAAATACCATTCTTGAGAAGGTTGATAAGCCACTTAACAACACCGTGTTCAATAACCAGCAATGGTCCTTTCAGCAAGACTTGGCGCCGGGTCATAAAGCTCGGTCCACGCAGTCTTGGTTGGAAACGAACGTTTCCGACTTCATCAGAGCTGAAGACTTGCCGTCGTCTAGTCCCGATCTTAATCCGCTGGATTATGATTTATGGTCAGTTTTAGAGAGTAGAGCTTGCTCTAAACGTCATGATAATTTGGACTCCCTAAAACAATCCATACGATTGGCAGTGAAGAATTTTCCCATGGAAAGAGTGCGTGCTTCTATTGATAACTGGCCTCAACGTTTAAAGGACTGTATTGCAGCCAATGGAGACCACTTCGAATAAGCTTTTTATTTTTTAAATTGTTTTATATTTATGTATTAAACTTACATACTGTATAATAAATGTTATTTGCAATCATCGATCACTAATAAAGAACTAGATACACAATCCCATACAAAAGTTCGCTTCAAAACTGTCGTCAACTGTATTTAGGTACTTATACTTGAAATAAACATGCATTGATGTAAATTAAACCTTAAATGCAACCCATAGAGTTGTTTTCACAAAGTGATATACAAAATCTAAACATTTTTTGCATAAATCATAAGAAATTGAACCATATTCGCATGTTTTTAAGTCGAATTTACAATGTGTCAAAAATGAGCAATAAAATTTAACGACTTCGGCTCACCGCTAGGACAAAGAATGATTGGAGACGAAATGTCTCGTAAGAAATATATTTCTGTCAATTTTTTTTGATAATTTATAAAAAAAAATACGAAAATTAAAACGCATTACTTATAGTATTCTTTTCTATAGGTTTGTTCATTTATTTACCAATGAAACTAATGCATACAGTTATAATTTTTTTTTATTATATCCGTCCTCCTTAATCCTTCCTAAATTTGGAATATTTTTCAAAGTATATATGTATACTTTGAAAAATATTCCAAATTCGAAGTCAAATAAAAAAGATGTAAAATAATAAAAAGAATATATATCTAAAGTAAGTACTGAAAATGTTGGCGTTATTGTTGTCAATTTTTCATACCGCACGGGATTTTGATGAAAGCTAAAAAAAATGTCTTTACTGCAGTTAAAATTAAATCCATTATATCCGCCTATTCCATATTTTAATAAACACAGTAAAGAAGTATAATATTAAATAAAAACAATTTTTTAATAAAAAAAATAAAAAAAAAATTAGAAACAATAGCGTCTCCGCTAAATGGAACAGAATCAATCCACGTAAACCGACCAACTTAAGTGGTCATGCTAGAGAATGATTTTACGTTTAGTGTAAGTGTCTTTATAAACTGTGTGCATTATAACCCCGGTTTTTGAATACGATTTCATTTGGAAAAAGTTTTAAAGTTGATTTCTTAATAAAATATCAATATTTAAAATAGAATGATGACAATTATATAATGATAATATTATTACTTAACGAAAATATGAAATTCCATCCTTTTTTGCGTCTTAGATGTGTGTTTTTTGCAGTTTTTAAACGAGCACTGAGGCGTGTTTACCGTCGGAGCATTCGAGTGGTACTAAACTAAAACTACACCGCGATGTTGAGTTTGGTGGACTTTCAGTTAGGACATTTTTTTGTCACTGATTGTGTATCTAGTTCTTTATTAGTGATCGATGTTTGCAATAGAAAAAAAAATTTTTTTATTTGTTACAGTATTTATGGCTAGACTAGGTATACTAATCTTGACGACGACGACTTTGATCTTGACGTTCAAAAATGCATATTGTGGTCTAATTAAAATGATTTTGACTTGACTTTGACCGAGCAGCGAGTAAAACCACAACGAACGAAGAGCCATCACTTAATATTGGCTGTAAACATTCTGCTATTGTTAAATTGAGTTACTCTTATTCAGGAGAATCGTGCGCATCGGAACAACGCGCAGCCCAGTTCCCATGTCACTTGAAACTGGTAAAGCTTTTCTCAGTTTACTTATGTGAGTGAATCTTTATTTTCAATATATTTAATTTAAGGATTTTTTAAATTTTAATTTTAATGTATGTCAAAGCAACGCAGTATTAGAATTCACCACCAATCTTTACAAAATTGCTACCCCATCCTGCACCGAGTACACTTAACCAAATTATCACAATAATAAATTAAAAAGCTTTGAAAAGAATATCATATAATTACGTTAAAATTATAATAGCGTATAAAAACACATCGTAAAAAAATGTTATAATATATCTCTACCGACCTGTACATGAGCTTCATACGCCATTACTTCAGTCGGTTTCAATAGCCTCTTGATGAGCTGGTCGAGCGCTCGCTTGGTCTCATTCAGTCGCTCGTGGTACTTCAGCAGCTCCTCCCTGAGGGCGGGGTCCGACGGGAAGTGGTCGGAGGAGCAGTGCGCGTGGTTACAACTCGGCCACGTCTCGTTCAACCACTCATACTGGATCCGCGTGGGCTCGCGACGCCAGATTATGACGATGCGATGCTCTATATCCGATATGTCGCTACCTGTTAAGTTTTATGTTGATGAATAATCGGTCCGTGTATTTCGAGAATTTAATATTTTAAAGATAAAGGATCTGATTGTATGTTTGTTTGTATTGAATATGATCTGAAACTACTTGATAAAATCAAGAAAAAAATCTTTCAAATTTAGGAAGTTACACTATAATATATCATGAACATAGCCTATAAATTATTGTAGTAAAACTGCCGAATACTACAGCTGTCCATCAATAAAATGGTCCAAACCAGTAGCTTTAAATCTCCACTTGTACTTTTTTGATGTTACAGTATCATTTTGATTACGATTATCAAGCTTAAGACTGGTGTCATAAGGTCTTTAAAAATGGGCAGAGAGGATATCAACATTCATTGATGCCACTCAGTAGTAAGATTTTTAAAAGGAGTAACGATGGAGTTTATTGCTTGTTCTTCTCCATTCGACACAATTTGGAACGAGCACATAGCTTCACTGACGAACAGACTGACAGACTACTATTCTAAGTCGACGTTTCAAAAGAACCTATATATGGTTTAGTTGGAACAAATGATTTTGAGTTTGTAGACTGACCGGATCCGTTAGCAATGGCGTGTATGAAGGCGGGCTGTTTGTGCGCGTAGACGTACGCGTAGTGGAGGCGGTCGACGGGGGCGCGCGCCAGCTGTCGCAGGGCGGCGGCGGGCCCGCGCGCGCCCCCCGCGCCCCCGCCCGCGCCCCCGCACACCAGCACGCAGCACAGGCGGCGCCGCGCCGCGCGCCACTCCACCGGGCACACGCTCTCTAGCACGGCCTGGAACAACACGCATCGAGGCCTATACTCATACCATTGCTTCTCTATACACTATATTCCTATTATACTATTCTTTTGTTCCTGTAAGCAATCTGTTTCATTGAAAACCCTGCTATGGCGTAGGTGCCATTGGATAAATATTACAGTACCGCCGACGTATCTTGGTGGGTAGGAAGTTAGCCGATTAGCTGCGCAGTACACAATTTTGTTCCTAAAAGATCCATTGCGCAGACAAACGGCGAACTTCAGACTCGCCAAGATACGAAGGCCGTGTTGTATAGCTTTACATGTTACCTAAATTAGAAATGTTGGTAGCTTAGTTCAATAAGGGTTTCTCAGGGGTGTGAAATAAAGTTGTCTGTTCAGTTATTGCGATGGCTGGGCAACTGGCTGCTACGCAACGTGTTCGTAAGTTCGACATACGAATAACAATGAAAACTAATATATTTAGACACTCTACAAAATTTAACTAATACAAAGCTTGCGCCTAAATATTGGGCGCGTGAGCCACGATCAATGGCGAGGAAATCTATTCACGCATATAAAGTCACGCGCATACGGTTGGAATGCCGCATTACACTAAGTTTAAAATGACAAAACCTTTTTCAAAATGTACCATGATTAACGCACATTTGTTTGACACTCCCTGCAGTGTCTCACAAACTTTACCTTTAAATCTATACATAAACATTATACCTGCGAGGAGAGTCTCGGCAGCGTGAGCATCTGGTTGGCCTCGATGAGCTGGTGCAGTGTCTCGGAAGGGATCTCGTTGGTGCTGACGGTGGCGGCGGGCTCCTCGCTGTCCTCCTTCAGCAGCACCATGGTGTCCACGTGTCGCTGCACCTTGTACCGAGCCGTCACGTTCAGCGTGTCGCTGGAGCGCATGTCTACGAAACTGGAAGGATTTATGTTTTAAATTGATAATACATACTCTTTTAATAACGTTATTACGAAATTACGTTTATAGCAGATTGGATTGGATAAATAAATTCGGCTAAAATGTTGATGGAAACAACACTACCAAAGCAAGTTTTAGTATTTTTTAGCTATGTTAAGTGTAGGAAAGTTATGCGTCTGCGTGGTTGGCCCTAAGTAATACCACGGCCTAAGGCCTCACAGAATACCGGCCTTAAACAACACGTTGTGTTCGCCGTTTGAGAGAAACCCAGTCCCGCCCTCCCTATATTCAATTCCAAAATTATTATTATTTATATTACAGGTTGGTGAAACGATGGTACGTAACCTGATAGTAAGTAATAAGCACCACCCATGGACACTTAATATGAAAGGAGTTACTTCGATTGCGTTGCCGGCCTCTTTTGTGTTGTTAGGGATTCACGTACTTATAGGATATTTGAGTAAAGTGGTTGGTGGGGTGGGGTAAGGATTGGGCCTCCTTGACCTCACCCACTTGGCGAAACACAACGTAAGTGTTGCTTCACGCCGGTTTTCTATGACGCCGTGGTATCACTGAGGTCGAGTCGACCCATTCGTACCGAAGCATGGCTCACCCACACTTAAGTTTATATACAAAATTACTTACCCAAAAGCGACTCTATCTCTATAGTGGAATGCAGTGATGAGGTATCTGAAGCGCATCGTCTGTCGCTCCTCGAAGATCAGCGCCTTCACTTTATTGTCCTCGAAGTCCGACACGAAACCGTCCACGTTGCTATCCGTGATCGAACTCACCAATTTGTATGGGAATTTCCAACGTATGAACTCTGTGTGCAAAGACGTAAGGTTTTGTATCGCATATCGATAAGTTTCGTTTTTATTGTACTCAGACGGTAATTTCTAACCAGCCAAATTCAATACATTATTTGAATTTTCAACAACGATACTGGCCAATGATTTTTGTATAAAATAGCAATTTATGATGTCATAATGTTTTACGTCTAATTGCATTGAAACTTATTTCTGAAACATAAGCTAAAATGAACTAAAATTAACCATATCGTCAAATCAACGAATTCATAAAATGTATAAGTCATCATATTTTTAACCTAGGTAACTACTTCATTTCTAATACGACCTATCCATCTTTACTATTCAATACCTCCACATAAAAATGACAACATTCGTTTTGTCAAACGATTTTCATCCTTAATAATATGACACTGAACACTCACCTAAAACTTTAGGTAGCGACGACAGTCCCTCCTTATACATATACACATGTTTGTCTAAAATGAACGTGAGGCAGGGTACTCCGTGTACTCCTACCCGTCGTGCTAGGTTGGCCTCATGGCCGGCATGCACGGTTGCCATGGTAACGCCGAGCGGCTGCAGAGCTTCCACCAGGCGCCGCCAGGCTGCAGCAGAGCGCACACAGTCGAAACACCAGTCGGTGTAGAATAGGACCAGTGCTGGCGTATGAATGCTTTTCTCGATAATATTGTTCTCGAAGTGGCTGTAAAGAAGAAAATGTCGTCACATATCTAGGTAATACAGACCAAATGTATCCCCTTCTAAGAATGGACCTTGTCTTATTGTGTTCGCTAGTTTCATTTTTTTTTAGTTTTTAATCGTTATTATTTTTTTCCTTTTTTTGAATGTTGTTTGGTAAAATAATTATAGGTTAGCATACACGAGGTAGTCTGGCGTCTATTTTGTCAATGTTGTGTTTGCCCGTAATTGGCATAATATCAAAACTTAACCATAAAAATGTACATTTATTTATGTTTAAGGCAATAAATAAATAAATAAGAAGACGTTCATCTTATATTATGAAATGAGATTACAGTACAGAGTAGTTACATTTGTTGTTGTTGATATACTTACCGCGCGGTTATGGACAATTTGTGGAACAATGTAATATCTTGGTCTTGTGTTCGGTAGGGTGCTCCTACGAAGTCGTCGTTACTGTAACAAAATAATAATAATTGAGGTGAGGTTGATGGGCTACATCAGCGTTATAGTTAAAGGGCTATAATAAAAGTAATCTCATCGCTTAGTGGCGACCATTACATCAGGGGAAAGATTAATGAATGTGTAGTACCATAAATAAAGTGGTAATTACAACTGTATTCATTGCTGATAGGATTGGTTTCTTTTATTTTACAAACTAGCTGTAACACGTGTTCACTCGCGTAGTTTTTAGCCTATTTTCACAAAGGACAGTGAAGCTTCCTAACAGTGAAACAATTTTTCAGATTGCTCAAGTAGTTTTCTAAAACTCATTCAAATAAATAAAAAAACGATTAATTATTTCCTCTTTATCATGTTTTAGCTTTTTCCTACGACTCCGTTCGCGTGGAAAGTGATTTCCCGCAGATTCTTGGTATAAAAATTATCCTATGTCCTTTCTCGAGTTCCAAACTATGTCTGTACTAAATATCGCAAAAATCGGTTCAGTAGTTTAGGCGTGAAGAAAAGACAGACAGGCAGACAGAGTTACTTTCGCATTTATAATATAGTATAGATAAGTAAACATAGTAAATGTTTCACCTTGTGCAAATAGCTTATTGTTTAAGTCATTTTCAAATGTCATTGAACATGCATGCAATAACAATGAACAAGGAAAACCATGTTTATTTTTATATCTTCCACTCATCACTTCCGAAAATTCCCAACGTAAGAAAATTCCGAATTAATATTTCATGAAATGTTTTCAGTCATTGGTTTGTGCTTTGGTACCCGGTAGCTCGGCAAAATAGTACAGGGATCCCTGATAGAAAGCAATTAGAGCCGTTTGGCGTGAAGCAGCGCTATCGTGGTCCTAGGCCGGTTTTTAAGAGGCTGTGTGAGTGATGGTTGTCGAGCAAAATATTGCTTGAGAGGGAAAAGAACCAAAGGACTTGTTCCACCCTGGGTGGGAGAAGTCATCAGGAAAGAGGTGGTTTTTAGTACTGACACTCCTTCTAGGGGCTAGAAGGAGTGTCAGTACTAAAAACCACCTCTTTCCTTCTCTCGTTCCAGGCCAATATTATTGAGTTCTATTTCGATAGGTGCCTTAGAACCATCATTATAACATTACAATAAACAATTAAAAGATATGGATTAGATACTAAGAATGGACAAGATGAAAAGTTACGAAACACTCAAAATTGCTGTGCAGAGAGTAAGTAATAAAAATATTGGTCATAATAAAATAACATTAATCTCAAAACCTACTCTTATACATATATTATATATACAGGAATATTCCATTTATATGGAGTTATTGTCTAGATCGTAAAACTATTTATGGACAGTTGAAGAGATTTTATGTACAACAACTAGGAAACTGCAAACATAAGTGATTCATGGTGAAAGATTGCCAATCTTGTAAGGACTGTGTTGAAAAACGTTTACATGAATCATACATTGATACATAGTCATAAATGCACACTAAAATTAATATTTCTAATAGTTTCTGCTTCATATGTTCTAACCATGTTTTTTTTGTGGGGGGAAAATCGTCAAATGACTTCTCCTGCCCAGGATTGGGCAGGAGGGAATGTCAGACTCTTACTTACTAAAAACCCCCCTGTCCTTCGCCTGCTATGGGCCGAGGTTGCCATGCCTTATTGTACTTACTCTGCAACACCAGCTGATGTTCTAACCATGTGTATTGTCAATTTGATCTTTCTTCAGAGCAATTTGTGCTTTGTAGCAGATTTACTAAGGTTCTATTTTCAAAATCCACAGTACCAGCTAGCATTATTATGATTTTATTTTTGAACCTTTTCTGTATATTATAAACATGCATGCATTACAAGCATGCAAGATATTTTGAGATAGATTTTATATTTTGGTTGCAAACAGAGTTTATGAATGATAGAAAACATTTGGTTGTAAACGGGTAAACAGCTGCTCCATATCACATAAAAAATACTTTTTCTTAAACCTCAAATAATATCTCGAATTCAAGATGTTTACTTGCATCTGTACATTCAGCCAGTGCTCTGTTAGCATTACACATTAAACAAAAATACATATAGAGCTAAATGTATTTTTGTTTTTTTATTTTTATTTCATTGTGCAATCTTATTAATGTAAGCAATCAATCCCTTTAAAACAAAACATGGTTGGGAAACATGAAAATGAGTTAATATTATTAAATTAATTAATGAAAAAATATATAAATGGTTAAAAGATGTCTTCTACAAAGCATATTTCTTTTATTATTGCAACACAGAACTCAACTCCATAATGCTTACCTAGCGTATCTAGCATATTGGCTGTAATCATGTCTAGGTTTGTAAAGGTGGTCGTCTTCGTTCGTAATTCCATAGTAATCATATGCCTGTCTTCGCTCAGTGTCTGACAACAGTTCATATGCTTGTTTGATTTCTACGAAACGAGCTGCCGCATCTGGATGTTCATTTTTATCAGGATGCCTGCAATATAACATCATATTGATTAAGAATGCTGGGGAAATCGTGAAGATTATAATTATTATATTCTGTTTAGCTACGAGCTGAACTTTAGTTGCATTATTATCAGTCAAAAATTTAAAAACTTTGCAGATACAAAGAGTATGTATATACTGCAATGCTTTATTTTATATGCAGTAAATAGCAAGTTCCTATTATACATATTTTATACCTACCACTCTTTAGCGAGTTGCTTATACGCTTTGCGTATTTCAGGTAATTTAGCCTTGGGGTGAATGCCCAAAATTTTGTATGGGTCACCGATTTTCTGAGCTACTAGCAACGGGCACAATGTGAGCACCAACACCGCCCACAGCCATCGCCCTTTCCATCCCTTGTATTTCCATTGCATATTACCAAACAGTTTCTTTAACAACCCTGCCGAATAAAACCTCCGTGATCTTCAAGATAACTTTCATAGCAAAATCCTGCCCGCGGCAATGGAACACATGACTGATGTATGTGAATTTAACACAGAATACTCAAAAACTGTTATCAGTCATTTGTCTTAAAATAGAACGGCTGAAAATTCGTGAAATTCTAAAATCTCACAAAAATTACAAAATGTCAATTGGACTAAACCACAGTCAATCCTTGTTGTTTTTCTGCGCAACTATCATAGACAAGTACAGTCAATGTAGAATTAATCAATAAAAACTGTGATTCATATTTTAGTTTACCTCCAGTATAATATTCTTTATTTGGCTTTGCCGTATCTATAGATGGCCTTAGATGTTGACTTTAGTAGGAGTTATTTTGTTTACATTCCCTTAAATAATATTTAAAACTAACTGAAATATAAAGAAGTCTATGACCAAAAATAATTAAATCCCACTTTTTTAAATCATCGCCGGTGTCCTGAGGTGTTTTATGGATTTAAATATACAATAAATTCTTAAAACTTTACACGTTCTTAAAATTTTAAAATATATTTTACACCTATACGAAACGTTTTACGAAGGAGGCTTAACAGTAAACTATTGTTGGAACTTTTTAATTCTGAAAGCTGACAGTAGCAAAGTCAAAGTCAACGTCCACGTCATGTTCGATAACCGGATTACCCGGCTGTCAAATACCATGTCACTTTTTGGTCTTAGTTCTTATTAGTTCAATCAGTCAGTCAGTTTAAAATTTTATTCGTTGTTGGTGGTTGTGTTGTGAATTTTTCTTATTTATCCATCGTAGAATCAAGTTGAATACTAGTATTTTTTTCTTCCAAATATTTAACAGTGAGTACCTATTCTTTACAGTTATAAATTTATAGGTTATCATATTATTTATGGTAATAAAACAATGTAAATATCCACTATTGTGGTATTTGCATTGTGTAATATAATCTCCCACAAAAACTATACCCATGATATATTATACAGAAAACTAGACTAAACAAGTTATAATTTAGAATTTATTATTCTATTTATGTAACATAAAAGACAATACCTACAATCCAGATAATTTTAAATTTTTAATAAATATTTCTTAGATAGGTATTTTAACTTTACATTATTATAAATGATTAATTATCATTAAATATAATCGGACTTTATACCTTTAATTTAACTGTCTGGATATTGATGACACATGTAAAATAAATAATAATTTACAATTTTATGCATAAATAATTCAAATTGTGATCCATCACCGATTTAATTTCCTGTTCTTTTATAACTAGACACATTTTATTTTGTCATTGTTTATTGTTTTGTTTAAAAGTCATTTTTTTAATGAAAAATATATAGGTATGATGCAATTTACAACTTGATTGGCCAATTACTTCACATCTCTTCACAAAAACTTTAAATTTAATAATCAATTAAAAAAAAATAAGTATCATGAATTAACTCTCTCAGTACCATAGTTATAGTTAATTGAAGTATATAAAATAACTGTACTATACATCTATAAGAACCTAAATGGCAAAAAAACATTTGAAATATTACACCTGGCACATAATGCAATTTTGTTTAGTCTACATAATTTTATTGAATTTTACCCTATTAAAAAGAAGTGTATTTTTGGGATGATGGTCAAGGTCAAAATTGATATAAAGGTCAACTGAAATGCGCCTTACTAGGTTTTGTCCTATGTCCTTCACACCAAGTAAACAACAGAGAGATACATATAACTACAATACTAGATTAACCTGCTAAGAAGAAGCAAAAATTAATAGCCTGTGATTTATTCTTGACTATCTATTCCAGCACTAAAATTTGTTATGATCTGTTCAGTCTTTCTTGTGTGATAAAATAAAACATATTCATACATTATCATAAAATTTAAAATGTAATGATGGGACATTAAATTACACTGTATTTAGCTTACTGAAAAACTATATTCCTATTACTCAAATTACTTAAAAATGTGTTCTCATTACTTTGCTATACATACAGAGTTAACTTTGTTTTTAATGGTACTTAAAAAATTGATAGCATTCGTTTTTAAATCATTACTCCTTTTCTTGGTCACATTTTGAAGAATGTAATGTCGTCTAACAATACTCATAAAAATTTGCATATAAACTGGCAGCATAAAATTACAAGCTGTGCACACAAACTTGAATAATAAGTTATTTTAATTTGCGTCATTTGAATATTTGACCAAATTCCTCTTATAAAAATCATCATGCATCTGCTAAAATACCATCCTCAGAAAAAATAAAAAACTAACAATGTTTGTTTCTGTTTCTCTTCGACATTTAAACTACTGAATTATTTTGATGAAGTTTTGTATAGAATTAAAAAGAGACATATATACATTATAGCACAAAATAGAAACTGCCTTAGATAACATAGTTACATATTATTTAATTTGGATGTAGATGTATTAAGTTCAGTAGTTCAGCCTAAAGAAATACCTGTATACGGTATTTGATAATCTTACAGGTACCACATTAGCAACACGAGAATTGTAATATTAGATAATTTAACATAATATGTTGAAACATTACAAAGATAAGATGATTAGCTATCCTTATCTTCAAAGGTCTCATTTTATTGCCTATGTTGTACTGAGATTGGACTATGATTATATTTATATGTTTCTTTATATCACAATTAATAAGTCTCTGTAATGTTGAGTGGTCGAAATTACCCCGCTTGCCAGCTTCATGATATTACTGGACTACTTTCAAGGCATTCAAGGGGTCCAAAATTCTCAGAGACTCGCCTGACTATCGCCATGTTGGCTACAGACGACGACATGGTAGTAATATCTAGTATTTTTTTTTATTTATCTTCAAACTAGACAATATCATAAAGTGACCTTTCACTTGTTACTCTTGTCACTGATAGAATTTCAAAAGTTGAACCTTCAGGCCTTAGTTATTTGGACTACTTTCACTTGCTCACTTTGACCTACATATAGAAAGAAATAATGTAAGAATAAAACTAAAATATTTGTAGGTACTTACTCTGTACTTATTAACAGAGCCTTGTTTATCCACTACTTTTATAAAGAAATATTAAAATGAGAGGAAAATTAGAAGTCCTAAAAGCTTATCTTTGAGAGGAGGCGGAGCGCGTGAGGGAACTAACCTCCTCACGCCCCAGCCGCTTCAGTAGGCGACATTCTGGGCGTTGAGGATCGAGAGATGATCTCCGGCCACCGTAACGGACGACCAGATACAGGCCCGAGTGGTCGGGCGGCGCGTAGTGTTCCACGCGTGCCTCATAGAGCCAATAGACCACCACAGACGGGGCCCTATAGGGCTATAGATTAAGCGCAAGAGAGTCACCGCGGCCTCGGGCCAGAGCAGGAGACGAAACGGGGGGTTTAGTCAGTAAGAGTCTGATACTCTCGCCTTACCCTGGGCGGGAGAGGTCAATTGATGATTATCCCCTGTCAAAAAGTCGACTAGGTACGCAGTTGTAACCCGTGTTGCTGGTTGCTGGTGTCCTTGTTTGATTGCCATGAGATCAGTGGTATGCTCGTTTGACGATTTATCCAATAAAAAAAAGCCCATTGAATCTTTACACCCGTAGAATACGGTACTGATGACGATTTTAAAAGTATGTACCTAATAGTTGGCGTGCCATACGCTAATTACTGGGCAATACTCCAAATTCTTGAAAACGGTAGTATAAAAAACTTTCTTTTGTAGATTAGGTATGTACCTAGGCTAGGAAAGTTAAATAAGTCTGTTTACGATCGCTGTTTCATTTTACGGCGTTACCTACCCATAGGTTTCATTCTTTTTTCAAATTAATTCGTAGGAAGAACGAGCAAGATAGCATTAAGTGCCAGTGACAAGAATGCCTTTAAAATGACCTTGGTATTCAAGTTAGTTTCAGATATCTCTGCAACGTCAGCATAGAAAGCGAAAAGGCAAATTGCGAGAAATATTACCGTCGTTTACATAGTGATATATTACTTGTTAGTATAGATATGCACTTAAAAACCTAAAATAAAGGATCAGTATAAGGAATAAAAGTACAGTTTTCATCCACATATTGTCTCAGCTCTCTCTACATCCGCTCAATTCCACGTAAGGATCGCGGCTTTAACTGCTTCTTTTTCTAACTTTCCATTCATGCCATTTTTACATGTATCAGTAGGACAAAAGGTTAAATAGCTAGCTATGTGATTAAAAACGCGAAGTTGTAATATGACCTTGAAACACGTTTGAAAACTCGCAACGTGACCTTTGTTAGCATTTTACTAAATATTGTCTTCGTTTTTCACAAAGATTATTCTTGTCTTAGCGAAAAATTTTGCAAAATGACTAAATAGAAACTCCATTCTTTAACTTATTTTTTTATCAAATCATGTTATGTAGGTACCTGTATTCTTAAATAGATTTTATTTTACCCAAGATTGCGATAGGCACCTACGTGACTAGTTCGACTACATGACGTGTTTGTAGCTGAGTATATCCACGTCCGTTAATCACGTAGGCACCTAATCGATGCAAAAATAAGTAGTACCTAAACTATTTTCTCAACAATCGTTTAGGCTGCAATTGAATCGCCTTCACACAGCAGTCTCTAATGAATCAATTGGCTATGATAGCGGGTGACGTCACAGCTACCGGTGGGTGTGCGCATGACGCTACCAATTGAGAAGTAATTTGTTACAATATTGTACCTAACCAGTGTAGTGATTGTTTGTTATTCAGCCTATTTGCTATTTGCGAACTAGATGACGACGGGTCACGGACGTGAGCTCCACCCAAAGTCCAAATTTCAAAGCCTTAAAGAGTTTTGTATAATAGTCATTCAAGTGATAATTGTTGCTGTCAACAGTAATAGAATAACAATCAAGTGATAGATGTTTTTAGAATTAATTGTTATACTCTCCGCACCTAAATGTATAAATGTGGATGGATGGAGAGGGAGAGGGAGACCAAAGAAAATATGGATGGATTGTGTGAGCAATGATATAGAAGACAGAGGAGTCAGTGATAGCGTGACGGGTTACAGGACAGAATGGAAGAAAAAAACATATTGCGCCGACCCCAAATAAAACGGGACAAGGGCAGGAAGATGATGACTCTCCGCACCTAACTTTGGTTGCCTATATTTCATTCGTCAGGAAACCTTTTGTGATGATCTAATAGGTGCATTCTTTATGATCGAAAACCAAGAACTTACTTACAGTCAAATAGAATTTGATTTAGAAGTAATAAATCGCGGGTTTCTCTACAGATAGGTAATGTCTGATGAAATTACAGGGTGGATTAGGTAGTGGACTGAGTCTTAACGATCGATCAAAAGGGTCTACCTAACTAGAAATCAGGGCTCTCATGCGTATAATATTGATAAGGATAACACTAGCTCATATCTAATGCGATAACGTCAATAAACTTGTCCAATCTTTGGACAATAGTATTGTAATATGGTCAGGATATGAACGAATATTCTGACGAAATTTTCATGATTTTCTTGTAAGGCGATTTTCAAAAGTGTGACGAAATTTTTTCTATTTTCTTGTAAGACGATTTTAAAATTTCGCAATGAAGAATGTACATAATATAACGTCATTATTGTAATGAGTCCGATGACTTGCTGTTCCGTTCACCCAAAATGAACGTGTTTACCTGAAACCTAGAGCCGTGAGCGAAGTGCAAATTATCTCGAGTACAGATTAAAAATGGTTAAAAATTAGACTGTTAATTAGAGACAGGAAACCATCGTCAGATGTGTTCATATGAAATAGACGTCATTAATCTTTGGACGGTGAATAATGCTTTTAGTAACCTGGTTACTTATAGACAGCTATGTCGAGTCATATGGTACACATATCAATAGAAAATGATAAACTGGTTCATAAATAACAATCCTCTTCAAAAGTGTATTAAACGGAAAGCAATATGCACTGTCTGGTGTCCCCTAGTTTTGACTAGACCATGGCATTACTGTAACAACTTGAAAAAGAAAATACATCGGGTACTTCTATGAGTTTATTGATTAAAGTTTTTCTATACACGTTCAGAAGTTAGGATCTTGTGTACTGATTCAGTATAGGTAATTATTTCATTAAAGTTAGCTTCCTCACAATGAGACGGCACTAAATGGTCGAATTGAACATGAATATTGCGCAGTTTACCTTCATAGTCGGTAGCACTCGGTACTCTTAGTAGCATTTAATTTACTTGTCAGTATCTGATTGTTTCTGAGAACACTGTATGGATGTACGTAATATAAGCACGACTATCACTGAAGTACTTCTTATATAGTTCATAATAAAGACTGTTTTCCACGGTAAGACTTGGTTTACGCCAATACGAGTAATACTTAGATCGTGCGGTTTATATAAAGATTAATTATTAAAAGGCTCTAGGCGTATTATAATTATAATCCATGCAATGAGCATACGAGAATACATATTAATGTCTCCAAAGTAGACAAATGGCCCATTTGTTATACAAAATGCGTTGTCGATTTGTAGACAAGGACTTTGAACTCGATCATTGGTACCAATAAAATGTTATGTAATGATTATATGACACTAAAACAAGAATAGGTACAGTTGGTAACTAGCCTACGCTGCGCCTAAATTATCGAAATCATTCAATTTTTTGTGTCTCAGGTCGACTTTATATGTACCGGGTAAGTTTGGGTAACTTTGATCCAAACCCTTTAATCAATAATAACTGCGAACCAAACATATGTTCGTTTTTCATTGGTTCGAAAATTTGGATCAAAGTTACCTCCCAGGGTCAAATTAACCCGAACCTACGTAACGTAACGTACTATACGTAAAGTTTGTCAAGAAATAGAAATCAATAAAATCTATAAATACACAAATAATTCGTAATTTAATTACTTAGGAACAGGCTCACCTATCTAAACCAAATGTTTAGCCTTTTTCTGCATTAATTACGTAGCGAAGCTCGTACAGAAACGCTAGTTTCCCATATAGGTAATTTAAACGTAAAAAATAGCCTCTGCCAGCAGCTTTGACTGCGTGATACGAACGAAAAGCAATCTATGTGTTATTCCAGACTACACCATCAATCTGTGCCAATTTTCATCAAAATGCAGTATTTTTTATGTTAAAGAATCAACTAACTTTTAAACTTTCGCGTTTCATCTTAACAACATTATATTTACGCGGGTATTAACGCGGAAAATTATAATTTGAATACCTTGGTAGGCTTGACGTTTCGACCCGATTGCACAGGTCGTGGTCACAAGCAGACTGAAAACGCGATGTCACAGCTCCCTGCATTCGGGTGATGAATCAACATTGAACTATACCTACTTTCGTGTTTATAGGATAAACGTTTTGTTTATTATATACATATATCGTGAAATGAAATTCTTTAGTTGTTTATGGTGAAACTTTGCTATTTAGGTTAAGATTTCGTAGGTACTTGCTGGGTTTTCACAAACGTAGTTGACGGCAAGAACGACGTCGACGACCACTTGGTGAAAGACGAGACTGAGTGCCTAGTGCGAGTTTTCTTAACGCCAACCCGATCTAAACATTACTGCACTAAAACACCGCACACTAAAACATTGCAGTCAAACGTCAAAAATGTGTCGATCGCCTTAAAGCACTCGAAACTCGCACTAGGCTTTAGTGCGCGTTTCGTGGGCATGGGCACACTGAGGAAATAACTTATGTATACCTATGTTATGTGGAAAACTATCTTAATACTTATATAGACATTTCTTTCTACCCAGCACATCATCATGTTGGACGTACTAGCTGATGTGCTGCAGCCGTACAAGGAGATTGTGGGGAACATCGCGGCCATTGTGACCGTGGGCCAGATGTTCTCTGGCTCCTTCATCTGCTGGGACATTTACAAGCAGGGCAACACCAAGGGCATCGGCATCATGCCCTTCCTAGGAGGTGTCATTATGTAAGTACTGACCTTAAAACTGTTTGGCGCATTGCCTGTGCAATTGGCTATTACGCAAATGGTCGCGGGTTCGATTCCTGCACGGAACAATTCTTAGTGTAATCCACTAATACCTTGTTGTTTCGTGCCCGATACATGTATGTTAATTTCAAAGTTTGTAAACGCAACCACGACTCACCAAAAGTTTTAGTGTGGGGCAACCCGTGGGGGCAACGTTTTTATAAAAACAAAATATGTAAATAGGTTTTCCATCTAGACGAGAAGCCCATTTTTTTCAACTGCGTAAGACTTATTCAAATTCTGTTACCATGTTATTATTATGTAAAGACCATATCATATACCGTTTAAAAACATATGTTGTAAATGAAACTACATTACACGTAATGACTACAATGTTGTTTTTGTTCACAGGAGCGTTCTCAACTTGAAGTTTGGTTACATACTTCGCGACGACAAGATGATCCAAGTTAATTTGTTTGGTTTGGCCTTGAATATCATCTATTGTATGATTTACTTCAATTATACACAAGAGAAAATGAAGGTTTGGGCTCAGATTGGTCTCGCAGGCGCCTTCTCCGCCGGCCTCATCGCGTACGCCCAAATGGAAGACCCGAAGTTGGTTGAGAACAGATTCGGAACTATCATCACTGCGTTCATGTTCTATTTGATCGCCTCACCCTTGTTCGGATTGGTAAGTCTTTTAATTTTATTTACCTCACTGCTACATTAATTTCTGCCTATGTAAAAAGATCATCAAAAATAGATGTAATATATGTAGTATTTGAAACTAGTAATGGTGACTTCTTTACCAGTCGTTCGACAACCAAGACTTTATTGTCTGCACGCGTATATTTTATTACAAATCCAAGGAGGTCGAGTTTCTTTAAAAAAATGCCACCAAGATTTTGTTTTTCTAATTTAACCTGGACGGAAATAAACATCTTTTGCAGTCTCATCATTACTTTAAGCAATGTGACAGTATTAGCTATTGAAATGTTTAATTACAAACTCTGAATCATGATTACTTGATGAATAAAGCCCGTCAATGAGCCAGGACACTATACCGGTAACTTTAAACTAAAAAAAAAAACTATCAGCAATTAGGTAAACTTATAGTGGAAGTTTGCAGGAATAAATGCTAATGAAATCTGTGTATCAGAAACAGAATCTTAGACAATAGATACGTTCTATAAGTCACGTTTGTACCTTAAAAGATATATTCATCAATCGAGCAACTAATTAACTGATTGTAAACAATGAGTGTACCTACCCCGTGTAATTAATATTCTTTATCTTACAATTGGTTACCTATTGTTTATTGTACACGTCGCTATAATAATCTTTACTTTATAAAGCTGTACAGTTTGTTTGTTTGAACGCACTAATCTCCAGAACTGCTGGTTAAAATTGAATATCGACCGTCGTAATTATTTATAAACGTAATAGGATAAGTACTATGTGTTAATAGTTATAAGGAACAATGGGTTTGATATGCTATCTTTTTAAGTTTATTAGTCCAAATCGAGGAAGGCTATGAGCTATAAAACATTACTCTACAATCTGTAAGAGCTAAGCAGCTGGTGATACCTCGCAAGACTAGCTGGTACTGAATATGACTAATAATTATGAATGCTTAGATGGATTGTTTAACCAAACAGGGATGTTGAAGAGAAGGTAGTTGTGATGGATCTAATTACTGATGAGATTACTATAAAACAGTAATTAGACAGTGTGTCTTTTTAGACTTCCAAATAGCAGTTTAAAACCCACATTTTTATTTTTTTTTTAAATACAGCTCTCTACAACCCTTTAATTTGATTGGTCATTTGAAAGTTATATTTCTCTATTTTTTTAAACTGTCTATATAAATTCGTAATTCAGATACTGTCTTCCATTGTAATATTATCATTACGCAACTGTTAATAACAATATCACGTGCTCATAATACAGTTTATAATTATGTTATCTCATATCTGTAATTACAGATACTTTATAGTCTTAGTTTTAAATATCGCGTGTGTATTTATCAGCAGTTCCATTACCAGCGTTATCTATGTATGAGATTGCATTAATAGCAAAATAGTTTTTGCTGTTTATGTGTACCATTTCGTGCACTGCCCGACTAGTTTCCAGCTATGCCAGGGCCATTAACGACGAGCCACAGTGATAATGCAAAATTAAGATGTGACCTTTAAGCATGGACATTATTTTATTTAACACAGAATTGTCATGCTGTTAACTGTCTGGACAGATACTGTATTACTCTGTATTTCAAGTGTAATACTTGCATTTGTATGAATGGCATGCCGTAATTTGATTAGGAAACGTGTTAAGACCTAAATATGCAGCATTCAATGTATGTATACAATATTATGAAAATAAAAACTGACTTTCTAAATCATTCTACTAATGTAAAGTTTTAGATGCGAAAGTGTGTGCGTATTTGATAAAAATATGTGTTCTATACGATTTTAACGAGACAAGTTATATAGAATAATACTAAGGGTACTTTTTTGTGCCTTTGTGAGCGCGGACGGTGAACAAAAGCGCACACCGTGTCTTGTTTCACGAGCGGATCTCAAAGAACTATCAGAACCCACTAAGACCGATGCGCCGCTGCAAGCGCTGTAATGTACTGCTGTCCGGCTCAGAGTCGAAAGAACGGGGTAGTTATAGTCACTAAAAATATGGCGTCCCTACTCGTGCGGCGTGTCATTTAGGGCGAAATCGCTGAATGATTCTCCACCCTAAAAAGAGTGGTTTTTATCTCGATCACAATCCCGAAATCTAGTATTTTGAGTAAAATAATAGACGTAATAATAGTTTAATAATTAGTCACAAGTTGAAACAATATAGTTGAGATATAAATAAAATCTCTTAAAATATGGTCGTAAATAAGTTCATAATATTGTTCGTGTCTTTCGCTATTGCGAGGTAAGCTGGACATTGAATGTGATACACCGCACGTGTATTTACATACACTCTGACGTGCATAGATGACATAATAATGATAGATTATCATTATTATGTAAGATTAAGTGTTAAGCTATACTTCGTTATGCATGATTGGACCGGTTTGACCAGATTAATACCAAGGCCACGGCATAAATGGGTCGGCTCGACCGGAGTGATACCATGGCCTCACAGAAAACCGGCGTGAAACAACCACATTGTGTTTCGCCGTGTGAGTGAGGTTACCGGAGGCCCAATCGCACCCCTTCCCCTATCCCTTCCCGATCCTTATATCCGCAACCCCTATCCCCAAAAGGCCGGCAACGCACTCGTAACTCCTTTGGTGTTGCGGGTGTCCATGGGCGGCGTGCTTATCATCAGGTAATCCGTCTGCTCGTTTGCCGACCTATATAAAAAAGGGCCTCCGGAAAACGAAGGTTGCATTGTACATATTTCGCCGTATGGGTCTGGCTACTGGAGGCCCTATTTACCCAAACCGTTCCTAATTTCTCCATACCTCCATTCCCTAATGCCTAAGAGTCCAACAGCACACTGGCAATAACTGCTCTGGTATTGAAAATGTCCATGGTTGGCACCGATCTCTTACCACCCGATTGCTCATTTTAAAAACCACACCGAAAATAACGTCATAGTTTCCAAAAAACGTAGCTGTTTCTACTTTTTATGTACTTACTTGTTAGTTCAGTTAGGCCGTTCGATAAAATTATCAGTAGGATGAGGTAATGACTCCTAATTGCCATAACATAAAATAGATATAAAATAAAGTGTTAGATAAATACATGATGAAGAGTCAATGACCTCGGTGTGTTCCTGACCCCATTCGTTCTTTAAGCGTGTCGTTTGCAATGTGATTTTATACAAATATAATAAAAGCAATCAATAAGTATAATATTATTTAATATTAGATATTCGTTGGCCAATATTTGAAACGATAATATTGTTTAGTTAAGTACTTGAGTCCGTAAGTTACAATTAGGTATGTGACAGATTTCTATACAATATACTAGCTGTTCTCGCGCGGTTTCACCCGCTGCTCGGCTCCATTTAATCGTACCGTGATGTGTTATAGCCTATAGCACTCAGGAATATTGTAGCTGTATATCAGTGAAAGAATTTTGGTAATCGATCAGCGGTTCCAAAGGTTCCGACTGCACGGTTGGAGCGGTGGCTGGGCAACTGGCTGCCGTGCAACGTGACGCGGGTTCGATTCCTGCACGGAACAACTCTGTTGTTCCTGGTCTGGGTGTCATGTGTATGTGAAATTGTATGTTTGTAACCGTACCCACGACACAGGAGAAAATCCTAATGTAGGGAAATGTTTTTTTTTTTAAAAAAAGATTACCCCCTACATTCAAACATACAAACGTACAAATTTTACCTCTTTACCTTCGGGGTTGCGGTTGTGGCCGTAACAATTTACCAAGGCCCTGGCCCTGAGCAGGAGAAGAAACCTTGTGGTTTTTAGTCAGTAGGAGTCTGACACTGCTTCTCCCGGGGCGAGAGAAGCTATTTGATAATGTCCCCCGCAAAAAAAAACTTCGTTATCTGACATCAAATAAATTGGGAATAAAAAAGCATCAAATAATTTTCGGAGATAAGCGCGTCAAAGCAAACAAACAAACTCTTCAGTCTTAATTATAATTTTTAATAGACAATTCTGCATATCAAATCAAATCATTTATTTGTTAACATAGTTGTTGTTTTAATTTTATTAGTTCATAATAAATTGAACATTGAACATTTTGCTGTTATTATTTAATTTGAGTCTAATATAATATTGTTTAAGTGATTCATCGTGTATGTAAACCTTCATGTTTTATGTTCCAGAGAGATATAATCAAGAACAAGAGCACGGAGGGTATGCCGTTCCCCATCATCCTGTCTGGATCCATCGTCACCTTCATGTGGCTGCTGTACGGGATCATACTCAGGAACAAGTTCCTACTTGTAAGTATCATGTGTTTTTTATACTGAACTTATACTTTACTACATTTTGCCCGCGACTCCCTTCGCGTGAAATAGTGAGTTTCTGCAGATTTTTGGTATAAAAGTTACCTACCCTACCGTATGTCCTTTCTCGAGTTGCAAACTAAGTTTGTACCAAACTTCACAGAAATTGGTTCAGTAGTTTAGGCGTGAAGAAAAGACAGACAGACAGAGTTACTTTCGCATTTATAATATTAGTTTGGAAGTTTGGATTTTTCTTTACCCTTTACTTTGAACAATAAATTAAGTTGTAAAATTCCTAATTGCTATAACTGCAGTAAATGTGGACGGACATTATCTGCAATAATTGAGAGCACATCAGTGAAGCTCTCATTAGGTAGAGTCAAGTCACTGGCCGAAATCGGTCAGGATATATAATATACATATTATATAATTGTTATTACCCAGTCGGGGGAGTATTTTTTAAAATAGACACTTTCAAGCTGTTTTTAAGCAATTTAGGAATATTTGACTGTTGCAACAGTTGGACGGCTAAATTTCGCCTAATATTGAAGACTGCCTGTACTTACCCACATATTTATTTATACGTATATATTTTATTGTTTTGTTAATAAGTACGATAACAATTGGAATTTGTAAAACAGACTACTTTTCTGGGTATAACCATAGATGAAAAACTACAATGGGGGCCCCATATCACATCTCTGGCAGGACGGTTGAGTTCTGCAGCATTTGCTGTCTGGAAGATCCGACAGCTAACAGATGTGGACACTGCAAGACTGGTGTACTTCAGCTACTTTCATAGCATTATGTCGTATGGCATCTTGTTGTGGGGACAGGCTGCTGACATTGAGTCTATATTTGTCTTGCAAAAGCGTGCAATCTGAGCAATTTACAACCTAAGGCTTCGCGAATCTCTTAGAGATAAATTTAAAGAGTCGAGAAGAGAGAGAATCAATATTATGACTGTGCCCGGTCAGTTTATTTATGAAAATATAATGTATGTTAGGAAACACTTAATATTATTTGATAAGGTATCAGACAGACATAATTACCAAACTAGACATAGAGATAGATTGTGTCAGCCATTATTTAGATTGGCAAAGGTACACAAGTCGTTCATGGGATTCAGCGTTAAGTGTTATAACAAAATCCCAGGCGAAATACAACAATTAAATGAAAGAAATTTTAAATTATGTGTAAAGAAAACTTTGTGTAAAAAAGCATATTACAAACTGAGTGATTATATTGAGGATAAGGATGCTTGGAGACGGGCTGGTCCTGCTCCACAGGATAATATACCTACACGAATATAAATAATGTTCCTGTGGATCTTTGCTTGAACGGAAGTTCTTAGATTTTGTAAATTTGTAACCATGCTATTTTTATTGTTAAATTTGATAAATTTGTAAATGTGAGTGCCCTGTAACCTATTAAAATTAGTTAGACTAGCAGAATGTCGGTCCATATGTCAGCTTGGAGTTGTCATGCTCACTCAAAGGTCACATTGGCGGTGGCACGGTCACTGGATCGCTCGATTCCCTATATTATGGTTGAGTTGGGCGATGCTGGTGTACGTGTCATGCTCGTGAACGGGCGCCGTCAATTGGGACTGGTCAGCTCCGGACTGTCTATTGTCCTTAAGGTTATTTTCTTTTTATGTTTCTCTGTATACACGCGTTACACTGTTCTCACATATTCAAACTAACTAAATAATGTATCAAAGAATGTTTATGTGACACTGATTTTAAAAGAGTAACCATGGAGTTTCTTGCTCGTTCTTCTCCATCGGAATCTACACTTTGGAACGAGCGAATAGCTTCGCTAAGAGGACTGACCGACAGACTGACACTTTGTATCTTTAAAGTTGTGTTGACGTTCAAAAGTGCCTGTATGGGTCTAATTGAAATAAATAATTTTGACTTTGACTTTGACTTTGACTTTTGACTTTTGAATATTTACTGAAAATATTTTTATGTTTAATTTTTTTACCTATTATTTCAGATCCAAAATCTAGTCGCAGTAGTATTGTGTGGATCTCAACTCGCGTTGTTCGTGATCTATCCCTCGAAGCCCAAGCCAAGCAAGGAAAAGAAACCTAAGGCAAAGAAAGCCGACTAAATCGAATAGTTAGGACGAACCACAACGTTGCCTCCTTAGGATTAAGGTATGAAATTTGGTCGGGTTTTATTTTGGCTGTGTTGTTGTATGGACAGTTTTAATAAAAGCGTAAAACGACAATTATATAAATCTATATAAGAATATGTTTTTAATATTATAGAAAAGTTCTTCATATTTCAATCAATGATTAAAATTATTATTGATCAAGTCATGGTCGAAATTTTCGCTCAAACATTTTACCGTACTTCTTATTGTATATTTTATCTGCAGTCTACAACTAGGTAAATATGTATTTTTAAACAATATATGCTAAAACACAGCTAAGGTAAACTCGACTTTATTTAGCTAAGAATAGAACAATTTTGATATGCATTTTGTAAAATAACTCATAGCCACATTAATCAATTTTAATGTATAATATATGTTAATTACTCAGCAATCTGAGATTTCTTTTTTTATATCTGATAAATGTACAAGCAATGTAAGTGCAAATGACAGTACTCTAACAGACTGTGAATTTCTACTCTATCTGTTTGTAATACAGTTGAAAATGTTTTAAGGAATGGTATATGTTTATGTGCACCTATACAAGTCGTAGTTGTAAATAAAAGTTGTCAGAATTATTTAATTAATGTTTTAAAATGTAACTCTGCATTTCCACGAATTCGATGTACAAAATAATACATACAGCAATTTTCGGGATTTCTTGGAAACAGCATAACTTTGTTATAAAATAATGGTTATTTTATAATGAATTTTATTTATATAACTTTAAGACACTAAATTGCGAGCTTCCAATTGCAATATATTGTTTTTCTTTTAATTGTTACTATATTTATGCTGGTTATGTTCATGAGATTTTATTACTTATTATCAATGTGATTGAGAATATTTTCTAATAAACTTCAATATTTACAGTTTATATTTTCGTTACCTCATTTTTTTAATATTATTTATATTCATTACATTCCATCAGAGTGTATTGGATTCTTATTTCAAATATCAATGTTTTATAGAGCCAAAGTAGTGTATTTATAAGCAAATAGTTCAAATAAAATAAGTATTTTTACCCACTTGCTCAGTTGAAATAAACTCTGTTTATTATGTCATAGGATTTGCTTTTGTGTGGGTATTCGCATTTCTAGTTCATGTTAAATAGATTATGTATATAACTTTGTATGTACAGTTTTAGCTTTCAATAATACTATGATAATTCTTTACAGTTTAGCTATAATAGTAATTCTACTAAAATGTCGCGCACATTTACCTACATTGTAATTTAACAGGTTCTTTGTAAAAAAAAACTCGTAATATTGTGATATTTAACCGCTTTGGCCGCATAGAAAACGAAGTATTCGTGTCTAGATTTCAAAACGAATGTTTTATCCTTGCAAGTAACTGTTACATGAAGAATACTCGTTGGAAAGATTAATAAGTCTGTTCATAAAAAAGGATAAAATTGCCGTCTTGTATACCAGTTACGGATCTTCGGTTTCGCGGCCAAAGCTTATCAAACATGTGAGATTGTGATTGAAAATAAAGTTATTTTTTAATAATTTTAAATCATGTTTTATTTATTTAAAAATCTCAGTATTTCTTGATTATGTCGCTCGCGAGTAGCTTGGTGCACAGTAATAGTTTTTTTAATCATGCTCCCGAATGAAATGAGGCTTATGCGTGAAGGGATGGGTGTCCAAAACCTGGCATTTACCTACCACCTACACTTTGGAACGAGCGAATAGATTCACTAAGGGGACTGACCGACAGACTGACACTTTATATCTTTAAAATTTTGTTTGACGTTCAAAAGTGCCTGTATGGGTCTAATTGAAATAAATGATTTTGACTTTGACTTTACCAAGATGAGTTTTCTGAGTTATGTACTTTCTAAGTTTATTGAGAGAGATCGCAATCCTTAAATATCTGAAACCCAAACCCCAAAGTTCGGCAACGCACTTGTAACTCCTTCGGATGTCAATGAGCGGCGCCGACTATACCTACCGCCACCAGGTAATCCGTAAAAAAATCAGGAAAGTATATGATCATGAGGAAACCTAGACTAATAATGTCTTGTCTTGTTATCAATTTGAAATTTAGGAACCGCCTTGAGCTAGCGTGGTGGTTAACGTTAATTTCTTTCGTGAGAAGAGGCCTTTGCTCGGCAGTTTACTCTGATGTTGACGATGACGATGAAATAAAAGTGAATTCCGTTACAATCTAGATTTTTTATTTTTGCTTAAACCTTACTTCAACGTATAGTTTTAAAATTGGTTCTTGTGTGCTTGTCAGGGATACAACGAAGTCGAGGCGTCCTTTCTCGAAGGGAAATACGTTGGGAAAATGTTCCGTCGGCGCAGTGATGTTCATTACGCCGTGATAACCCTGTAAAATTAATACCATAGATAGTAAATAAGTACCTAAGGGTAGCTCTCCGCCCCATCAGAACATGACCCGAGTGTACGACGCGTCGCGTTTTGCGCACACGCCTCAAAAAGCCAATAGACCACCACAGACAGGCCCCTATAGGGTTGATGCTCAATCAGGGTCTTGCGGGGCAAGCGCGATAAGTCACCACGGCCTTGACCTAAAGCAGGAGAAGGCACAGGTGGGTGGTTTTAGTGAGTAAGAGCCTGACACTCCCTCCCGCTCGACCCTGGGCGGAAGAAGTCATTTAATAATTTTCCCTCACAAAAAAAGTAAATAAGATAGATGAGGTCAAATAAGATAAGTCTTTTACTCCCTCCCAACAGAAGTCATTTAACCAGCGAGTCTTTTGAGTAACTTATTTCACGACAGGTTTGTTTCAACCATGAAACAATACTCAAAATCACTTTGGCACCAAGACTGGAGCCCATCCAGGGCATCAACTCAGTACTCAGAATGTCGAAATTTTTTGCAATCGTTACAAATGTTACAATAATGTATCTACGAATAAGACCGATGAAATTTAAGTAGGTAGCAAGTAAATATCAAGTGGTTAAAAACTTTCAGCGTGGTCTCTTTTATTGCGTTTGCATAGTAATAAATTTGTTTTCTTCATTATTATTACCCACTTCTGTTATGGATTAACTCACAGCAGGTAAGGGACACACCACGCCAGCGTTCCTGATGGCGCCACCGATGAATTCATCCTTATTTATAAGGTCACAGAACTTATAATGGTGCGTTATGAAGGAGGGCCGGTACTCGTTGTGTAAATACTGGTTGACTTTTATATCCACCTGAAAACATAAAGCACTAGCGCTCCATTTAGTTGTAGCGTGATGTTTTATAGCCTATGTCACTCAGGAACATTGTAGCTATCTATCAGTGAAAGAATTTTGGAAATCCGACCAGCGGTTCCAAAGATTACCCCCTACATACAAACTTACAAATTTTACCTCTTTATAATTTTAGTATAGATATACATATGTAGGTATACGTAACATAATTACGTACTAAATTAGTACATGTATATAACTACCACATTTGTGTGTTTAATGAGCGAGTAAATATGTCTGGTTGCCTCTAAAATGGCCGGTCGTAGGAAAGACTCATAGTTTCCAACTGCGGAAAATTCGGGGTTGCGAGTGCTATCGCAATAATGTTCTGCGGGACTGGCCCGGAGCAGGAGAAGGAGTGGGTGGTTTTTTTATTCAGCCCTACCCAGTGCGATAGAAGAAATTGTAAGATTATCTCCCTTAAAAAATCTTAGAAAGACTAAGATGCTACCAAATCCACTGGCTAGGGAACTAATGAGCATTGAGCCAAATTCTTCTGGCAGAAAAGACGGCTTCTCAAGACCTAAATTAAATTAATTTAAACCTAGCACTAAATTCGACCTACCATCGGATACTGTACCACATAAGCCCGTTATCTATACTTATTATTTCAAAGAGCCAATAGACCACCACAGACGGGGCCCTATGGGGCTGATGTTCAGCCGGGGTTGCGGGGTAGGCGCAATAAGGCACCGCGACCTCGGCCCAGAGCAGAAGAAGGAACAGGGGGGTTTTTGGTCAGTAAGAGTCTGACACTCCCTCCCGCCCGGCCCTGGGCGGGGGAAGACATTTGATGATTTTCCCCTCCCCAAAAAAATATCTACTTATTATATAATATTATAAAGCTGAAGAGTTTGATTGATTATTTGTTTGAACGCGCTCATATGCGGAACGGAACTACTGGTTCGAATTGAACAATTCTTTTTGTTTTCGTTAGTCCGTTTTTTGAGGAAGTCCATAGAAGGGCGTATGTAGGTATACATATAAAATATCACGCTACGATATGTAGGAGCCGAACAGCAGGTGAAACCGCGCGAGAGTGGCTTGTAACAATTATTCGAAATCCAGTTCAACGTCGAAGGAGACACATCACAGAGAAAAACAAAAAATAAATCGCCTACCAAGCGTGGAAAATATGGCAAAGTCCGTAAAATAAAGAGAGTAAAGAACAGACATGTGTATGCATAGGTAGGTTCTGATGAAGACCATTAGGTACTGAATCTGTAGATGATGATGAATGAGGGTGATTCTAACCGTGATATTGTTATTCCACACTTGTTTGGTGTTGCCCATCAAGTTGATGTAGTAGCGAGACCTCCTGCTGTACCGTCGAATGTTTATTGTTACGTTCGACGTGTATTTAGGGTTCACGAAGGTCGCGTTTGCTCTCTCAGGAATCACTTCCATGCCCTGTGAAGGAAGAGCTTTTAAAAGTATCTATAATTATCTTCTAAATGGGACAGAAGTCCTACAGTGCGACATCAGGTTTTTTTAAAAGTAGTAGGTCGGCAGTTTAGTTTAAAGTAGTAGGTTTTTTTAAAAGTAGTAGCAGATGGATTATTTTATTTTTTTATTTTAACACTTTATGTACGCGTGCGTTGCCGAACTTTTAAGGATTAGGGATTTGGTGATTTTGGGACTGGGGAGTGATTGGGGAAGGGGAACGATTGGGGCTCCGGTAACCTCACTCACACGTCGAACACAACGCTGTAGTTGTTTCACGCCGGTTTTCTGTGAGGCCGTGGTATCACTCCGGTCGAGCCGACCCATTCGTGCCGAAGCATGGCTCTCCCACGATGTAAACTTTTTTTAGCATGAAATCTATCTGTTTACCCTTAATCTGTCGAAATCAACCTTTAAGCCTTTAAGCCCCCCTCTATTTTTATGATACATATGCTGGGTACATTCAACAGGATAGGTACTAAATATTCCTCATATGTTAATCTGACCCGAACGAGTAACTACTGAAATCCTAATAAGGTTAGTTTTGCCGACTTATCACTATAAAATAAACAAAAATTAGGAAGGTATGTACTTACTTCAATAACATTGTCAATTATCAAAATCAGAAGTAGAGTAGGAAAAGATCGTAACATGTTTCTAATGCGGCCGAAGATAGGACTAGCTAGGTAACCTATAAAACCTATGTAGGAACTAGTAATAGTTAGGCTACCTAATAATAGGAAACAATTTTTTTACATTTTTTGAAAAATAGATCGTATTTAACGATAAGATAATGTACACTGATAAATAGAAGCTTCTGTCCGGGCAGTTATTGTAATTAGATCGTCAAATAGCTGTCGATGGTTATGAATAAAATAATATGGCATCATTCTAGACTTAGCCTAGACTACTCCGGGCTAAATAACACTAGGTAAATTAATATAGGTAGGTACGTATAAACATATTTACCTACCTACTATCTATAACGTCATACATTATTAACTTCAACAATAAATTGTAAAATAAGATACCTCTGTGAATTTTCACATACGCGAATTCATCATTATCATCATCATCTTCCTGCCCTTGTCCCGGGTCGGCGCAATATGTTTTTTTTCTACCATTCTCATCATCTACCACGCTATCACTAACTCCTCTGCCTTCCATATCACTTCTCACACAATCCATCCATATTTTCGTTGGTCTCCCTCTCCCTCTCCATCCATCCACATTTATACTCATGGCTTTTTTTGTAACATGCGTTTCATCCCTCCTTTTCACATGGCCATACCAAGACAAACGGTTCCCTTTCAACTTTTCAGTCACTGGCGCCACTTTCAAACTTCCACTAATATAGGTAGGTACTCATTTCTCACTTTATCCATTCTCGTCACACCACACATCCATCTCAACATTCTCATCTCTCCTACACATGCAATCGCTTTTCATCCGCCTTTTTCAGAGCCCAACAATCTGACCCATACAGTAGGACAGGCCTTATCACTGACTTGTATATTTTACCCTTCAACCTGAGGGGCATCCGTAGGTCGCAAGTTGTTCCAGTGACTTGTCGCCATTTCATCCATCCTGAGTTGATCCGATGTGCCACGTCTCGGTCTATCTCACCATTCACTTGGATAAGCGACCCAAGGTACCGAAAATCGGAACAGGTTGGCATGGGCGTTCTGGCGAGAGCTATGAAATGCACAGGACTAGAGAGACCGCCAAAATCGCAGAACAGGTACTCTGTTTTAGTTTTGCTCAATTTCACAACACTCTCCAGTGTTGGCGAAATATAATAAGTAAAATAAAGAAAACTGAATTTGTTCGTATGTATTTATATTTTCTCCATCAACTAAAGGTCGACTGTTAGACAATGCCTAAGGCATTTAGTCCGCCTGTACATGTTTTTGTATAAAGTTTTTAATAAATCTATACACGGTCTTACTAATAAAGTTATTATAAAGCTGAAGTGAAGTTTTTTAGCGGGTGAAACCGTGCGAGATTACCTCGTAAATAAATATTTAGACAAGCATATTTCCATATACACTAATATTATATTTAAGAAAGAAACACTTGAATGCTGGTCCAGCTCCACAGGATAATTTAATTAATAAGTAGATACCTACACCTGCCTACCTATACCTATACGATATTTTTTGAACGACACTATTTTAATCGTGTAATAATACAATCAATCCTTGATAAATTGTACCTAAATGTGTGTGCACTAATTACAATTAAATTTCATTAGTAGAATGTACGTAAGTACTTGTTTCAGCTTGGAGTTGTCATGCTCATTCAGAGCTCGCATTAGTTGGTTCAACTTCGTACAATAGCGTGGTTGAGTTGGGAAGTGCTGGTATACTTCTGTGTGAAATGCGTGACGGTTCTAATAATATAACAAAGATTGTGAATTGTTAATTGAAAAAGAGTAAGTATGGAATTTCTTGTTTGGTCTTCTCCATAGGAAACCACAATCTCTTGTTTGTAACTAGTTCCTTGTAGGTAGTCTTTCTTTTATCCTTAAATTTTTGTTTGACGTTCAAAAGTGACTTAGAATGATCTCATTGAAGTTCGTTATCTGACTTTAAGCTTACTTAATAAGTATTAAATTATAATGATAAATACCTACGTGGTTAAGGGAATTCTTCAAAAAGAAAATCAATGCTATGACTCACAGACTGTAGGTAACATATATGTACATAATATGTTAATTATGTACCTAAGTACTTATATGTCTTGGAGTTACAAACCATCATCAAAGCTTTCACATTACCTTGACGGTAGGTGATAGGCAGATTAAAGAAAAAAAAAACTGTTTATACATTTTTGTAACATTGTTTAATATTTACATAAAATAATTACATCATTTTTGCTTGAACTTAGCTTCGACAAAGAGCTTTAAAACTGGCTCGCCCGTGCTGGTAAGGGATGCTGTGATCTCTAGGCGTCCCTTCTCGAAGGGAAAAACGTTTGGGAAGTTTTCTGTCGGCGCTGTTATGTTCATTATGGCATGATAACCCTGTGGACAACAGAAGAAAATATACTAAAATAAAGGATGCAGAGGACATACTAAGCCAATCAGAAATAATTTTGGGTAAAGTAATAATGTAAGTAGAAAATTATTGGTGTTTCTTCTCAAAAAACTCCGATAGGAACCGTCGGTCCCGTAGCTAGTTTTTTTTCTAAGACTACTTAGATAAATCTTCTTCTTATTTATAAAAATGAATTGCTGTTCGTTAGTGTCGCTAAAACTCGAAAAAGGCTAAACCAACATGGCTTAATGCGGTCTTGAAATTTTTGGATATACAGGGCAGGTTTAAAAGGTGCGAAAATTTGGCTACATGAAAAAATAAAATATTTGAAGCTGTACGAAGTTTGCCGGGTCAGCTAGTCTTATATATAAAAATGAATCGCAAAATGTGTTGGTAAGCGCATAACTCAACAACACCTGGACCAATTTTCATTATTCTTTTTTTGTTGTGTTTATTGTTGTCAGGAGAAGGTTCTTAGCAAAGAAAATATTAGAAAAGTAGAGGGGAAGTTTAGGAAAAAGTGACCCTTTGATATCGAGATAGTTGGACCCGTGCGAAGCGGGGGCGGGCCGCTATTTTATTATATAAAAACACGGCGCGGTTGGTAAGTATTGTTTTTTTTGCGTGGATAAAATTGTTACATGGCTTCATCCGCCCTGCATAGGGAAAGGAGGAGTGTCAGTCTCTTACTGACTAAAAAAAACCCTTTCTTTCTGCTACTCCGGACCCTTGCAATTCCGGATTATAGAAGAAATGTGACACGACAAGCATAGACCAAATCGAAGACATAATACCTAATTTGATTATTTAAAGTATGGTACTAGTAGGCAGAACTTACAGCAGGCAATGGGCAAACCAAACCCGAGTTCTTGATAGCGCCTCCAATGAAAGGTTCTTTATTGACAAGGTCACACAACCTGTAGTGCAGGCCCACGAATGAGGGTCGGTACTCGTTGTGCAAGTACTGGTTGATTTTAACATCGACCTGAAAGGCAATAAACTGTCAAGGTCCATAAAATACTATCACAGGGTAGTTTCTGCAGTTTTTTGCCTTACCATCAACGATTGCATCATTGCTTGCCAGCAGGTGGGATTGCAGTCAAGAACAAGTTTAGATGATATAACAAACACTGCACGGTTGATGTGATGGCAGTACACCTCTGCTGCCGTGCAATGTGTGCAGGTTGAATTTCTGCACAGAACAACTCTGTGTAATGCAAAAAGTAAACGGCACGACAGCGGAGAATAAGGGTACAGTTTAAAAACATATAAATAATCCAATAAACAATGCCCGAGAGGCCAGAGAATCGTGCCCCATCTGTACGTAAACGTTACGTTACGTTACGTTGCATAGTAACTATAGTACTCGCTGGGAAGCACCAGTAGACACTTATTCAAGAGCAGATAAACTATTGAGATAAAGATTACAAAAATATAATTAATTTGACCGTAATATTGTTAGTCCAGGTTTGCATGGTAGCGCCCATCAGGTTGACGTAGTACGGAGACTTCCTGCTGTACCGCCGAATGTTTATTGTTACATTTACTGCGAAGTCGGGGTTTATGAATGTCACATTAGCTCTTTCAGGAATCACTTCCAGGCTCTGGAAGCAAACACATTGTTAAATTATACCAAAAATAATATTATCATTGCATTTACGCTATTATCAGAGGGACTGTCAAGGAATCGCATTCAGTCGTGTTATTAATTTCATGCTTTCACTTTTCTCTTTTGTCGATCACTGCAGCAGTGATCGACAAAAGAGAAAAGCATCGCTTTTAAAAAAAGAAGATAAAGATTTTATCAGAGTTTATCAGTAAAACTTACACACACCAAATTTCGCTGATATCCATCTTAACCCTAAGGTTGTATCCGAATAATCCGCGGATATCGCACGATCTCCGGTGAGGCGGCGAACCTCCTTGCCGGATCACCGCCATGGGATCTGGAAGCAAAGGCGCTCGCGCGCGTCTACAGTTTGCGCGCAGACGCGCGTCGCCGGGGCGAGGATCCTCTGCCGCGCCAAATTAGTGCGTGGCGGAATGAGCTCCGGCGAGATCTCATGGCAGAGTGGAAGCAGCGACTGTCGCAACCGAGGGCCGGGCACGCTACTATAGCAGCGGTAAGACCCCTCTTTGAGGAGTGGCTTGAGAGACGCCACGGCGTCCTCACCTTCCGCCTGACGCAGGTGCTTACCGGGCACGGCAGCTTCGGTAGGTTCCTGTTTCGGATCCAGCGGGAGGAAACGCCCGAGTGTCGTCATTGTGAGGACCACCTAGAGGATACGGTGGAGCATACGGTAGCGGTATGCCCTGCCTGGGCTGAGCACCGCCGTATCCTCAGGGAAGTGATCGGCGGCGGCGACCTCTCGCGCCCGGCCTTAGTCGAGGCCATGGTGCGGATTGAGAGGAACTGGGACGCCGTCTCCTCCTTTTGTGAAGCAGTCATGCTCGCAAAGAGAGAGGCGGCCCGCGAGAGGGAGCAATCCTCCTCCTCACGCCCCAGCAGCCGCAACTGGCGACACTACGGGCGTCGGGGATCGAGGGACGATCTCCGGCCACCGTAGGCACGGGCCTGCGGTCGGCGAGTAAGGGCAGCTCGCCGCCCGACCAGAACCAGGCCCGAGCGTATGGCGCGTAGCGTTCCGCGCGCGCCTCAAAGACCCATTCGACCACCACAGACGGGGCCCTAAAGGGCTGATGTTCAGCCGGGGTTGCGGGGTAAGCGCAATGAGGTACCGCGACCTCGGCACAGAGCAGGAGAAGGAACAGGGGGGTTTTTAGTCAGTAAGAGTCTGACACTCCCTCCTGCCCGGCCCTGGGCGGGAGAAGTCATTTGATGATTTTCCCCTCACAAAAAAAAACCCTAAGGTCGTCGAGAGTTTCATCATTTTGTCTCCATTATAAATAAATAAATAAATAAAATCAGAAACTTAACTTCAAGACTACGAAGGGCCTCATATGATGATCATATAAACACTCTACCTAAGTACCTACCACATTTTAACACATAATTTCTTTCACACAATTATCACGTTGACGACAATGCGTAAACTCTAGCTTTCAGATTAAAATTTAAATATGTAGGTATGTACTTACTTCAATTATTTCTATATCAAGGATAAAATACGAGAATAATAATATAACATTTTGTGTAAACATGACTCCTACCAAAGAAAACTATGGAAACTGTGAGCGTAACAACGGGTAAGCGCAAACAGTAGGTACCGTAATTACTACTACTACGTAAGTACGTACTACTACGTATTTAGGTATTTTACAAATCACTTACAGTTTAAATATTTACCTTTTTCCAAAACAGAATGATTATAAGCGATAAGATTTAAGGTATCGATAAATGCTATAAACTATAATTTAGAACGCGGTTACCATAATTTGTTTGGTGCAAAAAGCCTATTAACTAGGTACACATTCGCGAGTATAAAGTATTTTACTAGCTATTTATAAACTTTATCTCGTTTCCTGTTGTTAAATATCAATTTTGCAAGTATTTTAAGTCAAAGTCAAATCGTTCATTTCATTTGGGTCAATAAAGCATTTTTAATAGAAACAAAATATTGAATATAAACGTGTCAGGTTGTCTTGTGACATAAATTTTTAGTACCTAATTTGATTTAAATTGATTTAATTTAATTTTGTGTTTTCCTGGTTTATGTTATTTTATTTTTATCCTAATCTTGATTCACGTTATTAATTATTAAGTTGATATTTTTATTTAAATTTTAATGTATTCGTAATTTTCCTTAGTTTAATGTTTATGTTTACATACGGTAAGTGATGTGTACATCTGTTAAAGATATACATACAAGAACTCTGTCTCAGTCATAAAATTAAGAAAATGTATTTTATGTATATTGTTGATGTACCTTATTCAATAAAATAAAAAAATAAAATAAATCTGGCGATAGATTTGGTCTTTTTAGTGCTGAAAATCATCAAACGGCATCTCCCACCCCGGGTGAGCTGCGCGGGAAAAATCGCGAGAGGGTGTGTCAGAATCTTACTGACTTAAACCACCCCTTTCCTTATACTGTTCCAGTCCGGGGCACGGGGTGAGGTCCCCTCGTTGTTAAATAGCCGCAGGCTTGTCTGCCAGGTTCCCATTCCAGGGAATAGGGGACTATGGCCTTTTTTACGTTATGCACGCACGCACGGTGCATCTTACGGCCCGTCATACACTAATAATATCATTCGTGTTTGCGCTGGCGATGATGCGATCTGCTGCAATAGGTTACTAAGGCTTTGGCGCTCGATACCCCACGTTTGCGTAAAACGAGGCCTAAGAGATGATTTGTTAATTTTAAGGGATAATCATTATTTGGCCCAAAAATACACAATACACAACGGATTTGAAAAAAAATCGACTAGTTGTCTTTATCTGTCTTGGTCCCGGGAAACTATCTTTCCACTCTTAACCTATCAAAGTCTAGACCATACGCCATATCGAGCCATCGTTCTAAGCCTAAGTACATGTTGAGAATATTGCGAGCATATGTGCTGCACAAATCAACTTATACAATTTATTCAGGCAACGAGATAGGTGATTGCAATGTCAATTCTTAAAAATAAACCATTAGACGACGAATTCATTTGCGTCAGCACCCATTGCACCCACGGTACGCCTACGAGTCTACGAGATAAATAGTGAGAAGACGGTGCTACGCGCTACGAACTACGAGCAACGAACTATGTGCTACGTGCGTGCATCAAAGGATTTCTTGGGGGATTCCACGCGTAAAATTATCAAACCGAAAAAGTTTGTAATAAATTCAATAAATACTGGTTGGATAAAGTCTGCGTATATGAAGAAGATTTTTCTTACAAAATTACGGTTGTCAAATTCTGTTAGAAAAATCCAGAATCGTACAACGATCAGACATGATTGTTTTAATATTTTATAATTTATAGAAATTTATTTATTGAAATTACCAATGTTAATTGTAAAAAATAGAACAAAAATATTTTTGTAATAATTAAGGTATGTACTTATTTATAGGTATAATACTAGCGACTCGAGATATATATAGGGACAAAAAAGCGACTTTATTTTATAAGTACTATGAAGTGATAAAGTATAGGCGTGTTCGGGAAGCAGTTTCATCATCATAAGTGCCAACTGCTGGTTGGTTGGGGGTTTCAAGTTTTATTTGGCATTGGCACTTGCCAGGCTTTTGCCAGGGTTCGTGAAGCAGTGTTCAGCATAAAACAGGTACTCACACTTGATTGACTTGACATGAAGTTGAACATAGAGTATAATAAAATAGGAGTCGTGATATAGTATAGAAAGCGGATAAAAAAACAAGGTACCTTGAAATTTTACGATAACTACATACGTTTGCGGGCCGAAAGAGAGCACCAAGTCTATATTGTACGGGTTGGCTCTTAATTGAGGTGCGCAGATGCGCAGGCGCAAAACTACCAACGTTACTGTGATACCGTAAAGTTATTTTTTAAGCACCAATAAGATTGCACAATTCGTCCTGCCTTAAGTCCCTTAGTACCGATGGATTGGGTGTTATGATCGCTGTTAGGCTGTTAGTGTCCATAAATCCGATCGAGAGTGTCCGACCGCCCTAAATCCGCCCTAAGGCCCGATGAATCGTACCGACTGATCGCCGCTTTAGACAACTGAATGTATAAGTTGTAAACTTCTTAATATTAAAATTAAAAGAAATCCTTGATGTCGGTGATTTCATGGAGTATGAAAAGCACGAGATTGTCTTCTCTTATGAGGTAATATTTTTGAGGTAAGTAGTTGGAAGATTTCTAAATCTTTATTATACATGTTAAGTACATCTTTGTTTCAGATTAGGCATGTCTTTGGCACGAACATTAATCAGATCTTCAAATAAATACTTAGCTTGCAATTCCAAGGTGAGTTACTTTTGGTAACTATATAAACTTATTTATATCAACTGACTTCTCCCGCCCTAGCATCCAACTCTCTAATACTGTTTAAAAACCATCCCGTCCCTTCTCCTATCCCGAGTCAGGGCTTTGGTTGTTGTTTTCCTACACTTTTAGCAGGATAAGGAACCGGATGGTCTTAATAATGATATTTATGATGAGGTAATTTTTAACAACAAACAAAATCTATTCTAATATTATAGAGAGGGGTGACCTTTGGAATCACTGGTCGGACTTCATATATTTAAAATTGTTCCACTTTTTTTTCCTATTTCCTGAGTGCTATAGGCTAAACACAAAAAAACTAAAACATCACTCTACGACCAAGAGGAGCAGAGTAGCGGATGAAACCGCGCGGCAGAAACTAGTATTTTATAAAAATCTAATTTCTGTCCGTCTGTCTTCTTGTGAAACTATTGGCTCTTTCGAAAGTGCCAAGATTACATGGAGAAGGGCGAGCAAGAAACTCCAAAGTTAAATTAATTTGGTTATTGATTATTATATTATTAATTTGTTGAAGCAATGTCTAATACAAACGAAATTGAGTTTGTCATCCAACGCCGAGTCGTTCCTCTGCGGGGCGAACGCCAACTTCCTGGAGGCTCAGTACTTGGATTGGTCCAAGAATAAAGGATCAGTAGACTCCGTGAGTAGATATTCATACAATTATCATCATCATCATCATCATCATCATCATCATCAGCCTGTTGTCGTACACTGCTGGACATAGGCCTCCCCAATATATAAATAAAAAATATAATGAATACTCGCCTGCCTGGTTGCTTGCTTGCTGCTGCCTACAGAGGGTCCAGACTCAACCCCCCCTGAATCACCTCTCCTTAAATCTCTAATAAACCCAGCAACGCACTGAAAGTAGCTCCTTTCTTAGTACATGGGCGGCGCCGTCGCTATCGAAGTATTTGATGTGGGGTAGCGGAGTCTCCTAACAGGGTTATGATGTAGAAATAAACTGTTTGTATTTCTTTATTAATATCTTGATTAATTTTATATTTTATTATCTGACAACCCGGAACTTGCTATTCAATCTTAATTTTTTGCAGTCTTGGGATGGATTCTACAACAGCTTATGTGGTCCGGCTTTAAAAATAGAAGAAGTGCAAGATGAGTTTAGCCCTCAAACTGTCAGTAAGTAGTACCCAAGTTTTTTGCGTAATGTTGAAGTCTTTGGAATATATAATATCAAATGCCAATATATTCATTCGAAGATTATATTAATGGTTGATTTAGATTATTAATATCTATCGTTAGAATCGGTAGATATCGGCGAATTAAACAACTGCATGTTTAGTTAAAGGGTGATTCTTCACATCAATTAAAAAAAAATTAATAATGTCATTATCCTCAACCGAAAATCAACGAGTCTGCTGATTAAAACACATAATTATTTTATTAAATTAAATCTCACCACTGCTTACAAGCAACCGATTAAAAATATTGTATAAAATAAATTACTAAGATGCTTAAAAACCTGGGAGGATAATGACTTGTTAAATAAAAGTTAAGGTTTTTTGGAGAATCACCCTAAAACTGGCGACCTGCCCCTGCTTCAATAACTAGGAAAATAGTTGAATATCTCAACTATTTATATCAACTATTAATATTGTTTGATAATAGTTGAATACCCCAACTATTTTTCCTTTCCTTTTTTTTAAGAACCTTCTGCCGGTGATAACAAGGACAACAAAAAAATGGCCAATTTAGTCCAGGCTCTGTGGAGTTATGTGCGTACCAACGCCATTTGCGATTGATTTTTACATATTTTTTAGGTTTATTGAATTCTGGTCAACCAGCTTCGTATGGATGCGCAACTAACTTGATGTACGACAACACCTAAAGAGTTGCCATTTCCCCATTTCCCCATTTCCCCAATTTTAGAAGATTTTCTCTTACTAGGTGCCTTGTAACTTAGGACGGAAACGGCCAAGCTGTTCACTCGCAATAGTTGAAACCACGACGAAAGAACACTAAGATTAATTTTATATAATTAACTATAATTATATAGATTGATGATCGCTATTTATTTATACATTTACAGAGCCGACTTCGAAGTCAGGTTCCAAAGATAAAGAGGAAGAGTATAGAACCAAAATTCGGCTCAACTTGGCAGTAGCCAGCTTAATCAGAGGTTATCAGGTAAGGTTGTTCTTTGCAATTTTGGATACGTTAGGCTATTTTTCAAAATGTATTTGACATTGTATATGACATGACACCCCTGAGTCTGATTTTCTTTTTAACCGACTTCATTGAATGGTCAAAATCATTCTATGGTTTCTTTACCTATTTGAGTAGGGCGAGAGGTTAAAAATCCCACGTTACATCAATGTGCTTGCATTCGCGACTCCAGCTGGGCATCGGCCTTTTTTTTAAACGTTGCCCCTCACACTAGTGTTCTCTTGTGTCTCGTCTTGATGCCCAGACTCGAAACAACAATTTGTGGATCGAACCCGCAACATGTTACGCAGCAGCCAGTTGCCCAGCCACGGCACAGGGCGTGCAGTCGAATGTAAAGGTCTGATGACTAATAAATCTGTTGCTCTTCTAGTGCCGTGGTCATCTTTTGGCGAAATTAGACCCTCTGGGTTTGTCCAGTCCTTCCCAATTTGTAGCCTGCGAAAAAAAAATGGCGCTTGAAGAGAAAAGTCTGAAGAGTCACTTGGTGGCTTACGAGCTGATGCGTGAGCTGGGTGAGTAGAAGTTATTATTTGGAAAAAAATCCGAGCTCTGTTACTCACAAGACCCCTTAAAATTAAGTGGTGTGTTGAGATGTTTTAAGCGCACTAAAACGATAATTACTTTCTAGGTGAAAAACATATGGACATGGTTTTCGAACTACCTTCAGAAACATGTATTGGTGGCGAAGAAACTCAATTGACACTCAGGTGAAACTTACAGCGTTAATATGAAATAGAATGACTACCTTTTTTGAACGTTGTCCCACACTAGGATATTCTCATGTGTCGTGGATGCGTTTACATGACAGACCAAAGTCGGTTGCCCAGCCAGCGCACGTACCGTGCAGAAAAAATGAATCATTTAAAATTTTCAGGGAGATAATCAGCCGGCTGGAGAAGGTATACTGCCAGTCAATCGGCATAGAGTACATGCACATGTATGATGTCGACGCAGTGAGGTGGCTCAGAAAGAAGATGGAGATGCCGGGTGCCACAGATATACAAGACTGTGAGAAGAAAGATATCATGCGCCGGCTCACGAAGGCCGTATTGTTAGTTTATTTCATTATACTTTTCTTCAAACTCAACTATATGAAGTGACCGTGATAGATTGATGATGATTCAACGATTGCACGCTACTCAGGGTCCTCGTAATTTATCGAAAAATGTAAGTAATTGTCACGTGAGAAACGGCAAATTTAAGCGGTTTTTGGTCAAGATGAGGATTTTCAACGGAGGAGGGATATTCATAGGCTATACCCGTGCCGATAAAGAATGGGATTAGGCCTGGCGGCTCACTTTCCTAACTAATAATTGAATAACGTTAAAAAATATCGTTACCGTTGAAAGTGTTTCGTTATTTCATGAATTAAAATAAAGCTTATGTAAAGGTATGTCCGCGTTAAATCCTGTAGAACAGTAAAGTATGGTAGGTACTTCGATGTTTTGTCAAGAGTAAGTAAGTAAAGTAAAATGTAAGTAATATCGCAGCCTAGAAAAGTATTTCGCGTCTAAATGGCCTGCGGAGAAGAGGTTTGGACTGGAGGGTGGCGAGAGCTTGATCCTAATGATGGAGGAAATTGTGGACACCAGCACCAAGCTCGGTGTGGAGTCTATCATCGTGGCCATGCAACATCGAGGTAAGCCCCACAAAGATAACTCAGACAGTAATTAACAGCATTTTTTTAAATTCTAAAGTTTTTGACATCGTGGTTGACGTAGTTCCCTGGACATATTAAGTATTATGTTGATATAATTTAGCCAATCGGCTTTACAGTACAAAAGCGCGCGAAACAGTTTGACAGCCCCCCGATCTAGAGAGGGGGTGCGCGCGTTAAAATGGCGTAGGACTAGTGTTGTCCGCCCTCGTTTAGTAGGATTTTAAAGTTTCCTATCAATATTAATATAGAAAAGAAAGAGATTGTTTTAAGGCTTAGACTTCATATAACACGTATTATGTCCACCCAGGTCGTCTTAACATGCTGGTGAATGTGTGTCGCAAACAACTGGCTGACGTCTTTGCTCAGTTTCGACCTCTCGAGCCTAAAGAAAGTGTAAGTTCTCGTTTATTTATGAACAAAAATTAATTACCTATATGTAGGTTTAGAACTTATTACATCGAACTGAAGTAATAAGGTCACTTCTACCCATTGTAAGAATGAGTAAATAGTAATTTTAACGTTTTACTATATTTTATACCAATATTTTCAGGTTTCTGGTGATGTCAAGTACCATCTGGGTACCAACATCCACCGGTTTATCAGACGAACCAATAGGTACATCAAGGTAGCAATGAGCGCCAACCCATCTCACTTGGAGGTGGTCGGCCCCGTGGTGAGCGGTAAAACCAAGGCTGAACAGTTTTTCAAGGGGGACAGTAACGGTGACAAGGTAAACGCCCTTATTTTTTTTATGTCGTAAGTCGCCAAACGAGCCGACGGATTACCTGATGGTAAGCAATCACGAGTGCGTTGCACACCATTCGGGGATTAGGGATTTTGGGATGTGAGAGGAGGAGGGAGGGAAAGGATAGTGCCTCCGGTGACCTCACTCACACGGCGACGAAACACAACACTGGTTGTTTCACCTCATGATGCCTCTCTCCGATTTACATTTAACTTTTCATCTACTTATATCGTGAATATATTTATCTGATTATATACAAATACCTTTTTAAGTCTTTAAGTATGCGAGGGTCATGCTCTATGGTCATGCTTCAGCACGAATGGGCCGGCTCGACCGGAGTGATACTTTTGCCTCACAGAAAACCGGCGTAAAATAATTGAATCAGATTACAAAATACCTTCATAATTTACATGTTATTTATCCCGCAACATTACAGGTTATGGCGATTATCATGCACGGCGACGCTGCGATATGCGGGCAGGGCGTGGTGTTTGAGACCATCGGACAGGGGTCACTGCCTAACTTCACGACGCATGGAACGGTCCACATTATATGCAACAACCAGATCGGATACACCACCGAGCCTCGTTTCCATAGGAGCTCGCCATACTGCTCGGGTAGGTCTCCTCTGTTACTGGCTTTTATAGACCTCATGGCCGCAGCCCAATACGTTATCACAGATCAGCACTGCTTTACCTTCCATTATCTACAATGCCCTCCTGTGTCCCCAGTGACAGAATTAAACTCAGTAATGAAGAATGTGACCCAACCCTGAACGTACATTCCATGAGCCCGTGCATCATAGTAAAAAAAACAAAAAAATTGTCATAACCCTCTTCAAAATGTTAAACATGTTAATGCTGAGATTGTTTTTATAATAATTATCGTGAGACATACTTAATTAACTAAAATCGCGGGTTACTCACGTGTAAATATTGAGAAAAGCTCTACCACGATACAGGAAGAACCCCTCTGTGGTTTCGAACCACAGAGGGGTTCTGGGTTACAAAATCGGACAACTGCTGCAACGTAAATATTGCATTAGGACGATCTTCCGCCCACCCGGTCAGCTGAGACAGCTGCTACGATCGTCAAAGGATAAGGATCCGCTGGCTGTGCCCGGTGTGTACATTATACCGTGCGACTGTGGCTCAAATTACATCGGAGAAACTCGGCGCAACATCACAACCAGGCTAAAGGAGCATATACGTAGCGTGAAGAAGATGGACATCCAGGCATCGGCTGTGGCTGAACATGTTTGCGGCACGGATGCGGCTCACTTCATACGTTTTGATAAGATCTCTGTACTAGCGAGGGAGAAATACTTCGTTCCGCGAAAAGTGCGAGAGGCCATCGAGATTAGCCGACGTCCGTGCTTCAACAGGGATGGTGGCTGGGCTCTGCCACCCGCGTGGAAGCCGAGCTTGGAGACTACGTCGGTCCGAAGCGTCACAGACTTTGGGCCGGGCCCGGAATCGAACCCACTACCCGCGCCACTGGTGAACGTACCGTGCGCCTCAACATCGTCACACGCGCCGCCGCCGGAGATGGAAGCAAACGCGCGTGGTATCCGGCAGATGGCGCGCTGGACTCGCCGCAGCGCAACCATCAACAGCGATGCAGGCGCCAACGCTAACCAGTAGGCTGCGCGACGTCGCCGCGTCCGCGCACGCTGCTCATGAGGAAGAACAACCCCTCTGTGGTTCGAAACTAGTAGAGCTTTTCTCAATGCTGAGATTGAAAATAAACTCGTAAAATAAAACTTTTTGCGGACATAGCATAATATTATAACCAACCACATTATACTCTGTAGCGTTGTCTCATAACATGTGCAATTTTCAAATTCCGATAGACACATAATGCAGCTGCTCAAGGAAAGCAATTTTGTCACTTCGCAGATGTTGCAAAATGTGTAGACGCGCCCGTCATGCACGTAAATGCAGACGACCCCGAGGCGGTGGCTTATGTGGCGAGGGTAGCCATCCAGTTCCGCTGCAAGTTCAAGAAGGACGTGGTCTTAGACCTGGTGTGCTACCGCCGCCACGGCCACAGTGAGGAGGACGAGCCCATGTACACGCAACCGTTCATGTACAAGAAGATCAAGACAATGAGGACAAGTTTGTCTCTTTTTACATTAATATTTTCAATAATTGTAATCAATTCATTTAATATACTTCTGGTTTGGTTACAGTTGACCTAATGTACGCGGATCATCTAAAGGCAACTGGAATTGCGTCTGAAGCGGACATAAAAAAATGGGAAAAGGAGTACACAGACACTCTCAACAAACACTTTGAAATGTCGAAGAAAATAACCAAACTCAGTATTATGGACTGGGTCGATACTCCTTGGACGGGCTTCTTCGAAAACGTCAACCCTAACGTGGTATCGTCTCGTGTAGTTCCTTAAACGTCATACGTTCTTCTATGGAAGTTACACCTACATGAGTAGTGAAAAACTGTCTCTTTCAGATTAAAGAAACGGGAATAAGTCAGCAAACGGTTGCAACAATTACGAGTCATTTCGTCAAACCGCCGGATCCATGGGCCTTCGAGTTGCATCCCGGTGTCACTAAGATACTGGAAAATCGAGCAAAACTGGTACCAATTAAATTAATACGATGTCATGTCGACATGGTCGTTGACTATTCGCATCTTTCATTATTAATCGCTTGGGTCAAGTAATGTGGTGTCTAAAATATATCTACTGAAAATTTGAATATGTCTAATGCTCATACTTTGCAATCATTTTAAAATTGGATAACTCACAGTAGGAGGCACACAGACTCTGACAGGAGGTAAATGGCCTGGTCCATTTCTGAACGTTCAAAAATTTCCAAAACTATTTTATAAACACTTTTTTTGTACCCTGTATTCTAATTATGCCTTGCAACTGGTGTGTGATAAACTTCCATAAAAAATAGTGGATTTAATACGCGCAGATTGCCAGCGGTATCGCAGACTGGGCGATAGGTGAGGCACTGGCATACGGCGCTCTACTAAGAGACAAAGTACACATTCGGTTCACAGGGGAGGATGTGGAGCGAGGCACCATGGCACACAGGTATAATGATATTTTTACTTCGTGAACACATCAGTCGTAAAATAGTTAAGTTTTATAAGAAGCTCTCGCGTGTCTACCAGATCTAGGGCTCTTGCAATAAAGTGGTTTGTCGCTTGATGGTATATCGGAAGAGTAGGGTCTTGTATTGTATGATTATCCGAGTTTGTTTCGGGGTCTGTTTAAAGTATCATCTATATAGCTTAATAAAAATGTTTACTAATTATTCAAAGTCCTATAAATTTACTGCCACCTACACGTGTCGCCCACATGAGTTATCCCGCAAGTCAGAAGAAGTGGGTCTATTACTTAATTGATTTTTAAAAGTAGCCATATACCTATTTTAAGCGATTGCAATTTGCCGGCAGGCATCATGTGTACCACCACCAGAGCGTGGACGGCGCTACGTACCGCGTGCTCGACTTCCTGTACCCCGACCAGGCTGTTTACTCGCTGCACAACAGTTCGCTGTCTGAGTATGGTAAAAATTCTACATAACTAGGTAAAAACTGCTTTCTTGCCCAGCTTCATGAATATTTCAAGTGTGGAAGAGCCATGCTTCGACCCGAATAGGCCGGCTCACAGAAAACCTAATGCCTAATAACCCACAAGATGTGAGTGCCGGCAACGCACTTAAAAGTACCTAAGTCATTTGGTACTGCGAGTGTCCATGGGCTTCGCTAATTGTTTACTATCAGATGAGAGCCGCTCATTTGCCGACTTATAACATTATAAAAATATATCCAGGTATCCTGGGCTTCGAGTGTGGCTACTCGTATTCGAGCCCATACGTACTGTCTATCTGGGAAGCACAGTTTGGAGACTTCGCAGACACGGCGCAGCCAATCATTGACACGTTCATCACGAACGCAGAGAGCAAGTGGGTGTGCCAGTCTGGGCTAGTGATGCATCTACCACACGGTATCGATGGTGGTGTAAGTATCTTTCTTTCGGGAACCATATGTATATCGAGGAAACCTGGTTAAAAATAATAACTTCATGAAAATATCAAACATTTACTATGATAGGGTCCCGAGCACTCATCCGGGCGTATCGAGAGATATCTGCAGCAGTGTGATGATGACGAGGAAGCTATACCCAACCTTGATGACAAAAATATGGCGCGTAAGTATCTAATTTTATATAACTTGTTATTACTATGTAAGTGATCGCGTAGCCTATATAGTTCTTTCAGTGAACACTTTTTTTTTATTGTGGGCGAGCTTCGTGTAATCTATACTTCTATACTAATATTATGAAGCTGAAGAATTTGTTTGCTGTAACGCGCTAATCTCCGGACTACTTCGCATTCAAGAATTATTTTTATTTTGGATAGTCTATCTAGGAAGGCTATATACAGCTTATAAATCACCCTATGGCCAGTAGGCGCTGAACAGAAACCGCACTGGGGGAAGTTAATGATTCAAAAGACTCAAGAGCACTGGGCAAGACATTTTACAAATGGGCGGTATATTTTATACTGCTACCGCCCGCGGTTTTGCAAACATGATATTGTGACGGAAAAGTGGTTCAAACTCTTTGACATCATGACGTCAATGGATGGTTGTCAAGCGTTGCCTAGAGATTGTAAATTTCGTCGTGAATTGTCAACACGAGTTGGTGTAATCGGTAAGGCATGTGGATTACACCAGAGAGACCCCGAGTTCGAGTCCCGCCGTAAGCATGAAGTTTTTTAGTTGATGGAAGTTTTTGTGGAACTTTCTGGAAGCTTTTGGTGTGAAAGTAATGAAAAATCAAAGAGCGAGAAGGAGAATAAATAAAAATGAATAACGAAATTATTGGAAGATTCTGGAGTCATGACAATCAAAAAGAATAACGAAATTGAATGTTCCAGAACCTGACCGGGGGTATATAAGCGGAACTGCGGCTCACCGCTAGCAGTTGAGTTCTAAGTCTAAAGCGATTCAGAAGAAAAGGAAGAAGTGAAAAAGAAGAAAAGTGAGTGAAATAGTGAAGTGCAGTGAAATAGTGAAGTGCAGTCAGTTAAGTGAGTTAAGTCAGCGTGAACGGCAAAGTTGTGTCAGTCGGCCGGACTCTGCTGGAGAGGAACGCCGATAACTTAACTCCGTGGACGCTGTAACTTAGTGCAATAGAAAGTCTGAAAACCGGTATTAGTGTTTCATTTCATCCAATCCCGTAACTCAAGCCCGCATAGTCAGGAACGTGACGTCAGGCACGTAACATTTGGTGTCAGAAGTGGGATTGGAGAAAAATGCCGCTAGTGCCGCAGGACGTAAGAGGAGTGAGTACCCGTGCAATGTCAGAAGCGCAGCGTGTGAGGGAAGAGGGTGCTGCAGCTCAAACCAGCGATGCAGAAGCCAAGCCTGTGCAGGTGGATCTTCTGCTACAGCTGCAGCAAATGATGGCAGAGCAAGCGCGCCGCCAAGAAGAGCAAGCGCGCCGCCAAGAAGAACAAGCGCGCTGTCAGGCAGAACAGCTGCGAGAGCTGAAAGAAGAGCAAGCGCGCCGCCAAGAAGAGCAAGCGCGCCGCCAAGAAGAGCAAGCACGCTGTCAGGCGGAACAGCTACGGGAGCTGAAAGAAGATCAAGCTCGTCGCCAAGAGGATCAAGCTCGCCGCCAAGAGGAGCAAGCGCGTCGCTTGGAAGAGATGCATAAGGATTTCACGAAGGGACTGCAAAAGGCTGTCGAACGGGTACAAGAAGTGGAGGAAGGGTTAGGCAAGTTGGAACATCGCGTCATGGCGATAGAGGAGAGAGTGAAAGAAGAGATCTCCAAAATCAAGCAGGAAGTGACAAGCCCAAGCCCTTTGAAGAGCCGAAGCCGTCTTGCAGCCGTTTTTGACGCCCCAAATGTGGCCTCAAGCGCAACGAAAGGGCTCAAGATTCCCCATTACGACGGAACAACATCCTGGAACGCGTTCAAGCTACAGTTTGAGACACTTATGGAGGCTTATGGTTGGACACAGAAGGAAGCACAGTCAGCCCTCACCCTGGCCCTCCGTGATCAAGCGCTCTCAGTGCTGGAAGCTATCGGCGCAAGTGGGGATCTCAGCTTAAGTGCCCTCCTCGACGCACTTGAGGCACGTTTTGGAGACAGCCACCTCGAGCACGTGTACAGAGCGCAATTAAAAGAGCGTACTCAGCGTGCTAATGAGAGCCTACAGCAATGGTCCGTGGAAATCGAGAAACTTGTGCGTCGAGCTTTCCGGTCGACTCCGTCAATGATTGAAGGCACGCTTCTCCAAGCGTTCATTGACGGTATTCGGGACCCCGAAGTACGAGCTGCTGTTCATCTGGGCCATCACAAGAACATGAAAGAAGCTCTGGCCCATGCATTGGAAGTGGAAGCTGTGCGTGGTAACTCCCGTACCTTATGTCTGCGGGAAATGACGACTACGGAGCAGGTACCTCCACGCCGTCGGAACTTCATGTGCTATGGATGCGGAGAGCGTGGGCACATGCGGAGCAACTGCCCGAAGAAGGTGAACCGCCAGGACGCGGCGGTCTCAACTTCTGACCAGCAGGGAAACTAATTCCAGCCAGGGCTGCGGGGTGGGCGCTGGCCGGTAGTGGAATAACCCCAACAATCTACATCAAGCAAACTAACGATGGAAATACTCTGGTGATAGACGGTCAAGTAAATGGGAAAAACAGTCAGCTAACATTAGATACTGGAGCTTCAAGGACGGTGATAAATGTTCGGCTGCTCGGGCAAAACATCAGGAATCACGTTAAACCAATTGTTGGCCTACGAATGAAATCAGCTACCGGCCAGTGGATACCGATAAGTGGAAAACTGCACGTAACAATCAAAATTGGGGAACGTGTTTATCGACATGAGGTTATTGTGGCCAAAATTCTGGATGACTGCATCCTGGGACTTGACTTCCTGCAAGGGCACCAGTGTAACATCGACTTAAAATCTGGAGTATTACTATGTGGAACTGAGGAAATTCCGATGAAGGGTGGAACCCTGGGAAAAGTTTGCTGTTTAAGAAGAACTGTTCTTGAACCAAAATCAGACTCTCGTACCAATCGCATTACCTAGGAGGAGAGGAGTGAAGGAAGTTTACCTCGAAGGTGCGCTGTGATTGATAAATCGGAACACGTAAACTCATGGCTACCGGCAAGGACTGTCGTGGGGTCATCTGATGTCAAACGCATTCCGGTATTCAACTTCAGTGATTCAAAAATTACGATTGAAGAAGGAGAGCCTGTGGGCGTTTTGGAAGAAGTGGCCTGGATAAGAAAATGCTCGGAGAATCTTGTGAAGAAGGACAGTACGGGAATAGACTTTGTAACGAAAATCTTAGACGAAAACAAAAGTCTGACAAAAGTGGAGACTATGAAAGCTAGAAATTTACTCCTTCGATTCTCTGATGTGTTTTCAAGAAGCGATGGTGATATTGGCCGAACTGGTTTGGTGAAGCATAAAATAAATACAGGTGATACAATGCCAATTCGTCAAAGGCCCAGACGTATACCATTCGCTCGTGAGAAAGAGGTTGAACAAATGATTGACGATATGAGGAAAAATGACGTGATAGAGCCCTCTTCTAGCCCTTGGTGTTCACCTGTCGTGCTTGTCAAGAAGAAAGATGGTTCAACGAGGTTTTGCGTAGACTATCGACGATTGAATGATGTAACCAAGAAGGATAGCTACCCGTTACCAAGAATCGATGACACACTTGACACACTGAGTGGCATGAAATGGTTTTCAACGCTCGATCTGAAAAGCGGCTATTGGCAGGTGGATTTGGATCCTAAGGACAAGGAAAAGACCGCATTCTCAACTGGGAAGGGACTCTGGCAATTTAAGGTGATGCCATTTGGATTATGCAATGCACCGGCAACCTTTGAGCGTTTGATGGAACAGGTGCTGGCGGGACTACTGGGCGAAACCTGCCTAGTTTACCTCGATGACATCATCATTGTTGGACGGGATTTTGATGATCATCTCAGGAAATTGGAAAGGGTACTCGAAAAGCTGCGTGGAGCAAATTTAAAGTTGAGTCCAAAGAAATGCTCTTTCTTTAAGCGCGAAGTGAATTATCTAGGACATGTTATTTCTGAGAGAGGAATTGATACTGATCCAGCCAAGACTGCCGCTGTTAAGGAATGGCCAACACCTAAAGACAAAACGCAAGTTCGGGCATTTCTTGGATTATGCTCGTATTATCGGCGGTTTGTGAAAGGATTCTCAGACATTGCCAAGCCATTGCATCGATTGACAGAGGAGAAACGTGCCTTTATATGGGACGAGGATTGTGAGCAAGCCTTTCGAGAACTAAAAGAACGGCTTTGTAACACACCAATTCTCGGATACCCCAGCGCGAAAGGAATATTCGTAGTTGATACGGATGCCAGCAATATCGGAATAGGAGGTGTCCTTTCACAACGCGATGGTGAGCAGGAGAAGGTTATTGCTTACTTCAGCAAGTCACTATCCAAGCCGGAGAGGAATTATTGTGTGACCAGGAGGGAATTGCTGGCCGTAGTCAAAACTCTGCACCATTTCAAGAAGTATTTACTGGGACGGAAATTTTTGATCAGAACTGATCACGCTGCTTTGAAATGGCTGCTTCAGTTTAAGGATCCCGAAGGCCAAGTAGCCAGATGGTTGGAACAACTTCAGGAATTTGACTTTGAAATCGAACATCGCGGCGGAAGAATTCATGGCAACGCAGATGCATTATCGAGACGCCCATGCGTGGAAGATTGCAAGCATTGTGCCAAGAAGGAAATTGCTTTTCTTAAGGTGATAAGGACTGATACTGTTGACGAGGCATGGGGAGATGATGCGATGAAATTAGAACAGGAAAGAGATGCGGATATCAAACCAATACTGGAGTGGCTACGAAGTGGTAACAAGCCAAGTTGGAGTGACGTCGCCCAATATAGCGCGGTAACGAAAGGTTTATGGGCACAGTGGAAAAGCCTTACGCTGCATAACGGACTTCTGTGCAGGAAATGGGAATCAACAAACGGCAAGGACGAGCATTTGCAATTGGTGGTGCCTCGTTCAAAAATAAGGGATGTATTAAAAGCGTTCCATGATGGATCTTCTGGAGGACATTTGGGAATTAGGAGGACTTTGGTGAAGATCAAGGAGAGGTTTTATTGGTTGCATTGCAAATATGATGTCGAAGATTGGTGCCGGAAATGCACTAGTTGTGCAGCTGTCAAGGGTCCACAAACAAGAAGCAGGGGGGCGATGAAAATCTACAATGTTGGTATGCCTTGGGAGAGAATAGCCTTAGACATCGCTGGACCATTTCCAATCACTGATTCGGGCAATCGCTACGTTTTAGTGGTTATGGATTATTTTACAAAATGGCCGGAGGTCTTTGCCATACCGAATCAAGAGGCAGTAACTGTAGCCACGAAGTTGGTAAACGAGGTATTCACCCGATTCGGAGTGCCCTTGGAGATGCACAGTGATCAAGGACGGAACTTTGAATCTCAAGTTTTTCAGGAAACTTGTAAACTTTTGGGAATCCATAAGACTCGAACGACCCCTTATCATCCACAGTCAGATGGAATGGTCGAACGTTTCAACCAAACATTGGAGCGACACTTAGCAAAGGTGGTTGACAGCCATCAGAGAGATTGGGACACTTACATACCTCTCTTCTTGCTTGCCTATCGGACTGCTGTACATGAAAGTACCGCAAAGACGCCTGCATTTGCAAATTTTGGAAGGGAATTGAGATTACCGGCAGATCTTGTATCGGGCTGTCCACCTGGCGACACTCGCACCGAGTTTAGCGATTACATAAGCGAGTTAAGGGCAAAAATGTTGGACATTTACGAGCAGATCAGGGAGGCCGGTCTTCAAGCTAGTGATCGCGCAAAAACGCGCTATGATCGACGAGCCAATTCTGTTGGGTTTGAAGAGGGGTCATTGGTCTGGCTTCATAATCCAGTCAGAAGGAAGGGAAAATCTCCGAAGCTGCAACCGAGTTGGGAAGGTCCTTATGAGATAGTCACGAAGATCAATGACATTACTTACAGAATTCGGAAGTCTGCAAGGAGCCCTTTGAAAGTTGTCCATATAGACAGGTTGGCGAGGTATTACGGCAGCAACGATGCTCGGGACGAGCGAATCTAAGAGGGGGGCAGTGTGACGGAAAAGTGGTTCAAACTCTTTGACATCATGACGTCAATGGATGGTTGTCAAGCGTTGCCTAGAGATTGTAAATTTCGTCGTGAATTGTCAACACGAGTTGGTGTAATCGGTAAGGCATGTGGATTACACCAGAGAGACCCCGAGTTCGAGTCCCGCCGTAAGCATGAAGTTTTTTAGTTGATGGAAGTTTTTGTGGAACTTTCTGGAAGCTTTTGGTGTGAAAGTAATGAAAAATCAAAGAGCGAGAAGGAGAATAAATAAAAATGAATAACGAAATTATTGGAAGATTCTGGAGTCATGACAATCAAAAAGAATAACGAAATTGAATGTTCCAGAACCTGACCGGGGGTATATAAGCGGAACTGCGGCTCACCGCTAGCAGTTGAGTTCTAAGTCTAAAGCGATTCAGAAGAAAAGGAAGAAGTGAAAAAGAAGAAAAGTGAGTGAAATAGTGAAGTGCAGTGAAATAGTGAAGTGCAGTCAGTTAAGTGAGTTAAGTCAGCGTGAACGGCAAAGTTGTGTCAGTCGGCCGGACTCTGCTGGAGAGGAACGCCGATAACTTAACTCCGTGGACGCTGTAACTTAGTGCAATAGAAAGTCTGAAAACCGGTATTAGTGTTTCATTTCATCCAATCCCGTAACTCAAGCCCGCATAGTCAGGAACGTGACGTCAGGCACGTAACAATATGTTAAAAAAAATCAGCCTCTGTCTTAGTATCCACCACATATTACCACCTACATATACCTAATACAACCAAATTCGAACCAAATCGATCCAGCCGAAACTTTAAAATTTTAGGATGGTAGTACCTCTTCCAAATGTAAATGGAAATAAGCGTTATTATAACTAAAAAAAATATTATTACTTAGGGATAAATACTTAAACAGTAATGTAAGTAACAGTTAATATTTTTTGATAAATTCGCCTATTGCCCACAGTAAAGCAATTGCGTGCAGCCAATTGGATCGTGGCTAACCCGACGACTCCTGCAAACTACTTCCACATGATCCGACGACAAATTGCGCTACCATTCCGCAAGCCACTGATCACGTTCTCACCGAAAGTAGGCCTCAAGCACCCCTACTTTCGGTCACCATTGAAGGACTTTTACCTTGGAACGAGTTTTCAGAGGTTATTAATTTAGTTAGTTAGTCCATCTGTTACTCACATTGTAGAAATATTTAGATATCCGAAGACGGACGTGTAGTTTCTACCGCTTTTGAGTATAAAGTTGTGAACTGACTGATTACCTACCTACTGATTTTGACTATTTTTACTTAAAATGGAATTCGTGAAGTACATCCGTATTTATCGAGTCGCTTATTCGACAGAGTAATCCCAGAAGACGGGCCTGCCAGTAAAAATCCTGGAGGTGTCAAAAAACTGATATTCTGTTCGGGTAATGTCGCCATCAAGATTAACGACGCACGGAAAGAAAAGAAACTAGAAGATAAAATCGCAATTTGTCGTGTTGAACAGCTGTTTCCATTCCCTTATGACATGGTCCTAAAAGAATTCTGCAAATATGAGAAGGCCAAGAAATTCTGGTGCCAAGAGGAACACAGGAACCAGGGACCTTGGCTCTTCTGCAAAGTTCGCATGGAGAACCTCTTCCAACAGAAAATTGGGTAAGTAGAAGTGCAATGTCGGCTTTTTAGCGGGATACTATTACATTGGAGCGGGATACTTTGGGGACGGAGGAGGCCGTGGTTTTAGTACGGTCGAACCGGACCATTCGTGGTGAAGCATGGTTCTCCCTCGTAGGTCGTGATTCGGGAAACTTCGTTATTGCCCATCACCACCCCCCGGAAAAATCCTGTACTGTTATGACGCCACTAACTTTGTTTGTGCACGACATACTTACGTTACCTAAGATTGCATACCCAGTTATATCCGGAGGTTCAGTCCTTCCCCTCCCCCGATCCCGCCCCAATCCCGAAATCTCCAAATCCCTTATTCCTAAAAGGTCGGCAACGCACTCGTAACTCCTCTGTTGCGGGTGTCCATGGGTGATTGCTTACCGTCAGGTGAACCGTCTACTCGTTTGCCGACCTAATACATAAAAATATATTTTTTTTAATGATCACGGGTAATATCCATAATATGTTAATAGAACTGACAAAACTTTTCTCGCAGATGTATTTCCAGACCATCTAGTCCGGCTTCAGCAACTGGTATCAAATGGGTGCACATGAAAGAAATAAAAGATCTAAAAGCAAAAATGGTAGAACTCACATGATAAAAGTTTTTCAAACAATTTGGTATTGTAATTATCCGTGAATAAAAATTGTTTTAGTACAGTGAATGTAGTATTTTATTTTTCTTAGGCAATTATTTTAAGTCGATTGGTATTGGTTGATTTTGGATTGGATTTTGGTACACCTACGCGATATCCTGTCTTTTGTAGCTTTTGTAGCCCTAGGGACTGGGGCTACCAGCTAGCTTTTTTTTGTGAGAGAAAATCATTAAATGACTTCTCCCGCCGGGGTAAAGCTAGAGGTACAGTCAGCTCCAAAAGTCGATGAACGGAATCAACTTAACAAAACACCTGTTCACAATAAAATGCCATAAGTCATAGTCGCAACTAGGGAACAAAATAGCCTGTACACCAAAAATTTACAAAAGTCGGTAAACACGACTAATTCAAAAGTATCTGTGCACTATAGTATTCCTAAAGTCGCTGTACAGTGCTCGCTAGACCTTAATAATGTAGGTACCTTTATTATATAACACGTTAGTATCCATTTCAATACTTATTTACAAATTAATTATATTTTTAACCGACTTCAAAAATTGAGGAGGTTCGCAACTCGTCGGGTTTATTTTTATATTTTTTTATGGATGTTCACCGATTACTCGAAGACGCCTGGACCGATATGGAAAATTGATTTTTGTTCAGTAGGGTATGATTTCCAGGTGGTCCCATGATCACCAGGTCAAGATCTGATGATGGAAACCCACCCTCGATTTTCTCGAGGGGAAATTCATATATTTTCTGAAGTTATTCTGGTATTTACGTCAACTTGTCGATAGTTGAACTCGACTTGATGATGAAGCCGAAAGACAGTCGAGGGATCTCCTTGACTATTTGGACTAATTGCCTTGTGTTTGGGCTTGAATAATTCGTCTTGGTGAGCACTTTGCACCAAACTGGTAGTGACTGTCATTAGGGGTATAATGATGACAACGAAGGACAGCTCAGGAAACTCCTGAACGGTTTGCAGTAACTACCTCGTGTTTGGGCTTAATTTATTTATATCAATATAAAGTTCACACCTATATGAGTTACGATGAAGTTATGCAGTAAATCTGATGATTGAGCCGGAATACCGTCGAGGGATCTCTTTGACTATTTGGAGTAATTATGTTGTGTTTGGGCTTGAATGATTTGTATTGGTGAGCACTTTGCACTTATATGGATTATGTAAGTATATTGAAGGTCTACAATATACATGATGATGGAGACCATCGACAGTCGAGGGAATTCCTCAACGATTTACAGCACTGAACACTGACTAACTTAGGATTACTACTATTACCGTGATTTTCGGTTTCGAAAAGCATTATCCTTGCTTGCTCTGCCTCTCACTTGAAATGGTGAAGTAAAATAATTTTTAACGAAAAAACAACAGACTTCGAAAAGTAAACTAAAAAGCAAAAACATTTTTTTCTGTGTACAAAGTAATACATGTGTTCATTTAGGTAAATATAAATTAATATTAATAACTATTTTTATAATTTCGAAGTCGATGCCAAGTAAGTGCCAGGTGCCAAGTAAAACAATGATGAATATTAGAGTCGTGTTTATGTTATTTCATATTATATACATATTAGTATAATTACTGACAATATGAATTAAGTTCAAACACGAAGTAGTAACTATAAGCCGTTCAGGAGTTCCCTGAGCTGCCCTTCGTTCTCATCATCAGAATCTTAATGACAGTTACGACCAAGCCCGGTACAAAGTGCTCGCCAATAGGAATCATTCAAGCCCAAACACAAGGCGACTACTCCAAATAGTCAAGGAGATACCTCAACTGTCTTCCAGCTCCAACATCAGGTCGACTTCGAACTTCATCAAATTATAGTGTTGTAAAAGACCTACTTAAACATCATAGAAAAGAACTACTCGTCCCTACAAATATTGAAAGTTCCCCTCGATTTCTCCAGAATTCCATCATCAGATCCTGACCTCATGATAATGGGACCAACTGGCGAGTATACCCTATCAAATAAAAAAAGAATTTTGCAAATCGGTCCAGGCTTCTTCGAGTAATCGGTGTACATACATAAAAAATACGCATCGAATTGAGAACCTCCTCCTTTTTTGAAGTCGGTTAAAAATATAATTGATTTGTAAATAAGTATTGAAATGGATACTAACGTGTTATATAATAATGGTACCTACATTATTAAGGTCTAGCGAGCACTGTCCCAAAAGTAGCTGAACAACATAAGCGTCAAAATTATATTAACACAGGGCAACATTAAGAATATACTTTGTTAACCTAATTTTGTCTTTACTGCTGTATAATGACTTTTGATACAATAATGTTCAGCGACATTTGGATTGATGGCGTACAGCGACTTTAGGAATATATATATCTATAGTGCACAGATACTTTTGAATTAGTCGTGTTTACCGACTTTTGTAAATTTTTGGTGTGCAGGCTATTTTGTTCCCTAGTTGCGACTATAACTTATGGCATTTTATTGTGAACAGGTGTTTTGTTAAGTTGATTCTGTTCATCGACTTTTGGAGCTGACTGTACCTAGGTTGCTTCTAACGAGGTCAGAAGTTATGTAAGTGCCATACATTGCACCCAAAAGTAGGTGTACATATATACATACACAGGTAGTTATGCCGATTACGTGTTGTCGACCACGTTGTTGACTGTCTATAACTAGGCCTTGCATTCTGTTTTGACCTATGAAAAATCATTAGATACGTCTGGTAAGGGTCCCATGGAATTAACAAATTAGTCCTCATTGATATATTTTTTTTTACTTGCTATAATCTAGTGCTTGACTGCGATCCTACCTGATGGTAAGCAGTGATGCAATCGTTGATGGTAAGGCGCACTAGTTTATTAAGAGCCTATTCACTCTAGCCTTGAAGACACCTAAATTATATTTGGACGGAAAGACTGCAGCCGTCAAACTGTTCCAATCCCTCGATGTACGCGGTATAAATGACGAGGCAAAACGCTTAGTCCGGGCCGCAGGTGTCTCAACAACGTAAGGGTGGATATTTGCCGTAGGTACGCCGGGATGTCCGAAGGTGAAATGGGGATGGCGGAATCAAATCGTGCAATTCCTGCGCACACTCTCCAAAATGCATCCTGTAGAACACCGCAAGGCTGGCTACTCTGCGCCTGTGCTCGAGACTCTGAAGATTGGACCCAACCAAATCCGGATCACCAATCAGCCTCATTGCACGCCTTTCCACCGAATCCAAAGCCGCTAGGTGGCATTTTGCAGCACCAGCCCATATGTGGCTGCAGTACTCCACACACGATCGGACCTGTGCTTTGTATAACATTAGAAGCTGGCTCGGTGTGAAGTACCGTCGGGCTTTTGCAAGAACGCCCAGCTTTCTAGCAGCTACCGCGGCCCTGGACTCAATGAACCGCCCAAAGTTGAGGTCTGAAGCAATGTCCATTCCCAAGAGCTGAAGGCGGTCGGTGCATTCCAAGGATACATCCCGAAAAACAGGAGCCAAGGTGAAGGGGCTCCTTTTGGCGGTGAATAGACACGCCTGTGTTTTGGTGGCGTTGAATGCTACCAGATTAGCTGTGCCCCACTTGGAAACTGTCCGAAGTGAGACATTCGTACGCTCTACCATAGCCTCCCTTTCAGACTGGATTAGCTCCTTACTAGCCCGAGCACTGGGCAGGTATCTCTCTACAACTGTGCTATCATCTGCATACCCAAAGATACCAGGCACTAGCAGATCGTTAATGTGGAGCAGGAATAGAGTTGCAGAGAGAACAGACCCCTGAGGAACACCGGCATTAGTCGACATAGGCTCTGATGAGCGTCCATCGACAACAACTCGGAGTGACCGTTCACTCAGGAAGTCTTTTACCCAGTTTATCAGACCAGGAGAAATGCCGTACGCTGGAAGCTTAGACAAAAGGCCATCGTGCCATACCTTATCGAAGGCCTTCGAGACGTCTAAGGAAACGGCAATAGCTTCCCCATTCCTCTCGAGGGCCTCGCCCCACAAGTGAGTGGCATAAACTAGTAGTTCCCCGGTAGACCGATTGCGGAAATCCATACTGTCGGTCGCTGAGGAGATCGTTACCTTCTAGATATGCCATGAGGTGCGAATTCAACACGCGCTCCATAATCTTGCAGAGTATGGAGGTTATCGAAATCGGCAGATAGTTGGCAGGATCGGCACGACTGCCCTTTTTAGGCACGGGTTGCACGTTGGCGAGCTTCCAGGACTTTGGCACAATACCAGTCCTAAATGAGAGGCGATACAGGCGCGTCAATACAGGAGACAACTCGGGTGCACAAGCCTTGAGAACTATCGCTGGTATACCATCCGACCCACTAGCTTTATTCACGTCTAGACGACACAGTGCTCTCAGAACTTCTTTGTTCCTTAAGCGAACCTCGGGCATCCAGGTGTCGCAGATAGGCAGAGTCGGTGGAGTAGCACCGCAAGTGTCAAGGCGAGAATTATGGGCGAAGAGTGATGCAAAGAGACCTGCTTTCTCTCTCGCGGTATGAGCCAGTGTACCATCAGGCCTAACCAGCGAAGGCAGTGTGGGCCGACAGAAGTTCGCTTCGACCGACTTGGCAAGGGACCAGAATGGTCTGCCACCAGACGGTTGTGCAGAGATTTTTGTGCCAATATAGGTAATGCGGTTGAAGCGAGCCCCTCTCAGTGCCTTTTTGTAGGACTTGGCAGCATGGTTAAAGGCTCTCTTCTTTGAGCTCAGATCCGGAGCTTTACGGTCACGAGCGTTAACCCTCTCCAGCTTGAGCGCATTCGGCATTGAACCATGGGTTAGCTAAGCCCCCGACGGGTACGTCAGTATATGGGATGAAATACTCCATAGCTTGACGTATCACATCGGATACAGCATCCGCACAGCTCGACGGATCTTGAGAAGAGAAGCAGACCCGCTGCCAAGGATAAGATGCGAAGAAGTGCCGCATCTCATCCCAATCTGCTGACTTGTAACGCCACATCCGCCGCCCACCACGTGAGTCGCAGTCAGGCGGAGAGAAGGACGAAAAAGACTTCACCAGGCAGTGATCTGAAGTTCCAAGGGGCGAAGAAACTGTTACGATACATCTGTCTGGATCAGTAGTCAACAGAAGGTCCAGGCAATTGGCAGTATGACCAGCCACATCAGACACAGTGCATCCGCTGTCGACACTTGCTTCTCTTTTTACCTTTCATGATTTTAATAAATTTGAGTGAATAGGGATGGTGGAAGAAGGCAGTTGGGCAAGGTGATGCAATGAAATCCATAACACAACCAGTGCAGCCGTGCCAATGGAGGATTGATCTGGAGACTGCGGGGACGCCCCAACCCCCCCAGGGATCGCCATCGGGTCCTCTCGCCCGGACGCCAACCGGCACGATGGGGCCACCCTGGGATTTTTCGCAGATGGCGGAGCAGCCTTTCGTGTGTGGCTGGCACACTACTTGGGCCCCCAACTGTCTACGGTCGGCCAGCGGAGCACCGTGCTTCAGATCCCGCTACCCTCCACGATCAAACGTCCGACGCGACAGCAGCTGGTGTATCATACCCGGCTACATCGCAACACAACAGCTCAGACCCGACCTCCACCGATATAATATAAATAGATACTATACAGCAGGGTCGTCGCGTCGGGCCTGAAAAGATTTGTCTACGTCTATCTACTACTGTGTACTGTCTACGATTATGATAGGTCTAAGACGACTCCATTCAATACGTGGCTTTTGAGAGTGTTAGAGTTGTATAAATATATAGGTACAATTCTACACAGCTTACAGTATTGTATAGGATCTAGACTAATCCAAGGCGTGATGAACCAAAGGATATATTTCTGTGAGTAATGTTTCCTATATGTGCAGCCCACTGCGGCTCTAAAATTCCTTGAGTTCTCTTATGCCCGGTTCCTATATTTAACGAATCGTCGTTGTATACGCATTACGACCAAATGACATTACGAATAGTTATCTTGACCGTCTACTGACGGTTAAAATATTTATAGGAACACCACAGACACCATAGATCTCCATACAATTCGCTTACCGACATCCGTTAGTTGCAAACCGTCAGTAAGTTGCACGACGAGACGTTTGTTATAGGAACGGTTTTAGCTTACGAGTCGTATATAAAACTACTATTCGTAACTAAAACGGATCGTTTCTCAATTATAGGAACCGGGCATTAGTAGGTAGTCTACCAGAGGTCAGGCGGAGAAGGTGCTTTTACGCTTAAAAAAAATACAACTTTACAACACGTTAAACGCCATGGGGGTCATCGGTGACCTCCGTTAGCAGACGATTTGTCTTCAACAGTTTTCTGTCGGCAGTCAAAGGCTTAAGTAAGTTAAATAATAGCATAGACAAAGTACATATGCCTAAAACCTCAACCACATCAAATAAGCCAGGATCCATACTACATCTACCTCAATCTACCTACTCCGAAAGTCTAGATTCGACCGAGGGACAAGAATTTACTTGTGTGCAGACTTCTCCTTTAGTATTGCACAGGTCCGTTGATGGTCATGCTACAAATACCTATAGGTAGGTAGTGAATGCATTATCCTATAGGTACTATTACCTACTGTAGAGAAGGATATTACTTAGGTACCTAAAAAAAAAACAAACTTTATGGATTTTGTTCAAATTTGTTCTCCATGCGCCTTGGTATTCTCTAATCCACCAATTTTAAAATGACCTAAATATCTTTGTAGAATAGAGTCAATGGTTGAGGACAATTTATAGCATAGAATCTATAAAAAAATAGATTATATATTATATATTTTTTATAAATTATTGAATGAACTGGCTGTGAACCATAGAACTTTTACTACAAACAAAATTCTAGTCATTTTAAATTGGTAGAGTGTAGTTGTATTTTTGTTTGACCCCTGACTGTACATGTAGGTGTATAGAAAAGTACAATTCATAGATTAAAGTAATATACTAGAGAAATTACGTACAATTCCTCCGTGCTCCATGGTATCAATTGAGTTTGAAAATTTATGTCGACGTTATAAGTTCAAAATACTGACAGCTGACTGCAGTATATCATAGTGTACTCTGTGGCTGACTGTCTACTGACAAATTAACAACTGACAATGACAAATGACAACAAAAACAAACCAACGTGTAGTAAGGGTTTCTTTCTGCCTGAGTCGGCAGGGTTGAATTATTATTAGTACCTATGTATTACTGAAAGAAAAGCCTCGCTTAACCATGTCTAGCTATTTTGAGTTTTTCTGCCAGAACTTAGCTTGTAAGAGTACACAGAATGCAGATAGAATATTAGGCACTTGTTATTCTATGTGTCCTGAAGATGAAGTCAAATTGTAAGTGTGCATTTTCTCATACATTCACAATATAAGCAAGATTATATTAACTTCACACTTTTGTAGGCGTGAGGCTGAACGCCTGGTTCATGTATTAGAAGTATGGGGGAGTGAGAGAAAGCTTGTGAAAAGCTACAGTAGATCAGCAGCGGACTCCAATATGGCAGTACCACATCTGCTGCGGCCATACTCTGTGCTTGTCAACACTGTACAGTATCTGCTGCTTGAGTAAGACTATCATGATATTGTTTCGGTAGCACACCTACACACAAACAAAAACACCTAGTACTTGTTTGTAAAATACACAGCTGTAACCTTGTAACACACACTTTTAAGTTTATAGAAATGACTTAACAGTAATTGATTCTGGGTTCTTGTGTAATATTGCAGCATCACAAGAAGGGTGGATGTGCCTGAATCAGTAATGTATGACTTTGTGAATGATCGCCTGAGGGCTGTGAGACAGGACATCACCATCCAGAGACTTCATCCCACGCAATGTGTTGACCTGTTAGAGCCTATGATTAGATTCTATGTTTACTATGGATATGTGTAAGTTGACATATTAATATCTTATAATCATAAAAATCCCATTGTTTTTGAGTTAATAATATAATTCATATTTCATGTTTATTGTTGTTTACTTGAATAAAACAGTACTCTTAGAGTGAAATCAAAATACCGGAATTTTATCAAATGGAGCTGCATAACTTATGTTTACAATTTTTTCTTATACTTTAATATAAGAACTAGACTAACCGGGGTTTTAACCCTGGTTAGTCGTCAATCTCACTTAAAAAATATAGTGTTTTTATTTAAAATTACTTAGTAGGTTTTATCATTATTTGTAGTTATTAGTGTGACAGCTCATTTAGATGTTTGTAAGAGTTGTGTATATTTTCAGATTATCAGGACACCCTCTAAAGGACTATGATCCAGTCCTGAACAAGAAGTACTTGTTAGAATGTTTGAAATGGTACCTCTCATGCTGTGACATCATTGCCAAAGAGGAGGGGCACATAGATAAGCTTTCAGATTTTTTTTCTAGTTTAGACTTAAATACTAGAGGGAAAACTAAAACTAAACTTGTCAATGATCAAGTGTTGTTAGAAAGTTTGTACATATTGTGCAATCTTGATGACTTGCATCCACTATACAGGTATCTTAAGATGGCCAAAGATCTTAAAGGGTATGTTTCATTCCAATTAGAGATTATGTGCAATTTTTTTTCTTTTTGTGCTTTACCCAAATTATTTCTAGGTCTTTTATGATTTCAGACAAGAAAAACTTAAATTATCTTATGAAATAGCAATAGCAAATCTTCAAGGAAATTATGTGAAAGTGTGTAGACTATCAGAAAAGCTGTGCCCTCTCCTATACTGTGCCATAAGTACCTATTTACCAATATTGCAAAGGTAAGTTTAAATGATTAATCATGTATCAATGTTAACTCCTTAAATGTGAATGTGGATGCTGGAACTGTCAATACATAATGTATTTTCTGTTGTGTACTGGCTAGGATAGTCAAGGTCTAAATTTTGCACAATTAATGCCGAATTTTAGATGTCGATAGCGATCTCTCGCTAATCAGACGAATTGCAAGCAAGCTACTTCACGTTTTTCCTGTTCTTTGTGGGAACTGTGTTAAAGATACTTACGTTTTTACTCCATGTTGGTATTAATGTCAAAATTGACCTTAGGGAAAACCTCCCTAGATAGGGCGAGAGGCAGTTGGTCAAACTCTTATTGAATAAAAACGCTAGCGTACCGTTAATTTCGCTTGAACCCGCAAACCCGCTGAGGAAGAACCTTCTTGATTTTTGACCATAATCACTAAACTCAGTAATTTATAATTAGGCAGAAGTAATTTTTGAATATAAACTATTGTAAAACATTCTATATTTATTGAAAAAACGACTTACATGAATTAACTGAGAAAAGCTTTTTTTATTAGATAGGTCGGCAAACCAGCACGCGGATCACCTGATGGCAAGCAATCTGCGCCGTCTACGGCCACCTGCCACCTTTTGGGGATTAGGGTTTCAGATATTTAGGATGGGGAAATGGGGAGAATTGTGCTCTAGTACCCTCATTAGCACGGCTAAACATAAGGTTGTGGTTGTTTCACGCTGGTTTTCTGTGAGGCCGTGGTATCACTCCGGTTGAGCCAACTCATTCATGTAGAATCTTGTGCAGTGCCTAGCTGAAAAGCTCTACGGGTTTCAAGCCACTAAGAATGAATTAATGAGGCAGTGGGTACTTATAGGCATGAATCAAAGTCCAGTAGTTTCCAATAAAATTTAGAAGTAATAACATAACAATACATTACAGGCGTGCACTTAATGTTATGAGTTCTGCATATAACAACAAACGCTTGACAGTACCAAGTGCTGCACTTGTGCGCTGGCTGGGCTTCAGTACGGACAGAGATGCAAGTACCGCATGTTCACATTACGGGCTTCAAGTGAACGATAACATGGTACGGTTTGATAAAACCGACTTCAAAACAGATGCACGTTTGGTAAGTATAACATATTTCACTGCTGAACAACTAATTTTACAGTACCAATCTTCAGTTCAAGTTCAGCCATTTTTTCAGTTAGTTTAATATATATTTTTTCTTTTTAGCATATCCCTGTGATTCGGAACATAAGAAAGAAGTTTGAAGTTAGTCTGATTGATATATTTACCTATGAAACATGTAAATAGCATTACATGTGCAAAGTGCAATATAATTTGATTATGGAAGCTAAAACTAAAATAAAACAATCGATCTTTATAAAGGAATCCTTTATTTGTTTTATTTACATAAGAAAATTCTCCTAATTATGCAATAACTAATTACAATGGACAACAAAATCTATCTAATATCAAATGGTTGCATGGCTCCCAATGTCGCAATTCATTCCATTCGTATGCTGTGTACCTTCCTATCAGATAACATTAGCACGCCCCATACAGACGTGAAATAATTTCTATACTTTTTTATTATAATATACATCATATTAATATGTAAAAATAGCCAAAATGTTAGATGAAATTACATTGTCAAAGAAACGATAGCTTATTCTAAATTATAGTAACCAGAGCCGTACTATGCCTAACTAGGCAAATGCCTAGGGCCGTGGTTGCGGCCGGGAGATATGAAGCGCGCAGAAGAGGATTTCACTAAAAAAATTAGGGGCGCCTATGAGGTGCCTAGGGCTCGCCATGTTTAATCGCACTATTCGCAGTAGTAGCTATTTTTTACATTTTGAATTAACTTTTTGACTTTTCATATAATTAATTGTCTTGGAATAATATGGATTCATTTCTTTGACACTATAATCAAATTGGTGAAGATGTAACCAAATTAAGTTTCGCCTACATCGAGTAATTATAATAACAGCCGAGAACCACACTTCACTTCGCTAATAAATAAATTAATCCTTATATTGAAAAAATTTCATTATAATCCGCAATGTTGACCATGCTACACTTTTTATTAGTTTCTTTACTTACGAGTTACCGATAAACATAATAAATGCTCCATTCTCATAACACTGTTAAGCAGTGTGCCAATGGAAATAATAATTTTGCAACAGAAGTAGTATATCACAGATCACATAAATCATTAGAGAGGCCGCATAGTCGATATTGCGGAGTTTAGCAAACAATATTGTATGGTAACTAATTAGTGGGCGACGCTATCGAGCATGTAGAATAATTTAATTTTAATGAGTACCCAATGCTCTACCTAAACACTCATATTATGAACCAACATGTTTCCGCGAACGTGATAACAAAGCACATGGGTATAGCGATGATAAACATACAAATAGTAAATACTTCATAAGATATCCTCCATATATAATTTATCTGAGATAACAACTTTATACAATTGTGTTTTAAAACATTTCCTTTGTTAGATTTAGAGGATTTCATACAATACATACATTTGGTAGCACCTGGTGGATGCTTACATAATTATAATTATTCCAAGGGAAGGTAAACATTAAAAGTAAATTATAAATCGTCAGGAACCATGTAAAAACTAAAATAAATTCAATATAACAAATTAATGTCATAACAAGTTTAAGACGATCGTCTACGCGTGATTTCATTGCGATACAACACATAAAAACTGATAAATACTTTAAAACAACAACAACAGCTCTAATTTACAATAGAGGTATTATTTAACTATACAATGACATGAACATGTTTACCTTCCTAGAGGCTAGAGGCTGGTTGAGGCGAACCAATAGTTGTCATGTCGGCCTCGGACCCGGGCACTGCACACTCACGCGATAAATACACGCACACTACAGTTCACGGCGGATCCTTCCATGCGGACGAGGGGTCGCAGCACCACTGCGCTGGACCATATTGTGCCTTCCACTGGAAATAAAAAGAAAAAACGTTTTTATAAGTGTGTACTTTAACGTCATAGAAACTATTTATTGGTGTGGATGATTGTGTATAGGTACCTCAATGGTCGTCGTATTAATTGTGCTTAAGGAAGGCGTCGTCAAACAATTCGAGCTCGTGGGACAGGTAGTTAGCTTTGTTGCGCAGCTTCTTGGCAGAGGTGGAGGCAGTATCCAGCATCTTGATAGCTTCCTTCACCTCGCTCAGTTCTGTGTCCATCTCTGTCGTCGCCTCGTCGATCAGCCGGCATAGCCGTGCGAACATAGTCGATAGTTCCCTGATAACGTAAAAACGTTATAATACATTTTAAGGGTACAGTGTGCCTTCATTCTGTGGAAACATGCTTTTATTTCACATTATTATATTTTTATCATTTCTGATAGATTTCACAAAGTTATGCATTAGAAGTTTCTAAGTGTTTCGATAGAGTGAAGCAGTGAGAAAAGACAAAGACTGACTGTTGCACTTGATGGCTGCAGTTGGCGGAGGTGAGGTCGACGATGAGCCTGAGCTTCTTGCTGGCGTGCGCCACGTACTGCTGCTTGAAGACGCGTTGCTGCGCGCGCGCCGTCCACGTCAGCCGCTCGTACGCGTACAGCGCCGCGTACAGCGCGCCCGTCACCGCCACCACGCGCCAGCCCACCGTCTTCAGCAACTGCCACAACTACACGTTACTTTCGCGCTCTCGGCCGCGCACACCTCATTACTCTACTGCGAGGAGCTTACGAGTCCAGACAGCAACAGGCCGCCCATGGTGCCCTGCGAGGTCAGCGCCCCCAGCGCGAACTTGGACACGAGCCCCCACTCCTCCGCCGACAGCCCCACGTGACTGGCCAGCGACGATGGACCGTTAGTGCGCGCTACTTCCATTGACGATGGAGCTGGACTTATTGAGGGCGGGATCTGAAAAAATATTTATATTTAAATTAGATTACAAAATGATGTGTCAGAAGAATAAAACGCTACAATATTAATTGGGTAACATGCTGACCTGTGTGTACTGCGGTGGGTTCTTGAGCGCAATTTTATGCGAGTTTTTGCCCTGGAACCGCTGTATGAGCGCGGTGATGCCGTACGAAAAGCGGAAGGACAAGTCCTCAGTGAAGTCTGCGCAAAGGTTGTCACAGTTGAGGCGGTAGAGGACCTCGAACGGTTGCTGGTGAGGGATGATGTACGAAGCCGCCGCAGCCCGCTTGTGAATCGGCAAGATGTTGTACATGCGCTCTGAAAAGTAAAATCTTGTGTTACCAGCCATTATAAGTTTAATTTATTACCAATAATTTTTTTAAGGCCCTTTATAAATATTTTAATTAAAGAACCACTTTTCAAAATATTATTATTAGCTATAAGGTAATCGTTCGTCGTCTCAATTGGACATACCAGCCATTTCCTTCTGCGCCTGGTCCATTTCGTTCCCGATGTCTGCCGAGAGTCGCTTCTTGAGCCGGGAGCCGAGCCCTGCCTCGACGTGTCGATGCAGCGCGCGCTTGTACTGGTCCAGGTGGGCGCGCTCCGTACGGAACGGAGTGTCGTACTCGTCCACTAGGGCTGATAGACGACGGATCTCTTGGCTCAGTGTCAGGGACACCTAGAAAGTTACACCGGGGGAGTTTTATTAGGAGATACCCGAACTCTCTCCGATCTTGTAATGTACAAATTTACAAAATGATCATGGCAGAAAACTACAATATATTTTTGTCATCATTTGAAAAAGTGTTCATCTAATTTTGATGAAGATTTTCATATGATAAGGAAGACTAGCATTACATAAATGTTTTTTACTAAAGGACTGTTATTGGGCTCTCATTATTTCAAAACCATTTCAATTATATTATTGTGTGATTGATATGACTTCTCCTGCCCGTATCCCCATACGGGCAGGAGAAGTCAAGAAGTGTTGAAGTCGAGAAGTGTCAGACTTTTTCTGACTAAAAAAGGGTACGCGCCGCGGAACATCATTGTTCTAACATTGACAACCCCGGCTGGATATATACATAGATACAGCCTTAGTGGACCCACTTGTTGCGGTGTATTGGCATTTTGAAGTGTGCACGGAACGATCAGCGCTTTGTGTATGCAATGTTACCTTATGCTCGACGCTCTCGACCATGCGGTTGATCTTGTCCTTCATCTGGCGCGTGATGGTGGTCAGCTGGTCCTCGATGGCCGACAGTTGCTCGTGCAGGACGCGCTGCTTCTCTACTTTGGCAGCCTTCTGGTCCGTTGCCGTGTTGTACACCTGGAATTGTCGTTAAATATTTATACATAACAGTATACTTATGAAACAAGTAGTTTCAGTAGCAGTTATTATCTAGGAAGAATTGCGTAAACTGGTCAATTAAAACGTCATCATTTTAGAGATTAAAGTTTTTATTTGTGTTATCGGTTGATCGTTTGCCAATAAGGGTTACCCTCGGACACTCGCAACCGAATAACTTTCAAGTGTGTTGTCGGCCGTTTTGGGCTCAGGGATAAGGCATTAGGTCCCTAGCGACCTCACTGACATGATGAAACGCAACATCAGTTGTGGTTTATGCCGGTTTTCTGTGAGGCCTTGTCGAAACTATATTCGAATTGAGCCCATTCATGCAAAAGTACGACTCTTCCGCACTTTAACTCAATATAAATGAGATATTGAGATTACAGAAATATCAGAAATATAAGAGAATAGGACCTAAGACTATACGAAGCAGGTAAAACAATGAACGTACCACTTCCAAAGCGGCCATGACTTCAGCAGCAATGTTTTTCCCGCGCCGCGAGTGTTGCGCGAACTTGGTGCGCACTGCGGACTTACTGATGCACTCCTCGAACTTGCGCTCAAAGTCCACGAACTCGAAGTAACGAACTTGATGGCCCTCGGCCAGGATCGGCGCTGGAAAATGTTTACATTATTATTAGACATGTGGGATAAGCATTGTGTTAACCCCAATCTCTCATTAGGCGGAACTGCTATGATGGTGCAAGTGAAAATAATATATACTTTTGTTTTTGAATACGTAATGAAAATGTAACGTAAATAGTTTATATTTTCTCTCATTTCATCTTTTCATTCATTATCTCACACGAATTAGCTAAGAAAAGCCCTACTAAATATCGCGTCGGAGTCTTATACTTCTTACTCCTAGAACTTATACTTTTTTACAAATTTTGGATGCTGGTGACTATAAAAACATGTACAAGAGTTGATTTACTCACAGGAGACGGGTTTCTCCCTCTCTCGCATGCGTGTGAGTAGAGCCTCCTTGGCGGAGATGAAGAAGATCCGCTCCTCAGCCTCCTTGGGCGAGCACACGCGCAGTTCCCGTGACAGGAAGTCCACGCAGCGGTTGGCGTGTTGCGTGCGGACCTAGTCGATGTAACATATGCACGTTTCACT